CTGGCCCTGGCCCTCTTTTGGTAAGCCTTTGCAGCAACTGGCCATGGCCCTCTTTTTGTAAGCCTTCACTGCAAATGGCACTGGCCCTCTTTTGGTAAGCCTTCACAGCAACTGGCAAGGGACCTCTCTTAGTAAGCCTTCATGGCAACTGGCCCTGTTTTGGTAAGCCTTTGTGGCCACTGGCATTGTCCCCTTTTTGTAAGCCTTCGGGGCAACTAGCACTGGCCCTCTTTTTTTAAGCCTTCACAGCAACTGGCCGTTGCCCTCTTTTTGTAAGCCTTCAGTAAAACTGGCACTGGCCCTCTTTTGGTAAGCCTCCATGGCAACTGGCACTGGCCCTTTTTTGCTAAGCCTACACGGCAACTGGCACTGGTCCTCTTTTTATAAGCCTTTACAGAAACTAGCACTTGCCCTCTTTTGATAAGCCTTCACAGCAACTGGCACTGGCCCTCTTTTGATAAGCCTTCGCAGCAACTGGCACTTGCCCTCTTTTTATAAGCCTTCACAGCAACTGGGACTGGCCCTCTTTTTGTAAGCCTTCACGGTAACTGCCACTGGCCCTCTTTTTGTAAGCCTTCGCGGCAACTGGCACTGGCCCTCTTTTTGTAAGCCTTAACGGCAACTGGCACTGGCCCTCTTTTTGTAAGCCTTTGCAGCACTGGCCTTCTAATAATCATTCACGGCTCATCTTGTCATGGTGTCTGTGTGTGGCTGAGACTACAGGTTTCCAATCAGATCTCCAATTGGAGGGCGTGCCAACCCGACAGGTGATCCACCTGTTTCTCATCTGGTGCAGCTCTTATAAGGAGCAGCTGGACTACCCTTCACCGCCTGATTGTCCGACTAAGTTGGCTCCGCTGTTACTCCGTCTGCCTGCCCGCTCTCCACCGTTTGGTCTCCAGCCCACCTTTGCAATCCACAAGCCCCCTCCGGGATCGGCTCATCTTCTGGAACAGTAAGCTTCCTCACGTTCTTTTCCCCACTTGGACAGATTCCCTTCCCGAACCCCCAATAACATCTCCTCTCCGTTTTCAGAAGCAGCTGAAGCAGCTGATCAGTCTGAACCCATCTTGGATTCTGTTTTCAGTTCAATAAAGAGATTGATCCTTTGAATCCTGCTTGTGGTTTCCTGCATGTGGGTCAGAAAAATCCCCTCAAATCATGACCCATCTCCTCTGTTAGTCCTCCTGCTGTTCACAGCAACTGGCCCTGGCCTTTTTTTGTAAGCCTTTGCTGTAACTGGCCGTTGCCCTCTTTTTGTAAGCCTTCAGAAAAACTGGCACTGGCCCTCTTTTGGTAAGCCTCCATGGCAACTAGCACTGGCCCTCTTTTTGTAGTCCTTCACGGCAACTGGCCATGGCCCTCTTTTCGTAAGCCTTCTCTGTAACTGGCACTGGCCCTCTTTTCGTAAGCCTTTGCAGCACTGGCCTTCTAATAATCATTCACGGCTCATCTCCTCTGTTAGTCCTCCTGCTGTTCTACATTTCTTAGCTTTCATTTATATTTGTGCCTTCTGTGCTTGCTGTCGTATTGGCCTAAACATCAGCTAATTTTTTGGGGGGAAACAGCCCTGTTCTTTACTACTGTTCATGCATATCTATCAAAATTCAGCGTTCTATTCCCTGCCGAGGTCTCAGCTCCATTGACAAAGTTATTGTATCAATACATTTCTTCTAATTGTCCTTTCTCTTCGTGTGAGTTTTTCAGATTGAACTTTATGAAGAAATTTTTTGAAAAGGAGCAGTGAGCAGAAGGGAATTTATTCATTCACTAGGAAAGCACCATCAATTCACATGATGCAAAATTACAATATGCACAGAAAAATCTGTTAAAAAACAAAAACCATGTGAGAGACAAAAAACAAAACAAAAAAGAAAACTCCTACAGGATTCCTTGCTATTTTGCAATTCTAAACCTCCATGCTAAAGGCTGTTGTGAAACCTGATGAAATACATCGTTAAGCCCAGAGGGTAAATACTTTCTTCAGAAAAACCTATGTGTCAAAAAACAGGTGGAGTCTTATCTATTAGTTGCTCAACTCAAATAGCTGTGAAGAAAATCATCTTAACATATTTATCCTAAAAGACGTACGATCCCTTCAGCCTTTATACCTCAAAGCATTTATTTATTAAAACACAACAATACAGTCAGACATAAAGGAAGTGATTAATTTAAAGCTACAGTGGTTAATTTTTAGTGACATCTAACGTCCAGACTGCAGACCGCAGCAACATGATCATCTCCCCACCCACCGCTTCTCCCCCCCAACAGTACGGCGAGCGTTACGGGACAAAATGTCTTCCACGACATCCGCATCACCTACCTTCTCAAGTGATGTTTGTTTAGATAGATAATTTTACAGATAGTATCCTCAGGCATAATACTGCCATCTATTGTTCAGTACCGTCTCAGTTCATCTCTCTCAACTTGCCGTAGTTACTTTCGAGCGTAATGGGCGATCTCGCAATCGCTAGTTTGTTGGCTCTGCGCTGCCGTAGCGCAAAGATGTCTGCCTCCATGGCTGCGAGACCCGCTCCTATGTAATTATAAATAACTAATTCGAAGGCAACACAAATATTAAGGTTAAGAGGCTGAGCTCGTAGATGATGATAAATAACATAGTTATGTATAATATATGTAATTTCTGACTGTATATCCCTGTAATTATTACACACTGTAGCTTTAAAAAATACGTAAAATTAAAATGATTGGTTTGCTGTTGCAATGGTTCCCCATCAATATAGGATCAGTGTCTAATAATTTAAAAACTGCAATACTACAATAAAACTAGTGATCTTTTCTTCTTTGACTTGTTCAACATAAGTCACTTCTTACACTGCCCCAAAACAGAGAAACTATAAACATGTTAAACATATCAAAACATTCAAAGACAGGCCTATTTGCTAACAAATAGGCTGGCAACTCGCACTGGCCCTCTTTTTATAAGCCTTCACAGCAACTGGCACTGGCCCTCTTTTGCTAAGCCTTAACGGCAACTGGCACTTTCCCTTTTTTTGGTAAGCATTCGCTGCAACTGGCCCTGGCCCTCTTTTAGTAAGCTTTCACGGCCACTGGCATTGGCCCCCTTTTTATTAGCCTTGACAGCTACTGGCACTGGCTGTCTTTTGGTAAGCCTTCACGGCAACTGGCACTAGCTCTCTTTTGGTAGGCCTTTGCGGCAACTGGCCCTCTTTTGGTAAGCCTATGCGTTAACTGGCACTGGCCCTCTTTTTGTAAGCCTTCACGGCAAATGACACTGGCCCTCTTTTCGTAAGCCTTCACAGCAAATGTTACCGGCCGTCTTTTAGTAAGCCTTCACGGCAACTGGCCCTTTTTTGGTAGGCCTTTGCGGCAACTGGCCCTGGCCCTCTTTTGGTAAGCCTTTGCAGCAACTGGCCATGGCTCTCTTTTTGTAAGCCTTCATGTGAACTGGCACTGGCCCTCTTTTGGTAAGCCTTCACAGTAACTGGCAAGGGCCCTCTTTTAGTAAGCCTTCATGGCAACTGGCCCTGTTTTGGTAAGCCTTTGTGGCCACTGGCATTGGCCCCTTTTTGTAAGCCTTCAGGGCAACTAGCACTGGCCCTCTTTTTGTAAGCCTTCGCTGTAACTGGCCCCTGCCCTCTTTTAGTAAGCCTTCAGAAAAATTGGCACTGGCCCTCTTTTGGTAAGCCTCCATGGCAACTGGCATTGGCCCTCTTTTTGTAGTCCTTCATGGCAACTTGCCATGGCCCTCTTTTCGTAAGCCTTCTCTGTAACTGGCCCTGGCCCTCTTTTGGTAGGCCTTCATGCCAACTGGCACTGGCCCTCTTTTGGTAGTCCTTCACGGCAACTGGCCATGGCCCTCTTTTCGTAAGCCTTCTCTGTAACTGGCCCTGGCCCTCTTTTGGTAGGCCTTCATGCCAACTGGCCCTGGCCCTCTTTTGGTAGGCCTTCATGCCAACTGGCCCTGGCCCTCTTTTGGTAGGCCTTCATGCCAACTGGCCCTGGCCCTGTTTTGGTAGGCCTTCATGCCAACTGGCACTGGCCCTCTTTTAGTAGGCCTTTGCTGCAACTGTCCCTGTTTTGGTAAGCGTGAGAGAGTCATGTTTTTCTAAATTAATATGATCTTGTCTTTTCTTGTGTGTTACTAACGTGGTTTGCAGTGTGTTTCTAGAGTCTCAGATTGCTTCTTCTTTTGTCATGGGTTCCTGTGCCTTATTGGATTTTAAAGTAGAATAATAAAGTTTGTCTTCTAATTGTAAAATAATGCATAAATAAACTATATAATTTGTATACTTATTCTGTTTCCTCATTTTAAGCCAGACCTATCTATGTACATTTAATTGGGAGACCCTAGGCCACTTGATGTAATTTTTAGCGGTCTACTAGTTGGTTTAGGGCCACGTCCTCGGTCAAAATCCAGGTAATTCCCCCGTGTTACATGTGCATGCTGTCATATTGGCCTCAACCTCGGCAATTTTTTGAGGGGGAAACAGCCCTGTTCTACGGTGGCTGAAAAGTGCAAAACACATTTACAATTCAAAAACACATTAACAAATAAAAAACAAAATAACATTTGAAGAAACAAAATTTTATTTTATGAAACAAATGTATTTTTGAAAAGGAAGTTTAAATTTTTAAAAACAAAGTTACATTTTAGCAAACAACTTTACATTTTAGGAAACAAATTCACATTTTAAATAAGTTATAATTTAGGTGAGAGAAAGTTTCATTTTAGAGAAAAAAAATACATTATAGGGAAACAAATTTACATCTAAAAAAAAATTGACCATTCGGAAACACTTTTACAAGTGCAAAGACAAAACTGCAATTCTAAACCTTCATATCGTTACACCCAGAGGGCAAATATTTTCTTCTTTGGCATTTTGCAATTCTCTACGCTCTAAAACTGTGAATTGCAAAAGCTCTTCTTATCAGGTGGTTTAACATGACGTTAAGCCCAGGAGGTAAAAAATATTAACTGATTTTTTAAAGAGGAGCAGGTGGGGCCTCGGTTCCTTATAACTGACAAACTCCTCGGTAGTGCAAAAATGTTTTCATTTTCAGTTTGCAGTTTTTCATGTGCCGCTTCTTGAGTAGGCGTTTGGGCAAAGTCTGTCTGCATAAAAAGGCACAGATTCCACAATCAGATCATCTGACAGAGCTGGAACGCCTGCCTGCAGAGCTTCTCCTACTCCAACAGACGGTAAGACGGGACGTTTTCCTCCCATCCACTTTAAAGCAGCCTCTCCAATCTCAGGCTCTACTTTACAGCAGCTTCAACATCTAAATATGAAGCCGCACAGATTTCTGCTCATTTAGAGCTTCTGTACCTTCATGTAGATTGTATACCTTTTTCTAAAAATCTACATAAACAAATGACAAATAGCTTTTAATACAAACGTCAAAAGCTGTTTGAAATAGTTAACTCTGACATCTATGCAATCACTGCCAACAGGTGTATTAAAATATTTTTTGTTTTAAAAACAGAATGTTGCAGGTACACATAAAAAGGACAAAAGGTAAAACAACTAATAAATCAACCAGCTGACATCTCATTGGTGAAGAAGGTTAAAGGGGCCAAAATGAAAAAAATAAATAAATCTGTGATAAAATAAAGATAAATGCACCATGATTACATTTACAATGAAATTAGGAAATATGAAATCAAATATTTAATAAACTATTAATTTATTTATAACATTCGTCAAACAGTTAAATGTGCCATTAAATAATGAAATGTAAAATGATAAAAGGTGTGTAATTATATTATAAGATAAACCTTTCAAAGTTTGAAATCACTTAGATTTCATTTTTTAAAACAAAATAATCAGATGTCATCTTTTCTATCTGTATTTATCTATTTCAAAAAAAAAGTGACAATTTTTTTTACTGTCAGCCTTACCCAAACTCAGTGGGCGGGGCCAGTGTCATTTCTATAGAGACATCTAGCTGGCTGAAGACAACTCGTTCCTGTTTTTTATTTATTTTATTTTTTTATTTTAACTTTAAGATAAACTCTGTCACCTAAAAGAAGGAAATAACCATGTCCCTGCTATGTAATATATCTGATAATCTGGAATGAGAGCTTGCTGTGATGTAGTTTGCGGGCATAGGCTTAATTAGACTCAGAAATTAGTAAGACTGCATCAATACATTTTAAATATCAAACTATAGATATTGACGTAGGAGTTGCAACCTATCTGGAACAGATAAAGTCCAACACGTTTTGTAAAGCCTACTTTTTCTGGTAAAAATCATGACTTTAGAAAAAAGCAATAAAGGAAGAAATTCCGTCCTGCTGAGCGATAAGCAGCCAATCGGGTGTCAGGATCTCTGTGGAAGCAGCCCTAGTCCCACCTAGAGATGAGTAAAGTTGACTGTTTTCTGTCCAAACACCATGAAATTAATAAATACCAGATGAAATTATGAAATGTTTATGTAGATTAATTTGATTTTGAACAAATGTATATATATATATATATATATATATATATATATATATATATATATATATATATATATATATATATATATATATATATATATATATATATATATATATATATATTTTTTTTTTTTTTTAACATAATCTAAAAGGTAAATTTGATTATCTATTAGAGAAACAAACAAACTAAATCAAATCATTGCCTCGTGACAGGTTCTTCACACTTTGAATTATTTAATTATACATTTGAATTTTTAATCAAACATTTAAGGGTTAAGTGGTTTATTTGATATTGCATTTCATTATTTCACGCTATACTTATTTATAGAAATGTGTCCCCTTTTAACCCTGTATCATGATGTGAGGGTCATAGAAAGGAGAAGGGTGGCCATTACCCTTTTGTAAAGAAAGGCTAAATTCATATCAAAATGCACAAACTTTTTTCTTCTACATCAGTAATTACTTTTCATATAAAAATAATTTTATATATATATATATATATATATATATATATATATATATATATATATATATATATATATATATATATATATATATATATATATATATATATACCAATTTTTATTTTTTGCTTTTACTCATTTCTTATTAGGTTTCCTTTGGCTGTTTGAAAGTTTAAATAATTACCACTAATGGTTATATTTCATGTAAACTTAGTGTTTTTCATGTGTTTGTTGCAGAATTCCATTCTTGGATTTCCTGTCATTCCGTTGCCAGGTTTTGTGCCTATTTTCCCACACCGGTTCTTCCAGCGATTCAACTGTAAGTTCTTTGAGTATTTAATTTAATTTAAAGGACACATTTTTTTCCTGCAAGTAGTGGAACAGTTGGTATCCAGGGGCCAGAAGGTACTGGTCAAGTGAGGATAACCTACGACTTGGAATAATTGCAAATGCCATGTCTGTAAACAGATATGAGGAAATCCTAAGACCCTGCACTTTGTGGATAACTTGTCTTACCACCCAGCAAACACAGATAGGCTCTCCAGAATAAGACAATTCCTAGGTACACTTCAGGCAGCAGCAGATCCTGAGGAATTTCAATCAGGTCAGCCAGCTATGAGTGTCATTGCTTTTCTTATTCAGTTCTAAACATTGTGCCTATACAATGTTAAAATTTAAACAAAATTTGTTAAAATATTTTTCAACGCATAAAATGAAACAGAATAAAAGATGGACCTTTTCTTACAATAAATTAATAATGTTTTATGTTGAGTTCTCAGGCACATGTAGTCCACTGCATTGGACATATCTGTAACTTCATGTAATAAGGTTATTTTAAAAAAAGTTTACCATTTTACAAGGAAAACAGATCAAAAAAGCAAGGCTTTAATAACTCATGCATCAGAGGGTTAAAATGCATTTAAATGCAGAACGCTGAAAAAGGCGTCCCTATGTCCTCCAGCAGTCTAAGCCTATAGCAGCATAACTATAGAGGTTGGCCAGCTATGAGTGTCATTGCTTTTCTTATTCAGTTCTAAACATTGTGCCTATATCCACGTCATTGGAAATATCTGTTACTTAATGAAATAAGGTTTTTTAAATAAAAAAAAAGTCTACAATTTTTCTCCATGTCCTAAGAAGAATAAAAATCCTCGAGGAAAAAAATCATAGGCAAGGCTTTAATAATTCATGCATCAGAGGGTTAAAATGCATTTAAATGCAGAATGCTGAAAAAGGCGTCCCTATGTCCTCCAGCAGTCTAAGCCTATAGCAGCAGAACTATAGAGATAGCTCAGGATAACCTGAGCCACTCTAACTAGAAGCTTTATCAAAAAGGAAAGTTTTAAGCCTAGCCTTAAAAGTAGACAGGGTGTCTGCCTCACGGACTAAAACTGGTAGTTGGTTCCACAGGAGAGGAGCCTGATAACTAAAAGATCTGCCTCCCATTCTACTTTTAGAAATTCTAGGAACCACTAGTAAACCTGCAGATTGAGAGCGAAGTGCTCTGTTAGGAACATAAGGAACAATCAGATCTCTGATATCAGATGGAGCTTGGCCATTTAAGGCTTAATGTGAGAAATATCTTATAATATTGAGCTGAGAATTTACCTGCATTCAGTTTCACTCTCACATTAAATGCTCATATCCTGTATTAAAGTAGAAGTTTATCTCACAAGGATGTATTTATTTACTCACATCTCTGTTTATTTATTTTGAGCAATTTTGTTTCTTAAATAAAGAAACAAAGAAAGAAATATGAAATACTGATTAGAGAGAAAGAGTTGTTTAAGAAAGTTGTTTGAAGATGATTCTTTTTTAAATGTTTTTCATAGTTTCTCTTTCAGGTCAACATGTCCTTGATCAGCAGTGATTCTGAACTGGTCTCCATGAGCCGTGTCTTAAATGACTTCCCTTCCATAAAGTTGAAAGGGGAGCAAGAGCGCCAAAACCATGAAATGCTGGTAAATCTGAATGACCGACTTTTTGACTGTATGAGCAAGACCTCTACAACAACAGTGGAATTCAAGTATGAGAAAAATGTTACAGAGAAAATAGTCGAGCTCACTAGGAGCTCCAGCTTACATATCGAAATGGAGAGCTCTATGGTTAAAAGTTTGGAGCAGCAGATCAGCGAACTGAAGAGAAGGTAAGATATTAATAATTTTTTTTTCCAATTTCCCAGAAGTCCATGAAGAGATTTAATGTTCGTATTTGTCCCTCGTCACAGACTTGCATACATATGACTTCAGGTGTTTTATCTGTGAGAATATTCTCTGTAATTCTGGGAATATTGTCAGCATGGAACATTATCTCTCTGTCGTCAGGACTCTGAGCTACTGGGCTGACATTATTCCCTCATTTACAGAGGAGAAATGTGAAAGGAATTTCTAAAAAAAAAACTGGTTCTGTTTAAGTTTTCTTTTTAAGTTAAGTTATACTTTTTATTCTTGTCTTCCTGTGTTTTCTAGTTTATTGGGTTGATTTCCATTTGGTTTTATTCTAGTGTTTGGTTATATTTTTGAGTGCTTTTGTATTTCTTGAGTTACTCTCTGTTGCCCCCTTGTGTTTGTTTCCTCTCCCCTTGGATTCCTCTAGACCAGTGGTCTCCAACCCTGGTCCTCAAGAGCTACTCTACTACAGATTTTAGATGCATCCCTGCTTCAACACAGCTGAATCAAATTATTCATTACCTTTTCAAGCCATTCATTTAATTCAGCTGTGTTGAAGCAGGGATGCATCTAAAATCTGTAGGACAGTAGATCTTGAGGACCAGGGTTGGAGACCACTGCTCTAGACGCTTCTATCCACACCTGTTCCTTGTCAGCTCATTTGTCCAGTCTCTGTTCTGTCTCCCACATATACTCTCCCTATACAGCCACTCAGTGCAGGTTCCTAGTTGTTGTTTTTGCTGTTTCCTCATCTCTGGCTCCCCATGTGAGTTTTTGGTTCCTTGTATTTTTGTGCTTTGGATTTTTGCCTCATTTAACTCATCAAATATGTCAAGACCCATCTCTGCCTCCTGATCTCTGCATTTGGGTCCTTAAAATCTTCCAACCCATCGTGACACAATTATGCGAATGCATGGAGCAGCATAGGAGAGGCAATAACTCTGGACAAGACTCAGCTGTTCAATTGCGTCTCAAGAATAAAGCCTGGTTTCTGCTCAGAGACCAGGTCGTCTGAGTGTGTGGTTGGTTATTCACCTGAAGCCAAAACCCGCAGCACCACGGCCAGTCATTTGGGAAAACTGACGGGTGAACTGTGTGACGTCCAGCGTTGGATGAGGGGTGTTAGACGGCGAACAAGCTCGTCAAACCAACACATGGACACCAACTATCCTAGCTGGTTCGTGATTGTCCCTCTCTCGTTAAGGTGTGGAATAACATAGTGCAGACCACGGTTCAAAATTGGGCATAAATCAAAAATATCTGCGTCATACCTGCGACAAGCTTACTGTGACACACTGCTGTTGGAGTATAACCAGCCCTTAAGGGAGTAAAAAGCCTCACTGAACATAGGGGGTGGGGGGGATTGAGGTTTCAGCTTCCAAGCAACATTTAAGCCATAGGACTCATCCCAAGCAGATTAAATAAGCACTTCCATTATGATTCTAAAGACCAATCACAGAGCATTGACTTGGCATGCTGATTAAATACATCAGCACTCCAACTAGAGATTGCTCTGGTGGAGCTGAAAGAACTGATAAAGACTCCTGGATAGGTGCTGAAACATCCACTGAAAAGCAGAGCATAGGTCTGGTTGCCTCCGCTATAAACTGGTTCTGTGGTTGGGTTTCAAGAAAATCCTTCTGAGATTGAATATGGAGATTACAATGTTTTTCTGTCTCTGTTTTGTCTTCTGTGTTTGATTCAGTGTTTTTCTTTCTGCTAGTTGTTTTGGCCGACTTAAGAAATGATTAGTTTGGATAACCACATCCGTCAAATGACTACCAAGATTCTGTTCTTTTTATTTCTACTCTGTATTTGAGGGAGTATTGTCAGCCGGGTAACTCAAGAGTTCTGATAACAGAAAGTTTATGTTCGAGTGGGGGATGAGAGTTCAAATTAAGACATTGGTCTGTCTGGGTAGGGTACAGGAAAACCTCAGTATTAAGTCTTCCATTAGCCTCAATGGGCGGTGCTGTCTAGAATGGATGGATGGATGGATGGATGGATGGATGGATGGATGGATGGATGGATGGATGGATGGATGGATGGATGGATGGATGGATGGATGGATGGATGGATGGATGGATGGGATGATGGATGGATGGATGGGATGGATGGATGGATAGAAGGATGGATGATGGATTGTTGGATGGATGGATGGATAGATGGATGGATGGATGGATGGGATGATGGATGGATGGATGGATAGATGAATGGATGGATGGCATGGATGGATGGATTGTTGGATGGATGGATGGATGGATGGATGGATGGATGGATGGATGGATGGATGGATGGATGGATGGATGGATGGATGGATGGATAGATAGATGGATGGATAGAAGGATGGATGATGGATTGTTGGATGGATGGATGGATGGATAGATGGATGGATGGATTGTTGGATGGATGGATAGATGGATGGATGGATTGTTGGATGGGTGGATAGATGGATTTTTGGATAGATGGATGGATGATGGATGGATGGATGATGGATGGATGGATGGATGGATGGATGGATGGATGGATTGTTGGATGGATGGATGGATGGATGGATGGATTGTTGGATGGATGGATGGATGGATTGATGGAGGGATGGATGGATTGTTGGATGGATGGATAGATGGATGGATAGATGGATTGATGGATGGATGGATTGTTGGATGGACGGATGGATGGATGGACGGATGGATGGATGGATGGATGGATAGATGAATTGTTGGATGAATGGATGGATGGATAGATGGATTGTTGGATGAATGGATGGATGGATTGATGGATGGATGGATGGCTGGATGGATGGGTGGATGGATGGATGATGGATGGAATGAGGGAGGGAGGGATGGATGGATGATGGATGGAATGATTAATAAATGGATGGATGGATGGAATGATTTATAAGTTAATGCCTCCACTTTGTGAGTTTGGATTTTGATCATTATTAAAGAGAAAATATTATTGACATTCTTTAAAAGAAAAAGCAAGACAAACAGAAGCCTTGTGCTGTATTGTTTTAACAAAAAATATTTATGAAAGATAAAAATAAATATTTTTCCTTTGTCCCTCTGTTATCCAGGCTGGAGATTGAGACTAAGGCAAAAAAAGCCGCTGAAATCAAAATAGACAAACTGCTAATGGTAAGGCCTTACCTGCTTTACTCATGGTGAATGTCCTCAAGTTAGGACCTTTGCACCAGGAGTCAGTCTTACTACATAACTTCAAGTGCTATAATGTGTCGTTGCAGGAACACTTCGAGGAAATCAAGACCCTGAGTGTAAACAGTGTAGTCCTAAACGAGATTATGTCTCACATAAAAACCAAAAAGGTCTTTATCCCGCTCTTTTCTCTCTCCTCTAATTTCTTCTCCTATTATCAGTCTGATGTACTCACTGTAAATAAATTTCTTCAAATCAAAACAGCAAAGCCTTTTAAAAACATTCCTAGTTTGCCAGAAGGCTTATCGATTTAGCCAAACATCTAAATTGCGGAATTGTGTATTTCTGAATTGGTTTTCAGATACGGTTAGTGGGGCTTAAACTCTTTTAAAACTTTATGTCGGTATCCATTTTTACCACATACCTTAGCATGCAAATGTTTGGTTGAAGTGGCCTGAGAGAATTACAACACACAGAGAGAAGAAGTTAACTCCACACTTTATGGTTAACCAAGCACTGTGTAGTCCTGTGGTAAAGTCAATCTTTTTTGTGTTCTAAACAGTGAAAATGTCTCTAGCTGGCTTCCAAATTGTTATCAGTAATATTAAATTGAAACTTTACTTCATTATCTTTCTGCAACTCAAGGAATTCTTTGAGGGGATAATAGTCCATAAGCCCGAGGCTGAAAAAGAATCTATAAATCGGATAAAAGCAATGATACAGAGAATGCGGGAGAGTTATAAAGAGGATGAAACGGACGGACTAGGATGGATGTACCAACAGTGGGTAAGTGATGGAAATTATCCAATTTATAATTAAAAGTGTTGTTGTACAAAGTACAGAGTGAAACAAACATCAACTGCAATTCTTCTGATCCCTGCAATACATATATTATTCTGCAGTGTTGCAAGATTAAGAGTAGTGTCTTTAAAAACATTTTTTATCATAACTTTAAAATGCCACAAAGGATGGACTGATGGGTCAAATATAATTTAAGTTCTACAGGGAAAATACATCCATAGAATTAAACAACATGTTTATTTGAAATAACTGTGGGTAGTTTTTGTCACCTGACTTTAACCTCTAACCGTGTTGTTGATGGTTAAGACTGGTTTTATTGGAGCCACTGAGAGGAAGACGGCCGAGTCTCTGGAGATTGAACAACTCAAGGCCAAGATACAAGAAATGACAATCTTCCAACAGAAGCAGAAGGATGAATTTAAGAAAACAACTGACTCGCTTAATGAAACATTCAGAAAAACCATAATATACTTCAACTGTCAGACAAAAAGGATGCAGACAGAAATCAAAGTCTACAAAGAACTGCTAGAGATTATGGAGAAAAGGTAATGTTTCACAAGAGTGAACACATTTTTTGAATGTCCTATGAAATGTTTCACAGCTGTCTTTGGTGTTGTCTTTTTTAGACTCCTGCAGTGTGGGGGAAGCGTACCCATATGTGGTTTGCCAGGTAAATTTCCTGAAAACACAAACACAACATTGAAATAAGTGCCTGACCCCACGGACTACCGAATAAGTTCATAAAATTTTCTATTGTGTGATGATCTATTGCGCTTGTTGGGTCATCCATGGTTTTTCAATACTTAAGATCCTGTCACACCTTGACATTTTAGCCAGGGTATGCCGAGCTATGAAAAATCTGGCAAAAACGCTGGTATACGTTGGATAAGTTAAGGGTACGATTTGTACAAGTTATGAGCTGAAGTTCGCTGACACACATCGACATACGGCAAGTACGTCAAGAAATCTAGCTTATCCAACTTGTATCGTCGTCATCATTGGGTCTTTGATTTGAACCACCTGATGAGACCTTCTCTGTTAGCTTGACGTTGCTGTCCTGTGAGGTCACCAACCAGAGATGGCAAAAGTACTCACTTTCCATACTTGAGTAAAAGTACAGATACTTGTGTTAAAAAATACTCTGGTAAAAGTGGAAGTACTGATTAAATTTCTTTACTCAAGTAAAAGTAACAAAGTACAGGCTTGTAAATTTACTTAAAGTATAAAAGTAAAAGTAGAAACCACTTTTTTCATGCCGTTGCCTACATTTTAAATGGATGTCTGCCAATAGGACTAGATCTCCGTTGTGTTCATTTTCAATCATCTCGTCGTCCATGCTACTATGCTAACGCCACCGCCACCAAGCTGCAATGATTTGCCGCCAATGAATACCGCCGAATCTGTTGATTCATCTTGTAGTGGTGCGTCAAATGCAACGTAGATTCCCATCCAATTAGATTGAATTTGGTATTGATGACGTGAAAAATAATAACGGTAACTCCATTGAAATGATTCAAAACTAAAGTAACGAGACAATTTTTAAAAATGTAAGGAGTAGAAAGTACAGATATTTGTGTAAAAATGTAAGGAGTAGAAGTAAAAAGTCGCCATAAAAATAAGTAGTAAAGTAAAGTAAAAATATCAGAAAAATCTACTTGAGTACAGTAACAAAGTATTTGTACTTCGTTACTTCCCATCTCTGTCACCAACACACTTCCTAGCAGACATGATGCTCAATCTGCTGCCACCAAAAACCTTATTTCTTTTCTTTTTTTTTTGTGGCAGGCGGTAAACAGCAGCTAGGTTAATACCGTGATCAAACTAATCTTTTTATACAGACCTGGCACTTCCGGGCGCATCGCTGCCCCCCTCAGGACACTGCCTTGTGCATCATTTCATGTGCATTATGCTGCCGTTGGTTATGTATAAGTTAGGCTGTTGTTAGACATAAGTTCTGGACTCATTATGAATACTCTATGTATACACCCAAAATTGAAATGATACATTGAAAGTTCAGCGTATGCCAGCGTTTTAGGAGATTCTGGAATGTAAGGCATAAGTTGGCTAAATCGGCACAGTGTGACAGCACCATTAAAGCCAAAACCTTTTGTGATCCAGGGACATCAAATTTCCACAATTGTTGGTTCAAAGCCCCCAGAATCACAAATTCATTGCCTTCTTAAATTGTGTCTTACTTTGAAAATATAAGGGGAGAAAATGTGGATCTTGCTGTGATTTAAATAACAGATATGTACAGCTGATTTTATCTGCTTTCAAAAAGTATTTTAGATCAAATTCTTCAGTAATGGAGAGAAACTCCTATTAGTTACTGATAGTTTTGTATCTCTGCTTCTGTCTCCTTAAACCCAAGTCGGCCTCGGCAGATGGCCGCTCACACTGAGCATGGTTTGGCTGGAGGTTTCTTCATGTTAAAAGGGAGTTTTTCCTCTCCACTGTCGCTACAAGCATGCTTAGTGTGAGGGATTGTATTTGAGTCAATGAGTCGATGCAATCAGCTGGTTTCCCTTAGATAGAAAACTTTGAATCAATCTGACTGAATGATCTGGTGAACAAGAAAGTGACCTGAGATGACATGATGTGAATTGGAGCTATCGAAAGAATTGAATTGATTAAATTTTAAAATTGATCAAACTGAATGATCTTTAATAAAATATTAATTATGTAAATACAAATATGGGCTTACTCATTTTAGGGTTAGTTTTAAAAAGGGATATTTCCTTGATGATCTGATCACAGATGAAACTCATACGTTTCTTAGTAAAACACGGCAAACTGGGGATGAACTTGAGAAGATGCCCAATTTTAGTCAAAATCGAATAAGATTCACCAACCAATCAATTAGCTCAACCATCAAATTTGATTTGGGTTTATTTCCTCACAGTGTGCAGTATTATCTTGTATATAAATCTATCATCTTAGCATGAAATAAAAGCAAAAGCAATAGCTTGCACTGATATATTTACTATCAAAGGCAGTTTGTGGTCATGCAAATAAGCTTCTTTTAACAGTGGAGAAGCTGATCGCTCAGGTTCTCATGGTTTCCATCAGTGAGAAAGCCTGCCTCTCTTTTCATGTTTTTATGTATAAGGAGATTTTCCAATATAATATAGCTCATCTAGTCTCTGCTGGAGTTGAAATGTGTAAAACATGTACGATATAGGTCTTTTTTAAAATAAACAGATCAATATCTTTTGTTTCTAAATTAGTTATTTTTATTTTGTCTAGTTGATTTTGGTGAATCTTCTTGCGTAAGGACTGATGTTGGTAGGACCGAGACTGTGACTGTGGTGTATGAAGAGAAGAAGGGTGAAGTCGAATGTGGTAAGTTAAAAGATTTGATGAAATGAGTTAATCTGTGCACAGAAACTGGACAGGCTGATTAAATATAAAACACTGTGAAGATTGACTGTAAACTAAGGGCTCGGAAATGGGGAAAACAGGGGGAAGCAACAAGAAAAATGAAGAGACACAATTAAACATAACCCGCTCATTAGCCATTGGCTTTGCACAAACAGGCTCTAACCAGAGTAGAAAAAGAAGTGGGAGGCCGCGTTGCACAACTGAGCAAGAAGATAAGTACATTAGAGTCTCTAGTTTGAGAAACAGACGCCTCACAGGTCCCCAACTGGCATCTTCATTAAATAGTACCTGCAGTATCTTGTTTGTGCTGTCCTCTGAAGGGAGTAGTACACACCGTTGTAGGAAATCTTCGATTTCTTAGCAAATTCTCACATGGAATAGCCTTCATTTCTAAGAACAAGAATAGACTGTCGAATTTCAGATGAAAGTTCTCTGGCCATTTTGAGCATTTAATTGATCCCACAAATGTGATGCTCTAGAAACTCAATCTGCTCAAAGGAAGGTCAGTTTTGTAGCTTCTGTAACGAGCTAAACTGTTTTCAGATGTGTGAACATCATTGCACAAGGGTTTTCTAATCATCAATTAGCCTTCTGAGCCAATGAGCAAAACACATTGTACCATTAGAACACTGGAGTGATAGTTGCTGGAAATGGGCCTCTATACACCTATGTAGATATTGCAGCAAAAACCAGATATTTTCAGCTAGAATTGTCATTTACCACATTAGCAATGTGTAGAGTGTATTTAAGACTAGTTTAAAGTTATCTTCATTGAAAAGTACAGTGTTTTCCTTTAATAAGGACAGTTCAATGTACCTTCAAACTTTTGAACGGTAGTATATATAGAAAAATAATAGAGAGAAGGCAACAGAACTAGTAACAAAAAAAGAGGTGCAAACACCTGACATAATGAGCAAAACACATTGAACCATTAGAACACTGGAGTGATAGTTGCTGGAAATGGGCCTCTATACACCTATGTAGATATTGCAGCAAAAACCGGATATTTTCTGCTAGAATAGTCATTTATCACATTAGCAATGTATAGAGTGTTTTTGTTTAAAGTTAAGACTAGTTTAAAGTTATCTTCATTGAAAAGTACAGTGTTTTCCTTCAAAAATAAGGAAATTTCAATGTGACCCTAAACTTTTTAACAGTAGAAAAATAATAGAGAGAAGGCAACGGAACTACGAACAAAAAAAGAGGTGCAAACACCTGGCATAATGAGCAAAACAGATAATAGAGTAAACCAATTGGTTGAAGGATGTTAAAGACACACTTAAGGAGGATGGTGTGGTCAACTGTGTTGAAAGTGAATGATGGGGACCCTGAGTACCTTGGATTAAAAGAGGAGGTATGAAATGGGCCTGTAGTTTGCAAGGTTAGCCGGGTCCAGGGTTTCTGCAATGGGGGCAGATGACAGCAACTTGGAGGGCAGGTTGAAGTGACAGGCAAACAGAAATCCATATTTATTATGTACACGCTTTTGTTGTGCAAAAATAATGTCCTACAGATAATGAATAGATGGTTAACTAGAACTGGAGTTATAGTTAATTATTTATCCTATTCAGCATCGAAGGCAAAATCAATTTAGTGTTCTTAGGTGAATAATTATAGCCTTGAATTATCTACTTACCGGTTGCTGATTCACCTCTGGAGGGTTCCTGGACCGGCTGTTAAAATCCAGGTATCCACCAGTCTAGTGGCCCAGGTTAAGTTATCAGCAAAGCTATTAAATTATCAATAAAGAACCTTCTATCTCTGTTTATTCGCACTATTACCAAAAGGGGGTGCTTTCGCGCTGAGTGATAAACCCTCCGTTATATGAATGACCAAAACCACTACAGATTAACCAATGATGTCTTTATTCTAACAATTCAGGATTACAGAAATCCAACATATATGCAAACACTACACACTACTACAAAAATAAGCACGAGGTAGATTAAATGACAAAATCGAAAATAAAGAATTAAACGAGATAGAAACAAAGAAATAAAACCATAAGAGTCCGTTTACTGGCGTCTGAGATTGTCCAAAATATGCCAGATATTAATACATTCACTAATTAATTAATACATTCACATGTCCGCTAGCAGCAGGTATGATAATAGTGCAATTGCTCATGTAAACTAATACATCCAACTTAAAATTGGCAAATGATTAAATGCATTAACAAAGCAGCAGGTATGATGATAACAGTGCAATTGATCATGTAACATTAATACATCCAGCTTAGTATTGGTAAATTATTAAACATGTATTAACAATAGCAGCGTTTAGCAAAAACCCCTTTTTACCTGGCAATGTAGCAATGTGTGAATGGGTGTAGCTAAATGGGGGACCACCCCCCTTTGTTCTCCATGCGGTGAGGGAAACAAAGAGAAATGGGGCAGGGGGCGACCTGTAATCAAGATGGCGGCAACCACGGGACCCCACGTGGCTGAATGTGATAACTTTATAACTATCTCAAAGCAGAAACAACGAAGAGGACAGGAAAGCCAAGAAAGAAAGTAAAGAAGCACACACTTATTTCAACCAAATAAACAAACTCTTAATCAGCACAGATAAAAAAACATCAGCATTAATTCAAAACCCTAAACTGCCTTTCTCTCGCCTGAGCACAGCAATTCTGATGCATCAAAAGGAAAGTAAATTGATTTTACTGTGAGATGCGTCGTCCGAGGGAGGTTGGTGTTTCCGCGGCAACCGCAGCTTGGTTTCTGTCGGGCAGAGGTTCTCTGCCACCGGTCCGCCCCTCGGGAAGTTCAGTCAGTTCGGGGCTGCAGCAGAGGGCTTGATATGCTCATGAGTTGGAAAGGAGGGATTTTAGGAGGTGATCTTAGGAGGTGGTTGGCTAGAGAGCGTCCTCTCAGCCGATTCGTCCAAGGAAGGGGAAAACGAAACTCCGCGGTCAGCTTCAAAGGCTTCTGTCTCCCCAGTCGGCGCAGCCGCTATGCACAATGGAACCCTGCTATCTGTGACTTTTGACGCAGCAAAACGAAAGCTACTTCCAGTCAGCTTTCTTCTGGTATTTCACGTGAAACGAGTCTCCCCTGACAGGCTCCAGACCCATGGAAAAAGAGAGAGAAGTCTTCTCGCGCCTGGCTTTTAAACCATGTGTGACACGGGAGCACTTCCTGTGGAAGTATCGGCTGATTTGTCTGTGCCATGAGTGACATGGTGGAACTTCCTGTTGGAGTATTCGGCTGATTGGTCCATTTAAGGTGGCCGCCTCCCACAGTGGGCAGGGTCTTCTTTGTTCTTGTTTTGGAGGGAATCCTTTGTTCTTCTTTGTGGGGAAGAGGAGGGGGATGGGTTTCAGGTGGCTAACAAGGGGGATGGTTTAGCCCACTGATTTAGCCCCATGTTGGTAATATACCTCAACACTTTTGACAAAAGAAAGAATGTGGAGGATATTGATGATCAAGAAATGGGAACAAAAGTTTACCAATAATGTTTTTGTAGTAAAAGTATTTCGGTTTTGAGGAAGTACATTATGATGTATTGTGTTAACCCTGAGGAAGGATAACATATCCTTGTCTTTTATGTTTATTCTTTTTAATTGGTCTTTTTATCTTTTAACTTTTTACTTGTTTGTTTCTATTTATTTGAGTGTATCCTCAAAGTTTGCAAATATTGTATTGTCTTTTTTATTTATTCACATTGCTGTTTTACCTCAGAAAGGATATCTGCACATATGAGTCAATTAACTAAACTATATTAAACTAGATTTAGGAGAGTTTTTATTTTTAATTTATGTTTTTTGTAATATTCTGTTCTCTGACCCAGTTTGAAACCTTTACAGTGATAGTTGTCAGTCAGTTGAGTTATAGGTTTGAAATTTTGCCAGGATCCCCCTAAACCATGACCGATCAAAGGTTCTTAAATTTATGAGCATTGGAGAATATCTAGGAGGTGTGGCCAGACCTTAAATTTGGCTTTTTTTTTTTTTATTCTAACGCTGCTACTTTCATTGAAATGCTAAACTATATCACCTTTGGTATAACAAAATCTTTTGGATTCAGAAAAATTGAATGCAACACCTAACTAAATGGTTTCTGTGGGTTTTTTGCGTATTTTTTAGGGCTCTACCAATGTAACAAACAACACATATCAATGATTTTCCAGTTGTCTTATCCCAGTTATTGGGCAGCATAGAGCAGGTTGTCCACTTGTCCACAATAACATTCAAGATAACAATAAACCTTTCCAGAGCTATTAGTGATCCAGGTTAATGACTGAACAGGTCAGTGTCCTTTAATATCTGAAAGCTAATATTAGGTCCTAGAAAGTTTAGATTGTACAAGATATAAGTGGATCAACTTTTCTCTGCTGGTGTTTGATTTGTTTTGAGGTTTAAAATAAGCAGAACCTCCTAATTTGCAAACTTTTAAAAATGAAACCTGAACTTTAAGCGATTGATTTTTATCTTGATCATTTTTTCTGATGTAAAGGAGAAAAGAGCGACGCACCTAATGGAGATGGGAAGAGGAAAACTACAACTCCCACTAAACCTCCACCAGGTACAAATCTATTATTGATGCACCTGAATGCTAAACATAAATGACAGAACAGGTAAAAGACCTTAAAACAGATTGGAGTTGTTATTATTTATACAATGGTTTAGATTATATCATGTAGATCAACTATTTTCTGGTGGTGATGTATCTTTTTCAGTATTTAAACCCCCCCACACACTCATTTAGCAGCACGCCTTAAAACAACACAGAGTTAGAAGACTATTTATTTATTTATCCCTACTTATCTTAATCTCAATTATCCAGGAATGCTATAATAACAATGCTTTAATCCAATGTTTACCTAAATGGACGTTAAATAGTTTGTTTACATGTTCAGGATGTTTAAAAGTTCAAGTGTGATATGAAATGGGGGCATAAATCAGTGAATAAATTGATAACCTATTTAAATAATTCAATAAAAAAGGACAAATGAGACGTCTGTTCATTTATTCTAGCTTTATCCATTAGTTGTGAGATTTGAAATCTACCAGATCAGAGAATTTAAGGAATAATGAATAATGTGGTCAGATGTCATTAAGTCAGATGCCAATCAAGGAACAAGCCGAACTTTTCCTTTGTTAAATCATGATAAATGAGAATAATTAATTCCCTTGGAATAAAAAAATAAATAAAGGACTATAGAAGCACATGGAAAATGGTTGGAAGCTAAAGCGTCTTTTCCTTATTAGCAAATATGGCTTCATTCACCCCTCTTTACAACCATCTCTCCTCTCTGTCCAGACCTAAAGCTGATTGCAAATCTGACCTGAAAGTCCTAATATTCGCATTTTAAAAATGTGGTAAAAGTGTCTGAAAGCGTTTTGTAAACTGAACTTTACCAAAAATATTTGGATTGATCGTTAAACAAGTTTGGGGAAAGAGGACATTAATTTCATTTCATTTTTATTTGTGGTTGAAGAAAATCCTAATATGTGTTTGTTTTCCTTTAGGTGAATCTCCCCAGCAGCCAAAGATTAAGAAGAATAAGAAATGAGTGACGTCTCGGAGGAGTTTAGAGACCATATCTACCAAGAGAAAGTTGCTGAAACTTAAAAACACATCTTCACTATAACCTGAACTGATCCTGATAGATTTATTTTCTTGTTATTTGGTGTTCATTTCTTTACCTTTGCTTTCTGCTGCTTTTAGCTGAGTGTGTCCAATATGCATATAATCAAAAAAACTGATTTAAATTACTTGTTTTATAAATCACTTTTGGGAAAGATTCTTTTTTTATTCTCCTCAGACTGTTGGGATATAAATGCTTTATCTATTACCTTATTAAAACCAAACTGTCAGCATTTAAAGCTTTGTGGTTTTTTCATGAGTTGTGATGTTCTGATAAAATGATGAAAGTCAAAATTCTATTCAGTTTATTTCTATAGCTCCAATTCAACACACGTCAACTCAGGTCACTTTCCAGTTCACCAGATCATCCAGTCAGATTGATTCAAAGTTTTCTAAGGAAAATCAGCTGATTGCATCGTCTCATTGACTCTTCAGCAATCCCTCACACTAAGCATGTTTATAGCGACAGTGGAGAGGAAAAACTCCCTTTTAACAGGAAGAAACCAGTGAAAAGGACTTAGTTATAAGCTGCAAAGGACTCTGTGTTTTGCAGAGCAGCTACAACATAAACAGCAAAAAGACGCCTGCAGTACGTCACTCTTAAAGGCAGCGATCTTTGGCAGTCCTTGGATAGACCCACCCTCAGACTGGAAGAAAATCTAAATTTGGATAAATCATTTTTTCTTAAGATAAGTGTTAGGGTTGTTAAGTTTCCCCAACTTCAACCTATAACAAATTAAACAAAGACAGTGCAGGATTTTTCCTGAAATGCTTTGCAAATGGGAGCACAGTATCAATCTCTGCATCTCTGCTTGGCTCAACACTTGCCAGGCTTTTTATTGAGCAGTCAACACATTACAACAGCAGGCATTAGTTTCGATTACGCAATCTCTTAGACATAGCATGAACTTTTAAGATAGGGAACTTGCCTGGTTTCAGCATACGCAAAGTGTCGGGGTTATGACTTTTCACTTCTCTGCTTCTCAAATGAAAAACAGGAACGCATTCTTGCAAAACATTTGACTGTCTTATGGCCTTCATACACTATTGCCAATGATGAGAGTAACATATAGAAAAACAAATGATTGAGAGCAATATAATGTCATGTTTGGCTTAAGGTGCCTAACCCACATGCAGAACACTCAGAGGCTGCAGAAAAGTTCAAAAGTTTATTGAAGCATTTGAACACAGTTAATGAACAGATCCATAGGGGAACTCGTCTGGTCACGAGTGAGTTCTGAAAAGTACACAGAGTAAACAGGTCCAGGACTGGTCACGAGTGGGTTCACTGCAGAGGGGGGACAGATGAGTTAGCGGAGGTCCAGATAAGTTGCAGGTTGAGAGTGAGCAAGGCTGTACCTGTACTGGAGTTGAGCTGAGCGGCGGAGGGGGGAACCTTGAGGGTCCAGAGGCCGTTGGCAGGCTGAGGGCTAGGCGGAGGCAGAGCTTGGTTTGAGTGTTTGGCAGATTACTGATTAGAGTTTCCCTTCCGGTTTCTTCTGAGAGCGGGCAGGCAGGTCTTTGACAGGACTAGTTCTCCAGGGTTCTTCAGAGAACAGACAGGCTGATTACCGGCAGAGATACTCTTCTGGGTTTCAGGTTTCAGACAGGTTCAATCTAGGAAGCAGAGAGGAGAAAACAGATCAGGTTCAGGTTCTGGTTTTCAGGGAGTCAGAAATTCAGACAGGCAGGTTGGCTCAGGCTTTGCTAACCGTAACTGGCAAACACTCTGGCACTGGAGAGACGTCCTCTGCCTCCTTAAATACAGATCTCCTGATGAACAGATGAGCGACAGGTGGTTGCAATCAGCTCTGGCTCCAGGAGATCTACTACTCCCTCTGGTGGAGAAAGTGGACAGACCTCCAGATCCCAACATAAGAAACATATAAATTAATAAATTATAAAAACAGCAGAAATCATAATAACTCCAACAATAAGTGAATTTGTTCTTGGATTGAGGAGATAAAAAAAGAGAATTTTTGCCAATGGAACAAGACAATTTACATTTAAAATATAAAACACCGTTGCATTGTCTTATTTCAAGTGCATGTTATCTAATTATATTTTTTAAGAGCAAAAATGCTAATTTAATTGGGAAATCCTCTTATTAACCTACTCAAATTAAGGGTAAATACACTTAATTTAAGACATATTTACTTATTTCTAGATTGTTTTTCCAGTGCAGGCAGAGGTTCTAAACCAGCTATATCAGGCATCCCCAAAGTCAGTCCTCGAGTGTCGCTGTCCTGCAGGTTTTAGAGGTTTCCAGCTCCAGCACAGCGGGTTTTAATTTAACGCTTACTTACATGCTTTTGCTCAACTGCAGTCATCATAATCAGCTGTGCTAAAGCAGGGAAACCTCTAAAACCTGCAGGACAGCGGCCCTCCAGGACCGACGTTGGGGATGCCGGATCTACATGCTCTTATTTGGCTACAGAAGAGGCAAGTACGACTGACCAGGTCAAGGAAAGAGGGGGGCAAGACAACCTCTTAAAACCACCCATCACTTAAGCCATGCCTTAATATGTGAGTAAACAAAACAAACACTTTTGTCACGCCCCAAAATTGACATGCAGACCAGCCCACTGCTTCACGGCCCGAGGGAGGGGGGGGTATGTGTCGACTGCTGGGCCGCTGACTGGACCAGATCTCAGCAGAGAGCCATGAGCCGCCCATGAGCCGCCCATTAGCTGGAGGAGGGGGGCTGGGGGCCTGTAACAGAAATCCCAAGTCTCCCGGAAGTTCTGGGAGTCTCCTTGATATAGTTGTTCACAGATGCCCGGGATTCGGATAAATTATCCCGGATTTTAGACAATGCGAGGCAGTGTTTTTTTAATGCCTGTGCACTGGGAAAAAAATCTAAATCTAGAAAAGTCTTCTTAAATTTTATCAGCGGAACAAGACAATTTACATTCAAAATAGGAAAACACAATAGCATTGTCTTATATCTAGTGCATGTTATCTAATTTTAAGATTAAAAATACTCATTCCATTGTTAAACTATCTGATTTATCTTCTCAAATTAAGGGTAAATACACCTCAGTTAAGAAATTTTTACTTATTTCTAGATTGTTTTCCACTGTTGGGATGTGGAGGCTTTGTCCATTTTCTCCACCAGAGGGTGCACGAGATCTCTTGAGGGCATGAGCTGACTGCAACACCTGTCTTCCATCTACTCATCAGGAACTCCTATTTAAGGAGGAGGAGGCTAACACTTCCCTGCCAGAGTGTTTGCCAGTAATGGTACCAGCAAAACCTGAGCCAGCCTCTCAGATCTGTTTTCCCTGAATTTGTGAACCTGCCTGAACCTGTTTCTCTCTGCTTCAAAGATCCAGTCCTGTCAGATAACCTGAAATCCTGGAGAATATCTCTGTCTGGAATCTGCCTGCCTGCACTCAGTTCTCTGCCTGCCTGCACTCAGTTAAGCCTCAGCCCTCTACCTGCCGACTAGCCTCTAGAGCCTCAAGGTTCCCCCCCTGCTGATCAGTTCCACCTCGGAGCAGGTATTTACTCCTACATCTGTAAACTGAAGTTTTCCTGGAACTCCTCTAACTTCTCTGTCCTTCTTAGTGGTGATCCTGCCGTGACCAGTCTGACCAGTCCAGTTCCAGTTCACATTTTTTGTAAATATTTGTACATAAACCTTTAAACTTTTCCCCGCCTCATAGAGTGTTTCTGCATGTGGGTTAGACACCTAAACCCCAACATGACATCCACTGTAGAATTACTTTAGGTCACATTACAGTTTTCTGTTAAAGGTTAAAGACCCTCTGAAAAATGTTCCCTCCTCCCCGTTGTTAAATGACAGCATGTTATTAGATGCAGGGCTCCACACTGCAAAAACGATCTAGAAATGAGCAAAATTGTCTTAAATGAAATGTACTTACCCTAAAGTTGAGTAGGTAAATGAGATGATCTGCCAATGGAATGGGTAGATAATAAAGCACTTGAAATAAGACAAGGCAAGGCAAATTTATTTGTATAGCACAATTCAGTACAAAGACAATGTAAAGTGCTTTACATGATTAAAATACAGGAAGATAAAACAGAATCAAAGCAAGTAGAAAAATAAATAAATAAATAAAACTAGAAAAAGCTGTTTCGGAGAAACATCAAAGTGGGAATGCTTTTGCTGAATGAAAAAAGCTGAAATTACCTGAAGAACATATGAAAATGTGATAGGAAGTCATCAGAAACTTCAAACTGCAGAAAACAATTGAATCATCTGAAGATTTTGTAGGGTAGAATCATTTGGCAGTAAAATGGCAAAAACAAACTCATCTTAAAAGCTGCACAGCCAAACCATACATGATATCAAAAAATGTCTTGAATGTGGGCACTAGAAGGGTCTTAATATAATGTCTCCCAAGTTTCTAGAAAAATGTATAAAGAAATTTTGAAGGGGGGTTTACCTACTTTCCAGAAACATGTCAGGCGTGTTATGAATTAGCAGCAAACAGAAAAGCTTAAAGGAATAGTACACCCAAAACATGATTAGCCTTCATTTTCTACTCACCTCCATGCTGAACAACACTCTGGAGTACTTTTTTGATATCTCAAATGCATCTGGAGATCTGGGAGACTTCTTGCTGTCTGCTGACATTCAAATAATGGAGGTCTATGGCGCCCGAGACAGAAAGGTCCACAAAAGTCCACAAAAACTTGTCAATATTCCTCCATAATGCTCGTCCAATGTAATCCAAGTGTCCTGAGTGGGTAGCATCCAGAATTTACTCGAAACGAAGTCATTTAGAACGTTTTAGAGCCTAAACAGTAGTGTATAGGATTTCCTAATAGCGCCCCCATGCGCGCTCACGATTCTACGGAAGCCGGCAGACCAAACCAGCGCATTCAGCTCGGCAAAGAACTCATGCTCTTCCTCAACACTGAAGTCCTCAGACATTTTTCTTTCGTTGTTTCTTTCTTTGCACAGGTAAACAGCACATTTCTTCTTCTACGCTTGCATTATCGGCAGACCAGACGCTGAATGCGCACTTCCTTCCGGTTTGGTCTGCCGGCTTCCGTAGAATCGTGAGCGCGCATGGGGGCGCTATTAGGAAATCCTATACACTACTGTTTATGCTCTAAAAACATTCTAAATGACTTCGTTTCGAGTAAATTCTGGATGCTACCCACTCAGGACACTTGGATTACATTGGACGAGCAGTATGGAGGAATATTGACACGTTTTTGTGGACTTTTATGGACCTTTCTGTCTCGGGCGCCATGGACCTCCATTATTTGAATGTCAGCAGACAGCAAGAAGCCTCCCAGATCTCCAGATGCATTTGAGATATCAAAAAAGTACTCCAGAGTGTTGTTCAGCATGGAGGTGAGTAGAAAATGAAGGCTAATCATGTTTTGGGTGTACTATTCCTTTAATTCCTGTCCAGAAAGAGAGCAGAATGAAGCCAAAGTTCACAACATAGGCTGAAAAGTATGAAATTAGCTGAAGTAGAAAAGAAATTAAAAAGAAAACTTTAATCTTATCTGGTTGAAGAAAAAATTAGTAGCTTAAGGATGGGAAGTAAAATGTTGAGGAAGATGGTATTGAATAAGTATTAACATTTTAAAATCATATGTGGAAATGTCAAGACTTGGCAAAACAATTGGAAAATTATTTAAAATGTGTCGGTTGATCAGCATAAAGAAAACAGTGTCATCCTTAGAGGATTGAAAATCTACAAACCTATGTGCAAGACTGACCATGAGAAGCAGAGGAAGGACAGAGAGAGAAGCTTATAGAAAGAGAGCTAATACCACTTAAGGAGCTGAATTTATAAAAAAAATTGAACCTGCATGTTACGAGCCGCTGTGTTGATGACAGCACCGTTGGCAGGCTTAGGCTGCATGTTACAAGGTTAGCAGATGCTTTATTACAGTGTAAATCTTAGAACCTGATTAAGAAATATGCACTGAGGTGTGTGGTCAACAGGCCTTGGTAGTGTAATTTGAAGAAATTGGTTGACTTTGGGTCATAGCTACAAGCCATACGGCACAATGAATGAGTGTGCGTAAGGAAGAGGCTTTTATTTTGTAGGTTCCCTTTAGTCTTATTTTGAAAGTCTATCATGGATGTGTGTCAAGGGAAGGGTCATGCCCAGCAGTGATATAGAATCCATTTCCAAATATGAAATCACTGGTTTTCCATGTTATTGGGTGAATAGATGCTGTATTAGAGTGTAAATGGGAGACTTTTATTGTGAAATTTGCTCTGGGGAATGTTTTGAAAAGGTCCCTTATGGTCTGGAGGGTTGATACACTGATAGCAAGTCTGTGATGTATTTAGGTGCTAAGCCATTCAGAGATTTATAGACTAACAGAAGTATTTTAAAGTCTATTCTCTGAGATACAGGGAGCCAGTGGAAGGACTTTAGAACTGGGGTGATGTGCTCTACTTTCTTAGTCTTAGTGAGGACACGGGCAGCAGCGTTCTGGATCAGCTGCAGCTGTCTGATCCACTTTTTAGGCAGACCTGTGAAAACACCGTTGCAGTAATCAATTCGACTAAAAATAAACGCATGGATTAGTTTTTCCAGATCATGCTGAGACATTAGTCCTTTAATCCTGGAAATGTTCTTCAGGTGATAGAAAGCCGACCTTGTAATTGTCTTTAAATGCTTTTGGAGGTTCAAGTCTGAATCCAGCACTACACCTAGACTTCGGGCCTGATCAGTGGTTACTAGCTGAAGCGACTGAAGCTGTGTGCTAACTTTAGATCTCTCCTCTATTGGTCCAAAGATTATTACTTCAGTTTTGTTTTTATTCAGTTGAAGAAAATTATGGCGCATCCAGGCATTGATGTCTTCTAAGCATTTCCTCAGTGTTTGAATTGGTTCATAGTCACCTGGTGACATGGTGAGGTAAAGCTGTGTGTCGTCTGCATAGTTATGGTAGCTGATTAAGGCAGTTTTTTTCATATTTTAAATGTAAATTGTCTTGTTCCATTGGCAAAGTGTCTCACTTACCTCCTCAATTCAAGAAAAAAAATTATTTATTGCAAGAACAAATGACTCATTTCGATTACATTTTTTTGCAGTGCAGTAGCTGTACCTGCTCAGCACATGAAACCAGTGCCAACCAATCAGCTGGTCTGTGTAGCAATAAGATGGAAGAATCTCAGCTCTATTCTGCTTTTGCCCTCAGCTAGAATTTATGATTAGAAAAATCATTGTGAGAAAAACTGCTCAACTGACCCTGATTGGTGAAGTTCTAAAGATTATGAACCAATTTATTCATGGCAATCGTACTCGTACATAGAAACACTCTGGGCCTGATTTTGAAAAGGTTTGTGTCTAGAAAAACAGAGTAACTAACTGTCTTATCATTATATAGCAGTTATCCCTGACCTTTGGTTTTATTGCTTGTAGCAAAGGTTGAGGAAATCAGAGCAGCAGTCGGAAAATAAAGCAGCGAGTCAGGACTGCAGGCTTCTAACAAAGAGGTAAAAACTGTTTTATTTCAATATTTAAGATACTAAAACCCAGAGTTTCCTCTACATTTGGAATCATTTCACACAGACGTACATTTTTACACTGGATAATATCGATGTTTAGATAAGTTATTTATTCTTAAAATAAGTGCATTTGTTCTTGGATTGAGGAGATAAAAGAGACATTTTGCCAATGGAACAAGACAATTTACATTTAAAATAAGAAAAAAAATGCAATGTCTTATTTCAAGCGAATATTATCTAATTAGATATTATGCACATGTACACTGCAAAAAATTGAAATCTAAATAAGTCATTTTTGCTAAAATTAAGTGCATTTTTTCATGAATTGAGGAGGTAAGTGAGACACTTTGGCAATGGAACAAGACAATTTACATTTAAAATAAGAAAAAAGAATTGCTTTTTCTTATTTCAAGTGTATATTATCTAATTATCTTATTTTAGGTGTAAAAATACTCATTCCATTGGCAGATCATCATATTTGGCTGCTCAAATTAAGGGTAAATAAACTTAATTTAAGACATCTTTTACTTAATTCTAGATGTTTTTTGCAGTGTAGTAAGACAATCTAATTGTGTTTTCTTATTCTTAAAGTAAATTGTCTTGTTCCATTGGCAAAATGTCTCTTTTACCTCCTCAATCCAAGAAAAAATGCACTTATTTTAAGAATAAATATAAAAATGTACTTTTCTAGACTATGATTTTTTTTTACAGTGAATGGAAAGAAAATCTAAATGTTCATTTTTTCCTTAAAATAAATGCATCTGTTCTTGAATTGAGGAGATAAAAGAGACATTTTACCAATGGAACAAAACAATTTACATTTTAAATAAAAAAGGCATTGTCTTATTTCAAGTGCATTTTGTCTAAATATTTTATTTTAAGAGTAAAAATCCTCATTCCATTGGCAAACTTTCTCATTTACCCACTCAAATTAAGGGTAGATACACTTAATTTAAGACATTTTTATTTATTTATAGAATGTTTTTGCAGTGTTGTTCCTGTGATTTTGTGTCGACTTCAGCCTCAGAGCAGCTGACGCCTCACTCTAACATAACATGTTTATTTTCTTCTCTAATCATCACAGATCCAAACAGCTTCCAACATGAACAGGTACAATATTCAAAACATGTTTTTCTGTCTGCTTTTCTGTCACTTATGCAATGGGAAAAAAAATGAAATTTAGATAAGTCCTTTTTTCTTAAAACAAGTGCATTTGTTCTTGGATTGAGGATTAAAAAGAAACATTTTGCCAATGGAACAAGACAGTTTACACTTAAAATAAAAAACATTGTCTTATTTCAAGTCCATATTATCTAATTATCATATTTTAACAGTAAAAATACTCATTCCATTGGCAGTCTACCTCATTTACTTACTCAAATTAAGGGTAAATCCACTTAATCTAAGAAATTAATACTTATTTCTAGATATTTTTTTTCAGTGTGGTTACATTGTAAAAACGATATAGGAATAGGTAAAAATGTCTTAAATTAAGTGCATTTACCCTTATTTGCGTAGGTAAGTGAGATAGTATTCCAATAGAATGAGTATTTTTACTCTTAAAATAAGATAATTAGATAAAATGGACTTGAGAGAAGACAATGCAATTGTCCTATTGCACTTAATTTAAGAAAAACTGACTTATCTAGATTTCGATTTTTTCCAGTGTACTTATTTTGACCACTCACCAAAAGGAGTTTTGAAAAAAGATGGACATTGATTTATGAGGCTCGTCATTTTATATAATGAGTTCTTGTCTGAAGTTGTGGATTTTTAGCTTCTCCGATAATCGGTCTCAGTTCTTCAGTTGGTTAATCTTATCTGTCCAAATAGAATAGAATAAAAATCTCCTCATTGTGACACAATGGGGAAATTCTGGTGTTTACAGCAGCTAAAAGATTATAGAAAAAAAATGGTCACACACACTACAAAAAATCTAAATCTAGATAAGTCATTTTTTTTCTTAAAATAAGCAGAGATGGGAAGTAACGAAGTACAAATACTTTGTTACTGCACTTTTCTGATATTTTTCCTTTACTTTACTACTTATTTTTATGGCGACTTTTTACTTCTACTCCTTACATTTTTACACAAATATCTGTACTTTCTACTCCTTACATTTTAAAAAATTGGCTCGTTACTTTAGTTTTGAATCATTTCAATGGAGTTACCGTTATTATTTTTCACGTCATCAATACCAAATTCAATCTAATTGGATGGGAATCTACGTTGCATTTGACGCACCACTACAAGATGAATCGACAGATTCGGCGGTATTCATTGGCGGCAAATCATTGCAGCTTGGTGGCGGTGGCGTTAGCATAGTAGCATGGACGACGAGATGATTGAAAATGAACACAACGGAGATCTAGTCCTATTGGCAGACATCCATTTAAAATGTAGGCAACGGCATGAAAAAAGTGGTTTCTACTTTTACTTTTATACTTTAAGTAAATTTACAAGCCTGTACTTTGTTACTTCTACTTGAGTAAAGAAGTTTAATCAGTACTTCCACTTTTACCAGAGTATTTTTTAACACAAGTATCTGTACTTTTACTCAAGTATGGAAAGTGAGTACTTTTGCCATCTCTGAAAATAAGTGCATTTGTCTTGAATTGAGGAGGTAAGTGAGACACTTTGCTAATGGAACAAGACAATTTATATTTAACATAAGAGAAAATAATTGCACTTATCATTGTCTTATTTCAAGAACACATTATCTAATTATCTTATATCAAGAATAAAAATACTTATTCCATTGGCAGATTTTTTTATTTACCTACTCAAATTAAGGTAAATACACTTAATCTAAGAAAATGTATTTATTTCTAGATCTTTTGTGCAGTGCAAATGTGGACATTAGAAAATTGTATAAGGATAACATAATAGTGAAGAGTTACCTAGAAAACGATCTAGAAATAAATAAAAATAAATTCTTAAATAATGTGTATTAACTCGTAATTTGAGTAGGTAAATAAGATTGCCAATAGAATGAGTGTTTTTACTATCAAAATAAGATATTTAGATAAAATGTAGTTGAAAATGCAAGTGTTTTCTTATTTTTAATGTAAACTGCTTTGCTCCAATGTCAAAATATCTCTTTTATCTCCTCAATCCAAGAAGAAATGAACTTATTCTAAGAAAAAATTACTTATCCAGTTTTTCATTTATTTTTAAGTACCAGGTGATGATATAAAATTATATATTGAACAAAGCTCTTTGTCCAAATTCTAACCGAGTTTTTAAATAGAATCTCTTTTTTTCCTTAACTTCATGCTAGACACTGTTTGGCACATGGTAAACTAAAAACAACAAAAACAAAATCCAGTAGGTTTAGATTTTAAACCCTTTTATGGTCCGTTCCAGTAAATCCAGTTGTGCAATCGTTTCCAGTACAAAGCTCATTGTTCTAAATACGACTGTTTCCTGAAAGAGAGCAATAAATGTTTAATGATTTATATTTATAACGACTTCCCTCTGGAATTTCATAAACTCATCATACAGTAGAAGCCATTCAAAATGTCCCCACTTTCTTTGATGTGGTCCCTCTTCAGTTCCTTTTTAAACATCAATCTTTGCACTAGAATATTCTTTCTGTCATGATTTGAGGACATTAAGATCCAATGGAAGCGCCATCCCCTGGTCAGAGCCTGTAATTCAGCTACAGATTTATATTATGCAGCATAAAACTCAGCTGATTGATATTTTTTCTGCATCAGGTCTACAGAGAAAAAAGGAGAGCCTCCTGAACCCAGCAGTATGTCTGTAATGAGCGATCACTCTGCAGATTATCCTCTGAACTTCAAAGCCAAGCGGGACCTTTTTGAAACAAGGTAAGGAACATTTCTTTCATTGGATCCACTTTATAGATCTATCTTCTGCTTTCTGTACATCCTAATTCTGCTTTTTTAGGGTTTCCTCCGACACACCTCTTGAGAGTAGACCCCCCTCAGACACTAGCTCTGTTTCCATGAGAAGTGACCAATCTGCCGGTCATCCTTTAAACTTTAAAAGAGCTGACTCGTTCAGCACAAGGTGAAGGTTCATTTATGCTTTTATGAACAAAAGCACCATAATTTTTACAGAACGTCTTCAGATCTTGTTTCTATCTTCTTTCAGTTCCAGCTCCAAAGTTTCCTCTGCGAGCGTCGCAGAGACGAGACGTGGCTCAGATTCTAGCTCTGTTTCCATGAGAAGTCACCAATCTGCTGGTCATCCTTTAAACTTTAAAGATGGACGAGAGGCATTGGAAACAAGGTGAACATTTACACCCATAAAGCCTAAAATATGGTCATATCTACACTACATCCAGGTCTACAGATCTAGGGTCAGGAAATAAAAACTTTCCTCTGTACACCTCACATTCTACAAAAAAAACTGTCTAGACCTATAACATAAGGTTGGAGCTAGAGAGATATATTTAGGAAAAACAGATGGAATCCTAAAGTATCCAGACTGAAAGCACGATTATTTGCACAAATCATTAACTAAACTCACATAGAATTATCCCTTTAAGATTCTGTTCTCATTCTCCTTGTTTTCCAGCTGCAATAACTTTTCCAAGAAAACATCAGAGAGGAGACATGGCTCAGATTCTAGCTCTGTTTCCATGAAAAGTGACCAATCTGCTGGTCATCCTTTAAACTTCAAAGATGAACGAGAAGCATTGGAAACAAGGTAAAAGTTTACATGCATGGTGCAGGAAAATGATGCAGTAGCTGCTGGTCATCTTCTATGCCATTATTAAATCTGTACATCAATCACTGTCTAATTTACCTATAAGTGCAGGTCCACATACAATAAAAAATTAGGTCAAAAGCGAGACTAGTTTTTCTGACCTTCCCACAATCCAGGGCTTGTAGGTCTGGATTCAGTAAAAAAGAGACCTTTCATCTCAGCAGACCTCACATTCTGGAAACAAACTGTTTAGACTGTTTAACCCTAATATTTGGAGCTACAGAGTATTATTGAGATAAAAACAGCTGCCACTTAAACAGTGCCATCGTAAAAAGGTAGCACCCAGATTAATAGGATGATTGCACCAATCATTTATTAAAACCATCTTACAATGATTAACCTCTTAAAGAACCTCTTAAGATCGTGTTTTCTTACTCCTTTTTTTCCAGCTCAGATAATGTTTCCAAGAAAACATCAGAGAAGAGACATGGCTCAGATTCTAGCTCTGTTTCCATGACAAGTGACCAATCTGCTGGTCATCCTTTAAACTTCAAAGAAGGACGAGACACACTGGAAACAAGGTAAAAGTTGACATCTAGGATCTCTGAAATGTAACCTGATGTGATCTTTTCCACCATCACTGAGACCAAGGCTGTGTCCAAACGTCTGCCCCATCACCATATAGAGGACAATATAGTGGTTACGCCATTTTATATGACTGTCAGAAGGTCTAGCGGGTGAAAAAGTAGTGGACTTAAAAGTTCCCACAATTCACCTTGAAATGCAGAGATCATCCATGGTCACTAGACGAGCGGGTATAACGCAGATTTATTTGCGAGAGTTCTCCTTGCAAGGCATCATGGGATTTGTTGGCGCAGGCACCATGCAGAGAGATGGAGTTACGATCCTCTGTCTGAATGGTCAGTTACAGTAGCAGCCATTCAAAATGGCAATACCCAGTCAAACGCCAGCAGAATGTCAGCCAACTTCCAGCCACTGGAGGGACCCCCTTCTTCACCTTGACGAGCATATTTTTTTACTCTGACTCCTCCCTTTCCATGAATTACAGGGTCTGACTGTCATGTTTGGATTTATATGTCTAACCTACATGCAGAACACTCGGAGGCAGATGAAAAGCTCAAAGGTTTATTAACAATAAATGTACAATGATATGAACAGGTCCAAGAGGGGGCTTGACTGGTCACGAGTGGTTCACCGCTGAGGAGGACAGAGCGATTAGTGAAGGTCCAGGTATATTGCAGGTTGTCAATGTTCAGGTCTATACCTGTTCTGGAGTGGAGCAGAGCTGCAGAGGGAGGGAAGCTTTAGGGGTCCAGAGGTAGTCGGCAGGCTGAGGGCTGAGGCGGAGGCAGAGCTTACTGAGTGTTGCAGGCAGATCTCAGACTGAGTTTCCTTCCAATTTATCTTCTGAGAGCGGGAAGGCAGATACTGACTGAGGCAGCTCTCCTGAATTCTACTGAGAACGGACAGGCAGATACCGGCAGTTTCAGGTATTCAGGCAGGATCAACCTGTGAGGCAGAGAGGAGAAAACGGGATCAGGCTAAGTTCACAAAAAGTCAGAGAACACAGACAGGCAGGTTGGCTCAAGCTTTGCTAACCATTACTGGCAAACACTCTGGCGCTGGAGTGAAGCCCTCCGCCTCCTTAAGTACGGATCTCCCGATGAGCAGATGGAAAACAGGTGGTGCGGTCGGCTCATGCTCCAGGAGATCTCGTGCGCCCTCTGGTGGAGAAAGTGGACAAACCTCCAGATCCCAACACTGACCAGGAGATGGCCCTTCTCTTTAGATCCTAATGTCCACAAATCATGACAGAAATAATATTTTAGTACAAAGATTGATGTTTAAAAAAGAATTGTAGTGGACCAGCCAAGAACCCATCAAAGAAAATGGGGAACTTTTAAATGGCTACTGCTGTAAGTGGGTTCACTCTTAAGTTCACTATATATAGTGCTTAAGGGATTTAGGGATTAGGGCGGACATTCGGACACAGCTAAAGATTCACTTTGTCTTCATCTTCATTGTTTCTGCCAGTTTTCCACAAAGGAAAGAAACGTCACTTGACTGTGTTTCCATGAGGAGTGATCAATCCAAGGATTACCCTCTTAACATCAAAGATGGGTGTGTACCTCACAAATGACCCCCAAAAACATCAGAATTTAAAACCCTCCATAAAGATCTTAACCCTCTGTGGTTATGTTTGTTTTTTTTTGTTGTGATTCTACCTCAGAGTGGACGAGCAGAGGACAGAAATGCTCAGTGATCGGTCTGCAAACCAAGATCCTTCGGAGCTGACGCTAATTTTTAAGGTTTCTATTGAACATTGCACACCGTTGAATAATTAAACATCTGTTCCACAACGACTAATAATGAGTAAATATCTTGTAATTGTCGCAGTATATTCAGTTATTTTGTAGCTTTATATGGATGATGATTAACTTTCTGTTAATAATTAACAGAAAACGGTAAAAGCAGAATAGAGCAGGTCTGCACTTTCATAAAACAAACATCCAAGAAAGCTCCCAACTGCTGGAGGGAAATAATTAAACCTGCCAAGTGCTGGAGGACAACAGAAAACTGATGAATACAGAGTTTTTGGTCAAAGGAAAAGGTCCAAACTCAAATGTCCCAGACCTGAAAACCCCTCCATACCAATCTACCATCCATCATGTTTCAAATGCTCCATCATTGTCTTTGTCCCCTAGAAAGAAAGCAGGAGATGAAAACCAGTTAAATCTTCTGCACAGTAAGCAGAAATGAATGGATGTCAGTGGACCATGAGGCCAGTCACACTGGTCATTTGGGAAGCACACTGTGAAATGATGAAGACTTTTGAAGACCACAAAGTTTAGATCTTGGACAGAGAGGACAAAGGGGTTTAAAAAAAAGGGTAAAAGTATCCATATTCCTCAAAAAGGAAAAGAAAACTCTGAACACAGAAACATTTTGGTGTTACAGCTCCATAGCTCTAACACCAAATCCAATTACTGAACTTACACCGAACTCCAATAACCCTGCAGAATAAGGGATGAGTCTTTGACTTGCATGAGACTTGAAAGAGTCATGGAGGCTTTGCCTCTAAAACAGCTTTACTCCAACTCCAATAGACAAAAGCTCAACAGTGTATTGGAATGGGTCTGTGAGTAAGGAAGAAGCTAGGTAGTGGATGTATCACGGATTTTGTTTTAAGTTGTTTTACCCACATACAGAACATTCAGGAGGGGGGAGGGTGAGTTGGGTCCAGGAAATCCTGTGAGTCTTGGAACTGACGGAGTTTCTTGTGAAAGTGAATGAATCTAGGGGAGCACAGAGGAGAGCGGATCAGGTTGAACGAAGCAGTGACCCTAAAGGTGCTCTGGGCTGTCAGCTGGGAAAAGCTTTGTAGATGTCTAAAGAACTTTGTTTGTAGATGTTTGTAGTGGCTGAATGTCTGGGCCTTCCCGACCCTGGATAAACAGAAGAAGATGGATGGATGGATCCATCCATCTCAATCATAAACCTGAAGGCTGTTTGCATCCATCACAGCTGTTTGGAGGACCTTTCCAACCCTGGATAGTAATCCCTAAAAGGTGAAGGGACGAGAGTTAGGTGCAGGGACTATAGGAGCTAAAAGTTAAGGTATTTGTAAGGACTGAGTTGGTGTTAAAACATTATCATAAAAACTGAGCTGATTTAAGGCCGTTTGTGGAAGTAGATAGAATTATCGGTTGGACTGCTGGTGCAATGCAATCCAAACCACATGGCTGAAACCACAACTTACCAACTCATGACTATAGAAATTCCAATGTAGAAATGACAGTAGAAAAAAACAGAACAAAGAACATAGCAGTACAAGTCTAAACACAATAAAAATTAGGTCTGCAGAGGAGATAACTATGGTTGACCTACTTGCCATTCATGGGTTTTTGCAAACAATGCACCTAAAAGCAGATCCCACACATTCTGGACACATAAAAAAGACTGCCATCCTAAGGTCTAAAATTGCTTAAGCTAGAAAAACTTGTTCATTTGTATTTGGAAATAATATCAAATTCCTGGTTTGTGTCCAGAAACTTGGCAAATAAAAATGATATGGAATTGTCCCACTATGCCACCCACCCTTTCTTCAACATTGGATTTATTTTTTGGGTGTACCTAACTTACATTATATCGTTTCAGGAGCTGGAGAACAATATTGTTGACTTTGTCAAGAATGAGCTGAAGAAGTTTCAGACTTCACTGCATCCAGATCCTTCACAACAGTTAAACAAGGTCAAGAAGGATGAGGAGGTTCTGCGGGGTGAAGATGAAGCCCAGAGGAGCACAAAGGAAGCTTTTTTAAATATCACACTGTACTTTCTGAAGTGCATGAAACAGGAGCAGCTTGCTGACTTACTGTACAGCAGTAAGTCAAAGATGCAAATATGTATCACCTTTAGTGTTTTATTTTGCACTTTCTTTAATTGTCTTTGCCATTCCAGAAATATTTGCTCCACTCTGTATAAACAAACTTAAATCCAACCTAAAGAAGAAGTTTGAGAGTGTATTTGAGGGGATCGCTAAAGCAGGAAGTCCAACCCTTCTGAACCAGATCTACACAGAGCTCTACATCACAGAGGGAGGGACTGGGGAGGTCAATGATGAACATGAGATCAGACAGATTGAAACAGCATCCAGGAAAGCAAACAGAGGAGAAACAACAATCAAAGAGGCAGACATCTTTAAAGTCCCACCTGGAAGAGATCAACCAGTCAGAACAGTGATGACAAATGGAGTGGCTGGCATTGGGAAAACAGTCTTAACACAGAAGTTCACTCTGGACTGGGCTGAAGGCAAATCCAATCAGAACATCCAGTTCATATTTCCATTCACCTTCAGAGAGCTGAATGTTGTAAAAAATAAAAAGTTCAGCTTAGTGAAACTTGTTCATTATTTCTTTGCTGAAACCAAAGAGGCAGGAATCCAAAGGTTTGACAAGTTCCAGGTTCTGTTCATCTTTGATGGTCTGGATGAGAGTCGACTTCCTCTGGACTTCCACAACAAGGAGATCCTGACTGACGTTACAGAGTCCACCTCAGTGGATGTTCTGCTGACGAACCTCATCAGGGGGAACCTGCTTCCCTCTGCTCTCCTCTGGATAACCACACGACCCGCAGCAGCCAATCAGATCCCTCCTGAATGTGTCAGCATGGTGACAGAGGTCAGAGGGTTCACCGACCCACAGAAGGAGCAGTACTTCAAGAAGAGATTCAGAGAAAAGAAAGAGAGCAAAAGGATAATTTCCCACATAAAGACATCCAGAAGCATTCACATCATGTGCCACATCCCGGTCTTCTGCTGGATCACTGCTAAGGTTCTGGAGGATGTTCTGAAGGCCAAAGAGAAAGCTGAGCTGCCAAACACCCTGACTGAGATGTACATCCACTTCTTGGTGGTTCAGACGAAAATAAAGAAAGTCAAATACGATCGAGGGTCTGAGACAGATCCACACTGGAGTCCAGAGAGCCAGGAGATGATTAAGTCTTTAGGAAAACTGGCCTTTGATCAGCTGCAGAAAGGAAACCTGATCTTCTATGAATCCGACCTGATAGAATGTGGCATCGACATCAGAGCAGCCTCAGTTTACTCAGGAGTTTTAACACAGATCTTTAAAGAGGAGACAGGTCTGTATGAGGAGAGCGTTTTCTGTTTCATCCATCTGAGTGTCCAAGAGTTTCTTGCTGCTTTGCATATCCGCCTACAGATCTCCAAGAACGACGCTGACTTGCCAAAAGAACAAAAGACTACCTTTAATATCTCCAAAACAAGAAAAGGTGTTACTCCACTGGGGAACTTCTACCAGACTGCTGTTGACGAGGCTCTGCAGAGTAAAAATGGACATCTGGATTTGTTTCTTCGCTTCCTCTTAGGGCTCTCCCTGGAAAGCAATCAGAAGTTACTAAAAGGTATTTTGTCATGGATAGGAAGCAATTCTGAGCCCAACCAGGAAACGATTGCCTACATCAAGAAGAAGATTGAAACCTGCACATCTACAGAGAAGTGCATTAATCTCTTCCATTGTCTGAACGAACTGAAGGATGATTCTCTAGTGAAGGAAATACAAACGTTCCTGAAATCAGGAAATCTGTCTCAACAAGAGCTGTCCCCCACCCAGTGGTCAGCTCTTGTCTTCATCTTGCTGTCGTCAGAAAAAGATCTGGACGTCTTTGACCTAAAGAAGTACTCTGCCTCAGAGAATTATCTTTTGAACCTACTCCCAGTCCTCAAGGCATCTAATAAAGCTCTGTAAGTTTGCACATTTCAAACTGTTAGAATGATGGGAAAAGCATAATGCATTCTGTTTTATGTTTTCTTTTTTTTTTCTTTTTTAGCTTGGATGGTTGTCACCTCTCAGAGAAAAGCTGTGAAGCTCTTGCCTCAGTCCTCAGCTCGAAGTTCTGCTATCTGAAAGAGTTGGATTTAAGTAACAACGACCTTAAGGATTCAGGAGTGAAGCAGCTGTGCATTGGACTGCAGAGTCCACATTGTAAACTAGAAACTCTCAGGTCAGACAAAATAACACAAATATAGAAAATCTCTTTAACCTCTTGATGCCTAATGCGGCAACCTTCAACAGACTTTGTATGTTATGCAAACAGTCTATATCACATGTGTTTCCCCCCAATGCCAGTTATTACCCATTCAGAGCAGACCTAGGAACCTTTGACAAGCACTTGTTTCTGGCACGACTGATCTCTGAGGGTGTCAGGATTGGTGAATGTTTAGCCCAATTCCAAACCGGCCCCTAAACACTAACTCTCCGTGTGCACGTCCTCACGGAGGGTCCTACACATTAAGTGCCGTCCCAAACCGTGTAGTGGGTAGGGCCAGTCGACCATTCAGCCCTTAAATAATGGATATGCGTCGGTGCAGACTCTCTGGAATTCGGTAGGAGGTGTAACAGGGGTCTTGTGGTGGAGGAAACGCGCTTCTCCAAATATAAGTAGAGCTGGTTTGCTGCATCTTCGTCACACTGACAGAAAATCACAAAACTTAAAAAAAACTTAATTCCAAAAAGGAAGGTCCTCTATGAAATAGTTTTATTTGACCGTATACATTTGTGTTTCCGTAGCAATGACTCCTTTCCTTTTCCACTGGATGAAAGAGGTCGTCCCATTCTCATTAATACCCCCCAACTTCAATCACAGCTGCGAGTGAGACTTCATTGGAAGTGACACTTGAAAGTTGAGGGTTAGGGGGTGGTTTGGGATTCAGTCTAAAACTAAGAATTCAAAACTGATATAAATTTTGACAACCACATAGAATAACATAAAATAAAGCATAACTGAGAACCCAAAATGAAAACTTAACTCCTTAAGCCCTGAGGGTCTTAGGAGCAATTTCCACCTGAAATTACATATGTGGATTAAAGCAAGTCCAGTTCCCAAACTTCAAATTGTAAATACAGTTGTTTGTATTTGTGTGACAGAAAGGCATTGAGGAATAATTTTCAGGTGGAACCACTATTTTAAATGTCCATGTCTGATTTATAGGTGATTAAACAAAGAGAAAATAAACACTGCAGAACATCATGAAAGCCCAGTGTGGAGTAAAAATGAGCAACGGGAGATGATTTGCAAGGAAGAAAAAGTTTTATTCCGCTCTGCAGAGGAGAACAACACAGATAAGCTAAGGACAGCTCCCTGTGTGATTCTGACTACGTCCTGCCCCACCTTTGCATTATAAAGACTCCTTACACACGGACATTGAGTCTTTCCAAGAGAAACACTTCATTAAAAGACATAAATATATGTTCAGATAATCTATGTTTTCCCCTTATCTAACCTAGGGAGGAAACTCCTTTTCAAACCTCCTTCCTTTCCCTACATCTCAGCATAAAGAATGGAACAATAGCTTCTCACTAATCACCATTATTCAGAAAGAAAAACCGGCACACTTTAATATTTAACCTTACTAACATTCAAGGAAAAACCACAAGTCACACCAGACTTAGTAGATCCACATCTTGTTTAAAACTAAGACGAATTTGGACTGAATAATTGAAGCATGTTTGTTGCAGAAAGGTTTTAGTGGGCAGTGTGCGAGGAGGAAATGGGATTTTGGTGGCCAAATTGTGCCAAATGCATTTTTCTACTCATATAAGGGAACCTGGCCAGAAAAATGAGCTGATTTACATTATTGGAGACCTTCTGCATAGGGCAAAGCATCAAGATTTAGCCGTTTCATTGAACTTTACCAATAATATCACCAAACCGAATAGAAAATAAGAATAACAGAGCAAGCTTATGTGACACGTGCCGATTACATCACCTGAAATGGTTGCATGATTACCTCCAACCCCTCCTTGGAAAGATCTGAGCCTCTAGTTTCCAATGATGGCGGCCATTAGGGGGCAGGGCCAAAAATGAATACCTGCTGTTGCATTACTCCCGCAGTCACACATGTAAGGTGGAATTTTAAATCTCCTTGTATTTGTTTACACAGCTATAAAACAAAAAGTATTTTTTTGAAAGATGTTTTACAAAATGTAAAAGGTGTGTGGATGAAACACCATGTGACTGTGTTTTGGACATTTCTATAAATAGATAAACATGAGCAGGTGTCAGTTGGGCCCTGTACCGGGACTGTTGGGCTCAAGGGGGTAAACAGAACCAGAAAAAAAGCGTCTATATATTATCATTGATAACTGTTCTCACAAATCTGCAGTAAACCGGATTTCTATATATTTTTGTGCAAAAATATATGTATATACCCTAAAATGTATATACATGTGTATAAATTCAGGCACCAAGGGGTTAAATACATGTCTTATACATATAACATAAGTCTTATGTTGGCCTGATGCTGTTTTTACAGGTTGTCAGGTTGCCTAATCACAGAGGAAGGCATTGTTTCAATTGCCTCAGCACTTACCTCCAACCCTTATCATCTAAAAGAGTTGGACCTGAGCTTCAATCATCCAGGAAAAGCAGGGATGAAGCTCCTTTCACATTTGAGACTGGAGACACTCAGGTATGTAAAGATTTCTGTAGCCACAAGAGACGGTGGTCTGAAAGCTAAGGACACCGACGTTCTACACCCTCATTTAGAATCATGCTTTAAACACTTTAACTCATTAAGCACCCATTGTTCTTCATTATTCTAAAGAATTCAGTAGTTAATATGAGTTCCATGCTTTGCAGCTAGAGAAACTAAAATCCAGGTTGCTGATGAAGATTCTCAGTCATCCAGGTCATAGTCATTCCGTAAAAGTTCAAAAAATATCCACTGGACTTGGTTTCCAAGATTTGAAGATGTTTCGCCACCTCTCCAGGCCCAACACGGAAGAGCGGCCTCCTCTGGACAAGACTCCGCAGTACACCTACACCTTGTGGACAAAGGACATTTTTTTTTGAGGACCAGAATGTTCACATTCTGGATAAACAAAATAGGTGGTTTGAGAGGGGCATGAAGGAAGCCATTATGTTAAGAGAGAAAAACCAACTTTAAACAGAGGTGGTGGACTCAGATTCCAGCTTCCAAAAACATACAATTCAGTTATAGACATGATCCCTTCCAGATATCACCAAACCCTCCACCCCATCATAGAGGAACGAGGGACCTACCCGCTCCAGCCGGTGAACAATACCTCCTTAACGACCGACTCTTAACAATCATAGACAGGTTTCAGGTATTACAGGAGACAACCCCCCCCTTAACGGCAACCCCGCCCTTTAATGGCCGAGCTTCAGAATCATAGACAGGTTTCAGATATTACAGGCTAACAATGGAACCAAACGACCCATTCATCGGTTACCATTTGTATGTTTCCAAGCGATACACGGCCTTGTCTATATAAGACTCACTGCGGATCCAGACATTTTAATTGAGAAGGCTTCCTGGTGGTGGCGAAACATTTTCAAATCTTGGAAACCAAGTCCAGTGGATATTTTTTGAACTTTTACGGAATAAAATCCAGGTTGATTTGAAGATGTTCTCCATCCACCAATCCCTTCGGTCAGCCCTCCTTCCCTCTTACTCTTCAATTAAATAATCAATTAATCCCAAAGGTAAATGAAATAAATATACAAAGAAGGAAAAACAAACACAACAGTTCTGTTAGCTCTACGCCTGCCGAAGACACAGACGTCCATCCCCGTGAACACTGGGACGGAACTCAATGGGAAAGGAAACGATTCTGATTTCTTATTTCAACCGTTGTGTATATTAGCTGCGACATATGAATCAAGATGCTATGACCGAAAAAATTTGATTGACAGATGACCGTTGATATATGATTGGATGAATTTAGGTGTTCAGGCTGACGTAGAACTAACTGGCCTGCAGAAGATATAGGAGAAGAAACAAAAGAGATTTTAAGACAGCATTTTTTTAATAGAAATTTTCTAACTTTTGTGGCAATATGGTCTGATAAAGAGTACATTTACACTCACCGGCCACTTTATTAGGTACACCTCTCCAAATGCTCGTTAACACTTAATTTCTAAGCAGCCAATCACATGGCGGCAACTCAGTGCATTTAGGCATGTAGACATGGTCAAGACAATCTCCTGCAGTTCAAACCGAGCATCAGTATGGGGAAGAAAGGTGATTTGAGTGACTTTGAAAGTGGCATGATTGTTGGTGCCAGAAGGGCTGGTCTGAGTATTTCAGAAACTGCGGATCTACTGGGATTTTCACGCACAACCATCTCTAGGGTTTACAGAGAATGGTCCGAAAAAGAAAAAACATCCAGTGAGCGGCAGTTCTGTGGGCGGAAATGCCTTGTTGATGCCAGAGGTCAGAGGAGAATGGCCAGACTGGTTGGAGCTGATAGAAGGGCATCAGTGACTCAAATAACCACCCGTTACAACCAAGGTGGGCAGAAGAGCATCTCTGAACGCACAGTACGTGGAACTTTGAGGCAGATGGGCTACAGCAGCAGAAGACCACACCGGGTGCCACTCCTTTCAGCTAAGAACAGGAAACTGAGGCTACAATTTGCACAAGCTCATCGAAATTGGACAATAGAAGATTGGAAAAACGTTGCCTGGTCTGATGAGTCTCGATTTCTGCTGCGACATTCGGATGGTAGGGTCAGAATTTGGCGTCTACAACATGAAAGCATGGATCCATCCTGCCTTGTATCAACGGTTCAGGCTGGTGGTGGTGGTGTCATGGTGTGGGGAATATCTTCTTGGCACTCTTTGGGCCCCTTGGTACCAATTGAGCATCGTTGCAACGCCACAGCCTACCTGAGTATTGTTGCTGACCATGTCCATCCCTTTATGACCACAATGTACCCAACTTCTGATGGCTACTTTCAGCAGGATAATGCGCCATGTCATAAAGCTGGAATCATCTCAGACTGGTTTCTTGAACATGACAATGAGTTCACTGTACTCAAATGGCCTCCACAGTCACCAGATCTCAATCCAATAGAGCATCTTTGGGATGTGGTGGAACGGGAGATTCGCATCATGGATGTGCAGCCGACAAATCTGCGGCAACTGTGTGATGCCATCATGTCAATATGGACCAAACTCCCTGAGGAATGCTTCCAGCACCTTGTTGAATCTATGCCACCAAGAATTGAGGCAGTTCTGAAGGCAAAAGGGGGTCCAACCCGTTACTAGCATGGGGTACCTAATAAAGTGGCTGGTGAGTGTATATATATATTTAAGCCAGAATGATTTGACATTGAAATATGATTTCCCTACGACTTTAAACACCCTGTTAGGAGAAAGCTACACCTCTGTAGGAGTGTCTTGTAATACTGTCTGGGGGGAGATGTCGTAGAACAAGTCAGTTGCAGACAGTGGCGTCACCAGGGGGTGGCTAGGGAAGGCCATAGCCACCTTGTGAAATGACCTGGCCAACATCAACCCATTAATATCATGGTTTATGGAACAAGACCCACGTGCGCCCCCTTGTGGTAGATGAAGAGGGGGAACTCCAACACAGAGCCCATTCTAAATTGCCCTTGTTGTTTCCTGAACATGTCCATAATCTGATGATAGAAAATGAAGTTTTCTTTTTCCTCTTCAGAACGGACTGTGGTGGAGAATGGACGCTACAGGCAGGACTGAGAAAGTGTAAGTCTGCTTTAACCTAAATTATCTGAAAAACATATGAAACAAACATATTTATCCTGAATGATGTAACTTTCCTAAATCGCAGATACTCGTGGACTGACTCTGGATTCAGAAACGGCACACAGAAACCTCAAACTATCTGATAACATCAGAAAGGTGACAGCGATGACCGAGACCCAAGCGTATACTGAGAACCCGGAGAGGTTTGACCACTGGCTCCAGCTGCTCTGTGCAGAAGCTCTGACCGGTCGCCATTATTGGGAGGTTAAATGGGAGGGGATGGTGAGCATCGGAGTGACTTACAGAGGGATTGAAAGGAAAGGGAACAGTGTCAGTTGTTTGCTTGGTGGGAATGATAAGTCCTGGACTCTTTACTGTTCAAAGAACGGTTACTTTGGGTTTCACGGTGACAAAAGGAAAGATGTCCCACAATCCTCCTGTGTCTCCGACAGAGTGGGCGTCTATCTGGACCATCCGTCTGGGACACTCTCCTTCTACATAGTGTCCTCTGACAAACTCATCCACCTTCGAACCTTCGGCGCCACATTTACTGAACCTCTTTATCCTGCTTTTCGAGCTTTTCCTGGTTCTTCAGTCTCTCTGGAGGATTAAAAACTGTTTTCAATCTTCTGATCACTTCATCTTTTAGGTTTAGTCTAATGATTCTGCCAGTGGCTTTTTACAGCCGCCTGTTTTTATTTAAAACAAGAGGGAAATATAAAGATTACATGTATTATACATTCAACATTTAGTAAACTGTTGAATGTTGAATGCTGAAAAAAAATAGAAATCTAAAAAAGTCATTTTTGCTTAAAATAAGTGAATTTTGTCATGATTTGAGGAGGTAAGTGAGACACTTTGCTAATAGAACAAGACAATTTACATTTAAAATAAGAAAAATCAGTCACATTGTCTCATTCCAAGTGTTTTTCATCTAATTATCTTATTTTAAGAGTAAAGACACTCATTCCATTGGCAGATCATCCTATTTACCTGCTCAATTAAGGGTAAATACACTTAATTTAGCGAAATATTTATTTATTTTTTGGATGGTTTTTCAGAGCTTAGATTTATTGTTTGATTTATTTTTTGAATTCATGGATTCTTTTGTGTATTCTTTTGAATAAACACACATATTCTTATTTTTACATCTTAGTTTTTCTTGTTTCTTATCAACAAAGTTTGTTAGAGCATCCAGTAAGAGCCAAAGTTAACGGTTTTATATTTTGTTAATTATTTTGTTGGCACAGGTGTTGAAATCTTCCCCCAGCTGGGGTGATTACTTAGTGGGTGTGGCCCCTTGTTATTTTAGAAGATAGGAGTGCACCCAGTGTAGAGGTTTTGTCAAACTTTTCTGTTGACCCTCATCGTTATTTGTAACTTTTTGGAAAATAAATAAGAAAGAAAAGAAGTGTAGCTCAGGATGGCTTCTTGGAGATGCATCACAGCGCACAAAACTTCTCAGCCAGCAGCGGCTCTGTTGGTGGATGGAAGACGCTACACATCCAATCAGCAAAGTTAAGTTTTTGTTCCTCAGTATTTAAACACAATAATGTGTTGTTAGCATGTCTAATAAACTCAAAACTCTTTCAGTTCAACCAAAGGAAACAGTAAGAGAATCGTACCAAAGATTTCTGACATGTGCAAAAGAAAAGTTTAAGCCTGGTTCTGCTGGAGGTTTTTTCCTGTTAAAAAAGGAGTTTTCCTCTCCACTGTCGCTACAAGCATGGTTAGTGTGAGGGATTGCTGAAGAGTCAATGAGTCAATGCAATCAGCTGGTTTTCCTTAGATAGAAAACTTTGAATCAATCTGACTGGATGATCTGGTGAACTGGAAAGTGCCTTGAGATGACATGATGTGAATTGGAGCTATAGAAATAAACTGAATAGAATTGAAAAGTTTACTTTTTTCTTTGTGATAAAAATGGAATCATTTGAATGATGAAAATTTATTATAGAAAAAAAGATTTTTTCGAAACATTGCATTATGATTCTGAAATTGGGCACAACATATTTTTTTGATTGAAGAAAGAGAAAAAACAGATTTATCTCCATAGATAAGAACAACCTGCATTAATTAGAACTGAAGCTGCTGTCTGGTTGAAAGCAAAGTTCCTTCATCGTTTAGATGTTTCTACCTGAACACCTGAATCCAAAGATCAGGTTATTATCAGGGCCTGGAGGACTTGACTCCAGACCAGCGCTGGGAGTAACAGCATTAGATAACAGTGGTGTTAGCAGCTGCATTAAATATTCCATTTAAAAAGTAATCAAATTACTTTTCACATATTGGTAACACCGTAACATTTCTCGCAATTCCTTTCAATTGTTTAATATCATATAATTAATATCATTGTACTTCTAGTTAACATCCAATAACAGGAAAGATTTCCAAATTCTTAGACATTTTAAATTGTAAAAAGTAATTGGTAACTCGTTACTTTGACCGTGCCTTATGTGAGATACACTCGGTTATTTTTTTGGATGGGTTAGTGGTTACCCTGTTTCTATGGAAACGGAGAACAATCTAGAAGGAGCAGAAAAGCAGCCCTTTAGAACAGAATATAAAAACCCAACTGGAAACACTCAGCTCAGAAGTTTGGTTAAAAAGGTTCAAGCTGCAGTTATATAAAAGCTGGATGTAATAATCTGTTTGTCCAGTAGATGGCAGCCTTGGTAAATATACAAAGAACTGCAGATTAGTTTAATCTCAATTGTTCTGCCTGAACAAATACCATTAGGTGGTTAATGTTTTTACAGACTTGGAAAATAATAATAATGCCAGGTTTGAATCTCTAACATATTATTTTTAATGAGATGTTTGTGTAATCCTGATTAAGGATATCACAGATTGTGAAGACCGGTCTTGTAGATCACAGAGTGATTAACATGATGTCCAAGCTTTGCATTAAATAAAGACAGCATCTGTCTCTACAGGACAGAGAAGGAGTCTTTCTGGACCAACCTGCAGTAATGTTGTCTTTCTACAAAGTAGCCTCAAACACGTTGCACCTTCACTCACTCAGTATTCCCAGGATTTGGGTTCTGATCTGGGTTAAACTCCTCCTGTCTGTCTGGATCTGCCAGCTGAAGAGACAGAAGTCATCTGCTTCTTTAGCCAACAGATGCAAGGGGGGTAAAAATAGTAATTGTTTATCTTTCCAGGATTTCAAACATTTAAAATAAATATTTGAATAAAAGGAAGTTGAGTTTGAAGGGGACTGATCCAGTAAAGATCACTGTAACAGTAGGGGGGTAATTGTAATTCATGTTTTCACCACCAGAGGTAGCTGTCGGAACTGATGCCATAAAGAAGTTATTTTAAAGCTTTTGTTTTTAAGTGTTCAGTTTTTCTTTTTCATGTTTTTTTTTTCAGCTATGAAAGTAAGGAAGGTCTGAGATTTATTTTTTTCAGTATCTCATGACGGTGAACAGTTAAGTTTAATAATACGATGACGTCACTTCCTGTTTTTTGTAAATCTTGGTAATTAGTGACATAGATATCCATAATAAAGGCTAGATGTCTCGTCCGCGCTGCTGGCCAATGGGGGTCGACGTCCGCACGTGGCGGCCATCTTGCCACAGGCAGCTCGCTCATTCGTAACATTGTGTTTTAAAGGCGCATGTACTTAACCATAACTTCCTCAATTGTCTAACGATTCTCAAACTGTTTGGTTTGTTAAACAAAAGTCAGACATGTAGTTATGATACTGCACACTTATGAATAATTATAACCATGGAATTTCATATGAAAAGAACATTGAATAGAACATACAGGTGCAATAAATATACACATGCACAAGGTATTTATGTTAAATCAATATATGCTATTAAAACTCAGTGTACTGAATGGCAACATGATATATAGATATATCTATAGATATCTATACATGTATAAATATGTGTATATATATATATAAAAATATGTATATATATAAATATGTATATATAAATATGTATATATATATATATATATATATATATATATATATATATATATATATATAAATAAACACTTTTATTTGGGTGTGATTAATTATATCACAGTCCTAATTTATTTATATTTACATAAATAATTTTATAATATGAATATTATTGTTATAATAAAATATGAAATACTGACAAAAAAGGCTTATTGTGTGGCAACCTCTTGGTGTAGAAGCATAATCCAGGTTTCAAATGAAAGGTAACACTTTGAAGTTTCATGTAGACTATTCGGATTAATATATTATATCAGGGGTAATTACACAAAAGTTCCTATTTTTAAACCATTATAAAAGTGACATTTATTTGCTATTAAAATTGGTACAATAGTCCCCTTCACAAGTATATATAGATGTAGCATGTTGAAATCCCCAACTACACTACTGTGATGGTATACACATGGAAGACAGAGATTTAAAAAATGACCCAAAAAACATAGCTTGGCTAATGCCCTTTGAAAAGGACGGTTTTATTGAGCTTCTGTGTAATGTACAAGAGAGCGTTGTCCACAAGGCCATCAAAGCGGACAGGAAGGTAGCTGTGGTCATGTACTAGCGCAGGAATGTCAGCAAACGGGGATGGAAGATCTTCTCCTCCTGCTTACACATTATATAACCTGCAGAAACAAAAACAAAAGTGACCAACAACAATTCACAGTGTATAAGATTGGTATATCAATATGTGATTAAATTTCAATGATACACATGCCCTTTGAAGATGAGCTGGAAAGTTGAAAATGTTTGGCACAACACCATCTTTAAGTTGTCCAAAGGAAACTAATACAAACTTATAAAAGCTTTGAGTCAACAACAGTCTTGTAATACTATTATGTCATAGCAAAAGTCTGGCATCTTCCTTTTAATAAACCCAGCAAATTCCTGTAACTTAATGTAAGATGTGTTGACAAACCAAATCGATTCGGAAATCATGTTCAATTCTGCCTCTTCCACTGATGTAAAGTTGCTTGTTAACGTTAGCAGCTAGCTAAACTGTAACGTTAGCTGCTAACTTACTAACGTTAGGTCTCACTTTGCAGCTTCTTGTTATTAGCCAGCTAACGTTAGGCTAATAATGAAAATACAACAACACTCAGATTATTGTTATTAGCCAACTAATAACTACAACCACATCCACAAATATTGTAATTTACACCAAAGATTAATTGTCATACAATCGTTATTGGTGTCAGTAAAACCTATATAATTGACTAATAATCTCAGCCTTGATAACTTGCGCAAGTAGCCGTGATGCACAACTATGCTGCGCGATTAAGTCATTTTTCGACGAGAACATCTGCAATTTCGACATGTTCAAGCATCAAGAATAATAGCCACGTTCATAATGTTTGTAAGAAACCAAACTGTTTGTAAATCCGTCAAGAATTCAGTGAGGTAAGAGTATTTGTGTTCGTGCTGATCACTCACCTTACATTAGGTACCACAGAGCACAACAGAAAGCCTGCCTGAGGCAAGATGGCCGCCGGTGATGCCGTTTGAGACTCCGCCGTAAGACATCTAGCCTTTATTATGGATATCTATGATTAGTGACGCACACAAAGTCTGCGAGAGCAATTAAGAAGAAAGACAAGTGTCTTCTAGCTTCCGGTTTGTCCACTAGCAGGCCAAAGTGGTATGTTTATTATTTTAGCTTCTTAAATTGTATATTTTGTATAAGTTGCAGCAAAGTAAACTAATATTGTGTTTATGCTCTGTATGTTTAATCAGTTCTGTTCATGTGGTGTAAAACCACAGTAAACGTCAATTAATGAAACTCTGGGGTTTTTCTTGTGTGGATAATCCGGCATAATCACTTTGTGCCATATTATTAAAATAATGTTAGACATCTTTGTCAGAGAAGAGTTTGAAAAGAAAAGGTTTGGTTCTGTTAAAAAACGATTGAATGAAATAAACGTTATAGAGGATTTCTTTCCGTAAACTATTTTAATTCACCTGTTGTCTAATATTCCATTAGAGTTTAGCATTTTGTTTATTACGGGCAAAGATTAGGGATTTTCCATTTTTACTTTAATTTCAGAATTCGGAGAAAGAAAAGTCAGAATTCTGACTTTAATTTCAGAATTCTGAGAAAAAAGTGTCAGACTTCTGACTGTTTTTCTCTGAATTCTGACTTCAATTTTAGAATTCAAAGAAAAAAAGTCAGAATTGTGACTGTAAAACCTGAATATGTATTACAGGTGACAATCCCCCCTTCAACGACCGGCCTTTCATAATCATAGACAGATTTCAGATATTACCAGCTAACAATGGAACCAAACGACCCGCTTGTCAGGTTCAATTTGCATGTTTCCAAGCGATACAAGGACTTGTTTTTGGTCCACTATATAAAGACTCAAACTCACTGCGGATCCAGACATTTTGAATTGAGAAAGCTTCCTGGAGGGGAAGCGAAACGTCTTCAAACCTTGGAAACCAAGTCCAGTGGATTGTTTTTTAAATTATTTCAGAATGACTCTGACCTGGACTGAGCATATTCCCAGCTATAGTTTATAAATGTTTATAAAATCCAATAATACTCAGAAAATCAATTTTCTTTTTCTCATATGAACTGTATGGTAGTGGACGGCTGCTCCTCTGGGCTGCTTTTGCAGGATTGTATACTTTGCTTCCATGAAGTAAACAATAAAATACTTCAAACTAGGGTATTTTAGTGTTAAATAAAAAAAAAAAACTTGGTTCAAATGCTTTGATCAACAGAAAAATGATGTCAGACAGAGCAGATCTATAAAAATAAAATCAATGTTTTTAGAAGCTGAGTTTTTTTTTTTTTTTTACCTAGCATACATATAATGTAAAATCCTTGAATTAAAAAGCTTCCTCTCTTTTTAACAAGGCTATAAAATCTGTGTTTGTTGTTTTTTTATTTTCCAGGTTGTATTTTTTGGCCCATGCAGACAGACCCTGACCATCCATTAACATCAGGCACAAAGTGCAGGTTTACAGACGTTTGCATCGTACCGCAGTCCTCCGGCTAACAGTATTGCTTCAGTACAAAGCAGTACTGGGCAGTATGAGCTGCCTCTCTGGTTTCCTAGAAAAAATAAACAACCCCGACATTTATCACAGATAAAACAGCTCAGAAGTTCCAACTAGAAAGCCTGCATTGCAAAAAATGTAAATTTAATTTTTTTTTTCTTAAAATAAGTGCATTTCTTTCTTAAATCGAGGGGTAAGTGAGACATTTTGCCAATGAAACATTTAAAATAAGAAAAAAGAACTGCATTGTCTTATTTTTAAGTGCATTTTATCTAATTAAGTTATTCTAAGAGTATAAATACTCATTCCATTGGCATTTCCTGCTCAAATTAAGAGTAAATTCACTTAATTTAGGACATTTTCACTTATTTCTAGACCATTTTTCCAGTTTTCTCTTTGTTACAGATGTTTTTAAAGAAACAATGCATTTAAAACATGTTTAAGATATGTTCTGTAAATAAACTTAAACTGTATTTGTTGTGCTATGTCAGAAAAAAAAAATGTTTGGGAGTATTTAAAGTGGGAAACGGCTTAAAGTTGAAGCTACTTGTGGGAACTGGCCTCATGTGAGCCAAGAGTTTGCATGTTATGTGGGCGGTTCTTGGCTTAGTGTGTACAGAGGGCAATGCTTGCTCTGCTGCATGATAACAAGCCTTCATCCCTGCAGGAACGGCAGTGTTTCCAGGCTGAGGGATTAACGCAGAGATGGGAGACAAGAAAGCGGTTTTGTTCAACTTCTGGGGGGTGGTTGTTCCCTCAAGAGCAGCTGTAGTTTTCCAGAAACTGGAGGAGCAACACAAACTTCCACGGTGAGAGGATCCTGTTACACGAGATCTGACTGGAAAACAGGAGCCCTAAAATTCAGGCTCTGCTCCAGCTGACATAAAAACTCTGAAGATCTATGACCTATTTCTACACATCGGTGAATGTTGTATAGAAATAGATTTATAGCGCTTAAATTTTAATTAATTAACCTGTAATCTTTAGTTGAATTGGATGTTTTAAAGTGTAAATTCCTCATAACCAGAATGTATGAAGACATAATCCATAGCAGATTCACTTTACCGCTTTTAGCAACACGGTTAGAAAAGAGAATTTATTAACATTTCAATCAAAATGAATGCTTATTCACTTTATAAATCTGTTTATTTAACATAATTCAATAGATTAGAGTGAGATGATGCAGGCTGGGAGGAAAGATCAAAGGATTTGCTTTTGATTTGGACTTTTTGATTATTTCCAACAAGAAAATGAAAACATTTACGAGAATCAGCTTTATAGAATTTTAAAGTGATTTTCATAAATAATGCATTTATAGAAAGCATGGTTAACATCCTGATGGTAAGTAGCCTAAACTCCCATAAGAGGATTTACCATTAGGCAATACAAGCAGTTGCCTAGGGCCCCAAGTTCCTGGGGGCCCCATAAAACTGTTTACATGTATGGTTGATATAACAATTATTTGTTCAGAAAGGTTCACAGTGTTGCCAACTTAGCGCTTTAGTCGCTATATTTAGCCACTTTTCAAACCCCTCTAGCACTTTGATTTCTAAAAAGCTCCTAGCGCCAAATCTAGAGACTTTTTTCTGCTACTGGAGACTTTGGAGACAACATCTAAAAGCAGCGAACTCTGCTCTCCAGAGCGAGTAGATTGGTAACCCCGCCTCCTGCTCTCCTCTATCTTGTCTGCTGTCAGGATTCATGCAGCTATTATTTCATCCAAATGAAAAATGGAGAACAGATAAGCAGATCATGGCTTGTCTACAGTGAAAAGAAGGACTGGGTTATTTACTTTGGCCTTTTTGGAAACACAGGAAGGAGCAATCAGCTAAGTGAGCTTAGTGCTTGGAAAAAATCTTTCATTCCTTTAGAGACAGCATGAAAAGTCAGCTGAGTACAAAACATAGAGAGGAAAACAAGAAGAAAAGGGACAAGAAGAGAGGGACACAACCTAGAACAGATAATGGACACTGGAAAAAAATCAAAATCTAGATAAGTCATTTATTCTTAAAATAAGTGCATTTGTTCTTGGATTGAGGAGATAAAAGAGACATTTTGCAAACTGAACAAGATCATTTCCACTTAAAATAAGAAAACACAATTACATTGCCTTATTTCTATTGCATTTTATCTATTATCTCATTTTAAGAGTAAAAATACTCATCCCATTGGCAAACTATCTCATTTACCTACTCAAATTAAAGGTAAATACACTTAATTGAAGAAATTTTTACTTATTTCTAGAATGTTTCTCCACACTGCAAAAACCACATAGAAATGAGTAAAAATGTCTTAAATTAAGTATATTTACCTTTAATTTGAGTAGGTAAATAAAATTATTTGCCAATGGAATGAGTATTTTTACTCTTAAAATGAGATAATAGATAAAATGCAATAGAAATAAGGCAATGTAATTGTGTTTTCTTATTTTAAATGGAAATTATCTTGTTCCATTGGCAAAATGTCTCTTTTATCTCCTCAATCCAAGAACAAATGCACTTATTTTAAGAATAAATAACTTATCTAGGTTTAGATTTCTTCCAGTGCAGTGCATGCACTGCAAAAATGATCTAAAAATTAGTAAAAAAGTCTAAAAGTAAGTGTATTTACCCTTAATTTGAGTAGGTAAATAAGATGATTTGCTAATGGAATGAGTATTTTAACTCTTAAAATAAGATAAATAGATATTATACACTTGAAATAAGACAATGCAATAGTTTTTTTCTTATTTTAAATGTAAATTGTCTTGTTCCATTGGCAAAGTGTCTCACTTACCTCCTAAATTCAAGAAAAAATGCACTTAATTATGAGAAAATGACTTATTGAGATTTACATTTTTTGCAGTGTGTCTATTCTATTAACATTTCTCTACCTGTAGAATGGGTCTGTTTTATATGTTGTCCTCTCAATTCAGAGGGCCCCCTGCCTGTCTTTGCCTAGGGCCCCAAATTTCCTAAATCTGCATCTGTGGAAAAGTCGCCGTTCAATGACAGCAGGGATCAGTTAAACTGCAGCGAATGTGAAGCTCACTCACTACATCCAAAAAGTTCAGCTGGAAAATGTTTACATTAAGGATTATTCTCGTTAATTTTTAACTTTGTTGTAACCAAGAAAATAAAAACAGGAGCAAAACCAGTAGGGGTTGGTCCAGGTTTAACGCTCACACGCCGGACCTTGAACAGAAGGTCATCACCTTAGCATAACGTTAAAAAATCAGTCGGCGACACATCATGCACCGTGCAAAGGCTCTAAACCCAAAAGCAAGTTCTGTCACATCGTGTTACTTTTTTTAGGCTAATTAGTCCAGAGAATTGTGCTCAAAGTTTGTCTAGTGATTTGTTATAAATCAGCCCATTTGATCAGTTAACAAACCTCTAAATTTTCTAATGAAGCTGAAATGTTTCAAATGATATAAAGTAAACTATTATAAGAATCAGATAAGTTGAGTGTAATAAATGTTTTTAAAGGAAAAGTCTGGAGAGCAAGGAATAATAAATGGATTATTATTTATACCTAAAACTAATTTGTTCGTCGTGATTTAATGAATTTAGCGGTAATTGGTAACGAAAATAAAAATAATTTTCGTCGCAATCACTGAGTCTGGGAGCGGCCATTTTTCCCCCCCAAATATAGTAACCCCTCCCTCCTGCCATCTTCTATTATTTGAACCTCTTAAGGGCCAAAAACTGATGGAAAACATTCTCTTTTAGAACTTTCTTTTGTAGAAACCCTTTTTTTTTTCTTCCCCCAATTAAATTGTATGGTTAATACAACTATTCCTTATTTATGCACATTGATTATGTTTTTGATTAAAATGCCATCAGAACGCTAATAAGTGTGTCTCAGCCCCCCCCTTCAGTGTCCACCATATTGGATCAGTCCATTTGCTGCACATGTTCAGAAAGGTCCAAACAGACAGCAGCAAACCATTTGAAAACAAACCATGCAAAGAGCAGTGTTGCCAACTTAGCGCTTTAGTCGCTATATTTAGCCACTTTTCAGACCCCTCTAGCACTTTGATTTCTAAAAAGCTCCTAGCGCCAAATCTAGAGACTTTTTTTCTACTACTGGAGACTTTGGAGACAACATCTAAAAGCAGCGAACTCTGCTCTCCAGAGCAAGTAGATTGGTAACCCCGCCTCCTGCTCAGTGCTTGGACAAAATCTTTCATTCCTTTTGAGACGGCATGAAAAGTCAGCTGAGTACAAAAAATAGAGAGGATAGACGACAAAAGGGACAATTCTAGTCTATTATCTAGTCAAAGTCTATTCTATTAACATTTCTCTATCTGTAGAATGGGTCTGTTTTATTTGTTGTCTTCCCATTTCAAAGGGCCCCATGCCTGTCTTTGCCTAGGGCCCCAAATTTTCTGAATCGGCCCCTGCCTTTGAGGCTTGCAGGGCTTTAGATAAGTTTCTAGGAATCCTTTGCTTCATGTCTGCCTGTCGAAACAAATTTCCCTTTATGGGACAATAAAGATACTCATCTAGGTGGAGTCCCAAAGCCATTTAGTTTATTTCTTCTGGCAGGGTGCGGCAAATGGAAGTCAACCAAAAAGCTTCGAACCTGCACTTCATAAAGGATTATAGTGAATTTAATTTCTTCTATACAATAGATTCTGAAATGTTTATTAAAAGTTGTAAAAGAAGGAAGAAAAAAAAAAGGCCCTATGTAATAAGGATTGTTGAACCCCTTTTTGAATGGTTTACATATCTAAAAATGTAACAATAACACTGTTACTGTTACACAATGTCCTTGTTAAAAGGGAGTTTTTCCTCTCCACTGTCGCTACAAGCATGCTTAGTGTGAGGGATTGCTGAAGAGTCAATGAGTCGATGCAATCAGCTGGTTTTCCTTATGTAGAAAGCTTTTAATCAATTTGACTGGATGGAAGTGCCTTGAGATGATGTGTTGTGAATTAGCACTATAGAAATAAACTGAATAGAATTTACAATTGATAATCGTGGATTTATTTATTCTGATCTTCTCAGAGGGTTTCTGTCCCGTGTGGTGTCCCAAAATAAGGGCTCTCTGCTGCAGGCAGAAAAAGGCAAACTGACTCTTAACCAGGTGGGTGGAGATGTTACCTTTATGCCTTTATGAATCACTAACTGACTAAAATGGAGGCGTTTTTGTGTGCAGATGATCCCGGCGTTCAAAGCCGAGTGTGCAAAGGAGGCCAAGGCCAGAGGAGTGACGCTGCCGTCTGATTGGTGCGTCAACTGTCTGCTGGAGGAGGCCAGAAAGTCGATGATGGAAGTGAAGGACGTTGTGCTGAAGACGTCTGCAAGTCTGCGTAGCAGTGGTAGAGTGTCACTTTACGAAAGAAGCAGTTTTTATGCAGCTTATTCAAAAAAAGTAAAAAAAAACAATCCACTGGAATTTGTTTCCTATATTGAAGACGTTTCTCTTCCATCCAGGAAGCTTTTTCAACTAAAATGTCAGAAATACTGTTGGGTTCAAAGCTTTATAGAGTGGACCAAAGCAAAGCCTTGTTATGACTTAGGAAACATGCAAACTGAACCTGACGAGCGTACGGAAGAAAAACCGTCTCATTGGAATGTCCCTTTATTTTTAACACCCAATTTTAAACACTGATTTTTTTTTTACACATTCAGCTGCAAAAAAAAATGGAGCTACAAAAAATTGCCTGCAAATGTGTTGACCTTTAGGTGAACTCCAGCCAAAGCAATCAGCACTCGATGCAGTCGAGCAGCTTCTAGCCAATGAAATGAGCTCATTTGGTCAGAAAAAAACAAGTTTGCCACCCGCCGCTTCTTCCGGATCAAACAAACAGCCTTGGCAGACGGGGGTGCTGCACTAGCTGTTATCGGCTCCGTTATTTCGTCCTGTCCCATTAGATGGAAAACTCTAATGGCTGTCTATTAGTAGCTACCTGACATTTTGTAATCCTATTTAACAAGAAAAACTCATTCAGCTTCATTCAGCCCAACTGAACAAAGCGACGCCCAACTGTTGGGTCACGTGACCAAATTAGCTGATTTCATTGGCTAGAAGCTGCTCGACTGCATCAAGTGCTGATTGCTTTGGCTTGAGTTCACCTAAAGGTCAACAGATTTGCAGGCATATTTTTTGCAGATGGAAATTCAGTGTAAAGAATTAAATGTTTAAAAAAAAAATACATTGTTAAAAAAATTGTTTAAAATTCGGTGTACAAAAAAGGCAGATTCCAATGAGACTGTTGTCTTCCATATGAGCAGGTCCTCCTCTTTACAATGGGAGTCATTTTGTTTCTTTGTTAGCCTGTAATACCTGTAACCTGTCTATGTCTCTGAAAGGGGGGGTTGTTAAAGGGAATAATTGGCCTGGCTGAAGGGGCGAGGTCCTCTGTTCTCCTGTAAATGGGTGGGGGCTGCGATGATAGTGGGAAGGAATCAACTCTATTGCTGCATCTGTTTAAGGTTGGTTTTTCTTTCTTTACATAGATGGCTTTCTTCACACCCCTCTTAAACCACCCGTCTTCTTTGTCCAGAATGATGTGATTAATCTATCTCTGTTACAGGGATATGTACCTAAAGCTTTTAAGGTTGCTGTAATTAAACCTCTGCTTAAGAAACCGTCTCTTGACCCAGATGACTTGGTCAATTATAGACCTATATCCAATCTTCCTTTCTTATCCAAAATTCTTGAGAAAGTAGTTTTCAAACAAGTGTGCGATCACTTCCACCATAATGAACATTTTGAAGAGTTTCAGTCTGGCTTTAGAGCTCATCATAGCACTGAAACAGCTCTGGTGAAAGTCACTAATGATATTCTCATGGCCTCAGATGATGAACTTGTATCTGTGCTCGTCCTGTTAGATCTTAGTGCTGCATTTGATACAGTTGATCATAATATTCTTTTAGAAAGACTGAGCCTGGTTTTGCTGGAGGTTTCTTCCTGTTCAAAGGGAGTTTTTCCTCTCCACTGTCGCTACAAGCATGCTTAGTGTGAGGGATTGCTGAAGAGTCAATGAGTCGATGCAATCAACTGGTTTTCCTTAGATAGAAAACTTTGAATCAATCTGACTGGATGATCTGGTTGAACTGTAAAGTACCTTGAGATGACATGTGTTGTGAATTTGGCGCTATATAAATAAAGTGAATTGAATTGAATTGAACATTCTGGTCCTCCAAAGAATGTCCTTTGTCCACAAGGTGTAGATGTAGCGCAGAGTCTTGTCCAGAGGAGGGCGCTCTTCTGTGTTGGGCCATGCGTCTGTGGAGAGTTTGTTTGGTTTCTCCAATATAAAGATTAGAGCATTCCTCACTGCTTTATACTGAAGACACCACTCTGCTAATATTTGGTCTTTAGGATGAACTAGTCTCTGTTTAAGGGTCTTGATTTGTTGAGTTTTTCAGAGACTCCAGCAACATATGGGATGTGGATGTTTTTGTGTAAAGATTAAATGTAAAAGGTTCCATTTGCGTGTTTTCTAAGCCAAAATAGGCTTTTTTGGGGTCTACTATATAAAGCCTTAAAGTCAACACTGTTTCTGACATTTTGAATTGAAAAAACTTCCTGGATGGGAGGAGAAACGTCTTCAAACTTGGAAACAAAGTCCAGTGGATTGATTTTTTTTTTTTTTTTTACTTTGTTTTTGGAATGACTATGATCTGGATGACTGAGAACCTTCACCAGCTTATGCAGCTTATATTTTGGGACCATCCAGAAACTTTTCTTTTCTCTAAACTTTGATTTAAAGGGGTCCTAACAGCAGTCCTGGTCAATCACTGGCTGGATGACAGCGCCTCAGGAGACGATCTGGCTCAACTTCTCTGCCTCTTAGGCAGCAGTTTTAACCTTGTCCTTCAGTCCTGCCATCTGGGTCACAGGGTCCCAGAAGTCGCCATGTTCAACACTGCTTTGGAGCAGCTGGGAATCTCCCCAAACCAGGTGGCTGATGCAACCATAGCAGAAATGAAATCCTTGATCCCTGATGGGAGATCTAAACCTTTGAAATGTTGTCTCAGGCTCTGTGGCTGGACGTGGACGCGGAGAGCGTGAAGGCGGCAGAGAAAGAAGGGATTAAGGCCATCCTGGTGGAAGACATGGAGACGGCTCTGCAGAAAATATCCGATTTTACCGGAGTTCAGGTAAAGATATAGAGCTGCCGTCAGAACCATTCATCTACGTACATCAGAGGTTCACTGAAAGGTTATAAAATTTCAGTTCCATTCAGTTTATTTCTATAGCTCCAATTCACAACATGTCATCTAAAAAACACTTCAGTGTTGATTCAAAGTTTTCTATCTAAGGAAAACCAGCTGATTCTATCGACTCATTGCCTCTTCAGCAATCCCTCACACTAAGCATGCTTGTAGCGACAGTGGAGAGGAAAAACTCCCTTTGAACAGGAAGAAACCTCCAGCAGAACCAGGCTCAGTGTGAGCGGCCATCTGCTGAGGCCCACTGGGGTTCAAGGAGACAGAAGCAGACATAGAAAAAGAAGCATAGATACAAAAGGCAACTGTCAACCAGCTCCACAGGCGGCCCCGTCCAGGAAACACACAGCCAGGCAGACGAGCTCCGAGCCAGCTCCCATGTCAGAGGATGAAGAGAGCACATCCAGTTAGTCACAGTCAGAGAAACAGGACTACACTGAAAAACAGGCAGATCTCCAACATCTAGAAACAAAGGTGTTGATGGCAGCAGCACAGCTGATATTTCTCTCCAGGATGGAGTCACAGCCAAACAGGAACAGACCAGATGAAGCTACTATGAGGAAAAGCAGAGAGAGCAGAACGTTAGAGATTGAACTAACAGATTCTGCAGAGTGGGAGAATAGAGATAGAATGAAGCAGAATGATGAAAAAGGGGTCCCTATGTCCTCCAGCAATCTAAGCCTATAGCAGCAGAACTATAGAGATAGCTCAGGATAACCTGAGCCACTCTAACTAGAAGCTTTATCCAAAAAATGTCCACTAATATTTGGTTAAATATTCACCAAGCAGGTCAGACCTACTGTGAACCTTTCATTGTCAACAGAATTCATTCTAGCTACACTTTCTGGCAGAATTGGTCCAGTTTATTTGAACTGACTGGTTTTCTGGCAGCAGATCTACATTTTGAGCTGTACGAACAAACGTTGAATGGGGTCAAGGTCAGAGCCCATCAAGAGCTCAGTGCCAACCTGCCTTATCTGTTCCGAACTGGTTTGATTGTGTTTGGGATCATTGGAGCCAAACTGTATCCAGGTTTTAACCATTAGCCGATGATAAGAGGCATTTAGAGTCCGTCCTTCAACTTTACGCAATGTGCCTTTACAACTGGAAGCAAAATGCCTCTCGGCAGGACGGTATTCCCACCATGCTTCATAGCTGGTCCCAATAGGGCCTTTAAAACTGTGTGCTGTGTCAAACAGCTAAGCTGGTCCTTGTGAGCAGCTATAGATTTTAATCCAGTTTGAAGGTTCCCAGTCTATGAGCAGGGTCTACTCTCTGAGCCAGCGCCTTCTCAGCCTTTGGTGACGTCTAACTGGTTTCATTCTGGGCAACGATACTGGTGTTCCAGCAGTCTCCATTTCATGGCAGCCTTTCTGGTTCCTTGGCTGTTCCTGAACATCACAACCAATTTTATTTAAACTGAGGGGATCAGGTTGAGTCTCAAGGCACAATATGTAGCATGTGCTTCAGCCATTGGTTTAAAAATGGCTAATGGAAAAGTCTGGTCAGCAAAGAATAATCAATATATATAATATGTTCGCGGTGATTTAATGAATTTAGCGTTAATCAGTATCAGATCACTGAGTCTGGGAGCGGCCATTTTTGCCCAAATATAGCAACACCTCCCTCCAGCCGTCTTCCGGCAGTGACGTCACGGTGTGGTAAGCCTAGCACCATTCTCCCCGCTTTACAAGCTAAATCAATGGGAATGGACGGGTTGGTCGTTGGATCGCCAACTTGAAGAGGGAGGATTTGCCATCGAACTTCTGGCCAGAGAAAAAACCCGTTATATGTAGCCAACATTTGGAAGAAGAATGTTTTCAAGATGACTTGGATAATAGCGCGTTGTGACAAACACCAGATACAGCACTGGGACTTGATCAACAGCCGATACCGCACCGTGACGTCACAAACCAGGAGGTGGCAGTAGTGTTCTTTGATAAACATGGATGCCTCTAGTAAAGTGCAATCAATCTCAGAAGGGTTTATCCTTCCTACCAAGAGAAAAGGGAGTCAATCTTTGGCTAAAATTCGTCTGTTTGTGTTTTCCAGGCTGTTGGAGCAGAGAGTCCTCCAGTAACCTGCCGCCCCGATCAAGTGTCTCATGGATACATCATCATCAGAGTAATAATCCACATCTATCAGCGCATATTCAGAACATAAACAGACTGTTGAACCAGCGTGATATTTTCAGCCTGGTGTTCGGACCCACTACGTGGAGATGGGCACGGGTCCACCGGTCCTGCTGTGCCACGGTTTCCCTGAGAGCTGGTACTCCTGGAGGTACCAGGTGAGCCGTCCTCTAAAGCTTTACGTCTCTGAGCTGCAGCATGTTTTCATACCTGCTTCCTGTCCTGTAGATCCCAGCTTTGGCTGCAGCAGGGTTCAGGGTCCTGGCTCTGGACATGAAGGGATACGGAGAGTCCACAGCACCCCCTGGTGGGCAAACATAGACATGTTTCCATGCATTTAATGCTATATTTCAGAAACATTTTAACTTTATTTTATGATTAATTTTTCTTCTCCTGCAGACATAGAGGAATATTCTCAGGAGCAGCTTTGCAAGGTTCATGCCTACACTAGGAAACAATCAAAATCTAGATACGTCATTTTTTTTCTTAAAATAAGTACATTTGTTCTTGAATTGAGGAGATAAAAGAGAAATTTTGCCAATGGAACAAGACAATTTACACTTAAAATAAGAAAACACAATTGCATTGTCTTATTTCAAGTGCATTTTATCCAATTATCTTATTTTAAGTGTAAAATTACTCATTCCATTGGCAAACTATCTAATTTACCTGCTCAAATTAAAGGTAAATACACTTAATCTAAGACATTTTTACTTATTTTTGTCGTTTTTGCAGTGTACACTAGAAAACAATGGAGAACTAAGAAAAATGTTCTCAAATTAAGTGTATTTACCCTTGATTTGAGTAGGTAAATAAGGTAGTTTGCAAATGGAATGAGTATTTTTAAACTTGAAATGAGATAATTAGATAATATTCACTTGAAATAAGACAATGCAATTGTATTTTCTTATTTTAAGTGTAAATTGTCTTGTTCCATTGGCAAGATGTCTCTTATCTCCTTAATCCAAGAGCAAATGCACTTATTTTAAGAAAAATTACTTATTTAGATTAGATTTAGATTTTTTTCCAGTGTATCAACATATTGAATCATAAAATATATAGATTTTGTGTTCAACTATTAGTGGACTAACATGATATATTTCTCTCTCTGCAGGATCTAATTACTTTTATGGACAAAATGGTAAGATATAAATAAACATCCCAAATAATGGGGTTTATGTTAGCTGACTTGTCCTTTCTCTCCAAGTCCATACCACAGGTCACCCTGGTGGGTCATGACTGGGGCGGTGCTTTGGTTTGGACTATGGCCCGGTATTATCCAGAGAGAATCAGGTGAAAAACACAACACCTGTCTTAAAGGAGGGAAGTTTAATGGTGCTGAAATGTAGAAGTTAAATATGTCTGTTCCTTTGTTCCTGTGAAGGGCAGTAGCGTCTCTGAACACTCCCCTGTTCCCGCCGGATCCCTCGGCTCCTGTTACAGAGAAATTAAAGGCCCTTCCAATATTTGACTACCAGATTTACTTCCAAAAACCAGTAAGTCTTCGTCTCATCATTCGGTAGAACAAAGGTTGGATGACCTAAACCAGGTTCTTAGCTGTCTAACCCCAAAAAGCATAATCAGAGATGCTTAATGCACACTTACCTGCAGACAAACAGTCTATAAAAGCATGTCCTAGTTATTAAGTGAAGAGGTGACAGGCGGGGTACACATTGGACAAAACACAAGCTGAAATATATATTTAACTCAACGAATCGCCCACAAAATGCAATAAACCGTGGTTAAGATTCATCTTTCTCTCTGGAGTTAGTTATGGAGCTCCTCAGGGCTCAGCACTCGGACAACTTGGTGAAGTTATTAGACACCATGGGAAAGATTTGCACCATATGCTGACGATGCTAAGCTATTCACAAATAAAATATCACCATTAATGACCCAAAAGGATTTTACATTTGATTAAATGATTGATTTTAGAAAAGTTGAGATTCAAAATTAAAATTCAAAGCAACAAAAATGAACATTCTAATTATTAGCATTGTTTGATTTACCAAATCTGACTGAATGGAGCTGAACTCAAATAGATGTAGCTCTGACTGTACTGGATTATAGTGGAATAAATGGTTTAGAAGCTAGAAGGTAATTTGTTTTCTAAGAGCTATGACATCATAAATAAGCTTAACAGAGCTAATGAAACAAGGTTATAATAATAATTTAAAAAAAAGTATAAATGTTTTATTTATGCATGATCATTTTTAATTTTCTCTTACCGTTATGGAAACGTAAGAGAAGATGGACACATTAGATTTAATCTAGTTTATGCATTAGATGCTTGTTGTTTAATCATGTTTGTTTTTTTAGTTGTATCAAATTTCTTTGGGTTTCTAATAAAAAGGAGCTAGTGAAGATTCTGTTATCCAGCTCATAGTCATTCCAAAAAGGTTAAAAACAATCCACTAGACTTTCTTTCCAAGTTTGAAGACGTTTCAAAAAGAAAAAATGTCAAAGAAAGTGACCGATTGACTGACTCTAGTTTAGTTTCCTTTTGGTTGTATGAAAATAAAATAGTTCATCCACATAACTTGATTTTCACTCCATGAACGAACAAATCCATGATAATCTGAAAGCTTTAGCTCAGATCTTAAAGATTCCAGCCAATTGTTTAAAATATTATTCTCTTTTCTTTGTACTAAAGTCCAGAATTTAGGTGCTGGATTTTCAAAATAAAAGAAAACTTGATCTCTTATTTTAACTAAAAGAGTTGAAGCAATGTATATGTTGGTTTACATGTATGTATGTAGATGTATATATGCATATAATTGTGTATATATGTATGAATATATTTTTTTGGCAGTGTGTAAATATTGGATAAAAAAGACAGGAAGTTTACTCTACTTTTTACGTGCGCATAGAGGGAGAGGAGCTATGAATAATAAGTTTTACTTCTTCATTACCCTTTTTCAGACAATTTACATCAAATAATGTCATTTCTGTGGCTGGAAATGCAGACAGGTTTATTATGTGGAGGCTTTTGTTTCTATTTTCAGGTTCATTTAGTTAGTTTGGAAATTGGTGTTTGGTTTGGTTGATGCTAACTAGTCTCTTTTGTGCGTATTTGGTTGATTCATTTATTCTTGTTATCTGAATAAATTCACATTCATTCATTCATTCATAAACAGTTTGACATGATAATTAAACATTTGATCAAACATCTCAGGTAAGAGGATGTTAGACTTTCTGGGTGTTTATTTCAAAATGCATCCAGCATAGAATAAAATAGCTTTATAACAACCTTTAAAAAGTGAAATGATGAAAAGCGTGAACAGAATAATTTGTAAAAAAAAATGTAGATTTTTTTTCTCCATCTCTGCCCACATTATTAACCCTGACTGAAGGATGAATCCGTCCTCCGAGCTGCAGCTCTGACACCATCTGCTCCGTGTTTCAGGGAGTCGCCGAGGCCGAGTTGGAGAAGGACTTGGAGAGAACATTCAAGATTTTCTTTTCCAGCAGCAGTGAAGCGGTGAGTTAACATCTCTGCCGTTAAAGGGGTCAGAACAGCTGGAATAAAACCTGATGACGAACGTTTCCTCAGGCGAGCCGTCCCGCTCTGAGCACCGCTGGAGTCTGTGCTCGAGGTGAGAAGACCTCCCGCTGCAGATGTTGGTGTAACCGAATGATTGGGGCTCATGTTGGGTTCTGGGTTCCGCAGGCGGGCTGTTTGTGGGTCTGCCGGAGCAGATTCCTCGGAGCTCCATGCTGACAGAGGCCGACCTGCAGTACTACGTCAGCCAGTTCAGGGAGAGCGGCTTCAGGTTGGCCCCCATTCAGCAGCTTAGGAACGACTGCAGCTCCAGCTGGGGTTAAATCATCTCATGGGGATCTGGGAACCTTTTGGTTCCACATTTAATTCTATTCAGTTTATTTCTATAGCACCAATTCACATCATGTCATCTCAGGTCACTTTACAGTCACCAGATTGAATAAAAGTTTTCTATCTAAGGAAAACCAGCTGATTGCATCGACTCATTGACTCTTCAGCAATCCCTCACACTAAGCATGCTTGTAGCGACAGTGGAGAGGAAAAACCCCTTTAAGAGGAAAAACCCTCGAGCAGAACCATTTACACCTGAGGTTTAAACATGGGGTCCTCGGAGGCACTGCATTGGGGTCGCAAAATTTTGGTTGATTAGATTTTTATTTTTTATTTCCCCCCACAATTCTTTCCACTAATTGAAATGTCTTTAAATCCACATTAACATGAATTTAACACACTATAGTAAACAGATAACGGAAGATGTCTTTCAGTCATCGATGGCAGTAGCAGTTCTAGACCAAATGTACCAGGGGGCCAGGAGGGGGCCAGAGTGTTTTCATGGGGGGGGGCAGAAAAGCATGAAAAAAAAAACAGGGTTAGGGATTGAAATGTATAAAAAGAGCTGCATGAAGTGAACTTTCTATTCAATAAGGATTCATTAAAATTCTGTCTTATTAGGTAATTATACATTCAGAATTTAGGGTTTTTACATATGTTTAGATTAATTGAAGTTAAAATTACTGTTTTCACAAAATCTCAATTAAAACTCAAGGAAAACTGATAAATTTAGCCGAAAAAATTAAAGCAATTTGTTTTGAATAAAACATTTAGCAGATGAAAACTGGGATCCTATCTCAACACCACTGAAGCAATCACCTTATTGTTTTTAAATAATTAGTAAAACAGAATTTTTTTAGGAAAAAAAAAAGAAATAAATCCAAAGGAGCTATCAGTAACCATGTCTGTTCCAGCGCAGATCATTGTTGGAATTTCATTGAGTATTATGTCTTCAGTACAGGGGCCAGGACATGATCCACAGGGGCACTGGCCCCCGTTGGCCCCTATCTAGAACTGTCCACGCACAAATTCAGCAACAAACACAGGAGCTTGGCACTGTTTCATTCACAACACCTGTCCCATCAACCAGGAATCAGAAATACTTTAATTATCCCAGGGAGGGATTACTTTAGTTACATTACTCCATCTGTAATAGAGTGACTTTAGGAGCAGTTTGATAGAACACTATTTCAGACTATATATCTAATTAGGGGTCCCCGCTCCATCTCACCATCGGTTTGGGTGTTTTTGGCCTGGAAAACGTTGAAGACCCCTGATTTACTGGAATCAGTTGGATCCATCAGGGATTATCTCTAACGTTCTGCTCTCTCTGCTTTTCCTCATAGTAGCTTCATCTGGTCTGTTCCTGTTTGGCTGTGACTCCATCCTGGAGAGAAATATCAGCTGTGCTGCTGCCATCAACACCTTTGTTTCTAGATGTTGGAGCTTGGCCTGTTTTCCAGTGTAGTCCTGTTTCTCTGACTGTGACTAACTGGATGTGCTCTCTTCATCCTCTGACATGGGAGCTGGCTCGGAGCTCGTCTGCCTGGCTGTGTGTTTCCTGGACGGGGCCGCCTGTGGAGCTGGTTGACAGTTGCCTTTTGTATCTATGCTTCTTTTTCTATGTCTGCTTCTGTCTCCTTGAACCCCAGTGGGCCTCAGCAGATGGCCGCTCACACTGAGCCTGGTTCTGCTGGAGGTTTCTTCCTGTCCAAAGGGAGTTTTTCCTCTCCACTGTCGCTAGAAGCATGCTTAGTGTGAGGGATTGCTGAAGAGTCAATGAGTCGATGCAATCAGCTGGTTTTCCTTAGATAGAAAACTTTGAATCAATCTGACTGGATGATCTGGTGAACTGGAAAGTGACCTGAGATGACATGATGTGAATTGGAGCTATAGAAATAAACTGAATAGAATTGAATTATTTGATAACTGAAGCATTTCTGTTTATCTTCCAACAGGGGACCTTTGAACTGGTATCGAAACAACCAGGCCAACTGGAAGTGGATGTGTTCGCAGCCTACTGGGAAGGTTTGAGACCATTATGAGCTTTTTTCCTTGCTAACAAAATAATGAAATAAAAATGCATGTTTAACAGAAATGAACCAAATTACAAAAACAAGGTTTTTCTTTTTATATTATAGATTTACGTTTTCATTACTGGAATACTTGAAAACCTCCCATCGACTTACAGTCATAACTATTATAAGAAAATGAAAGTTTAACTTCAATTGTTAAATTTTCTATTAAAAAATAGCATTTACTCTAAACAATAATATGTATATAGAGGGCTCAAATGTTGCTTTTTCTTTCTTTCGTCAATATAACATACAATATTACAAACACTGCAAAAACAACAAAAACCACATCGACATTTCACAGTGAAATATTTTCTATTTAATCTCTATTTTCTGAGATAGCCAGACTAACGTTACGCTACAGACTATACTATAGTATAGATGGATTTATTGCTTAGTTCATTCACTGACTTACTAGTGGAACATCTTCCTACAGCCAGGAAACTGCTTGTTTTTGCAGCTAAATGTTACACATGTAGGCATTTTTACTGCGTGTCTCCATGGGAGTGGGGAGTACCAACATGGCGGACAGTGGCTTTAGTTTTTTCGGGCAATCGGCAATCCAGTGAATAAATAGAAGCAGTGATGACACCTGACAGCCTGGAGGGTCGTCAGCATGACGCTGCAGAGGTGGATGAGTTCCAGGTGGAGCAGGGAAACATCTAACGTCCAACTAAAGACCCGGTTCTACAGGAGCCGGCTGGTTCTGTTCTTAGAGACTCTAAAACCAGAAGCAGGAACCCAAACATGCTTCCCTGAACGACCCTGATCTCGGGCTGGGATGTTTCCAGGTTCTGGTGCCGGCTCTGATGGTGACGGCGGGTAAGGATCCGGTTCTGCTGCCGGCGCTCTCACAAGGGATGGAGGACCTGGTAAGACGATCATCCAATAAACCACCAGCTTACAGGAGGCGGGACATCACGGACCAATCTGTCCCTCCCCCCCACAGATCCCCAACCTGAGCAGGGGACACATCGAGGACTGCGGACACTGGACTCAGATGGACAAACCGGCAGAGACCAACAACATCCTGATATCGTGGCTGAAAGAGACGCACGGGAAGGCGGGGGGGGTCCAGGTGGCCCCCAAACTGTGACGGAGGAGGAGCTCAGGAACGATGCAGGGAGACGACATGAAGTGAATAAATGATGTTTATAAAATTACAAAAATAAAAACCAATCAAAGCCTTTGATTCACATTTTACTGGTGATCACAGATTTATTCCCACTGGTGTAAAAATCACACATTTATTATTCAACACAGCTGGTTTGGATATTTTACATCTAATTCTTTACATTTCTCTTTTTTTCCTTTGTTTAGTTTTTCAATTTTAACCAGTAAAAATAGAAGCCGAATAAAAAAAAAAAATCATTCATAAATGGACAAATGGAATAAGTGAAGGATGTCTGTGGTGGGAATATTTTAAATATAGAGAAACATCTTAAACACATCTGGAAACATTAGAGGCTGAATCTTTATCTGAAATTATGATTTCATCTGGAAGCTTTTCTCTGCTAAAGTATTTCAGTTTCATTGTTTTTCCATAGAAATAAACTTTAAATTCTTATAATTGTTGCTCTAAATGGAGCCGGGGAGCAGAGAGGAGGACGGATGAGTAGAGAAAGGAGAGTTTGATTTTCCTGTGAATGTGCTTTACTGGAGGCATCCATGTTTGTCAAAGAACACTACTGCCACCTACTGGTTAGTGACGTCACGGTGCGGTATCGGCTGTTGATCAAGTCCCAGTGGAATAACTTTTTTTTTTCCACTTTCACCCGATGTATTCCAGCATCCAGCTGCCATGCACGTGGGCATTGTCAGTTTCACTATAGCTCTGGTGAATTTCAATGGTGAAGTCCTCTGGAAATCTTCAATAATTGTTGTTGATTGCAGATGTGTCTAGTAGTTCCCATTGATTTAGCTTGGAAAGCGGGGAGAATGGCGCTAGGCTTACCGCACCGTGACGTCACTGCTGGAAGATGGCAGGAGGGAGGGGTTACTATATTTAGGCAAAAATGGCCGCTCCCAGACTCTGTGACCGCGACGAAAATAATTTTTATTTTTTTAACTGATTAACGCTAAATTTATTAAATCACTGCAAACGCATTAGTTCGGGTATAAATAACAATTTTTCCTCTAAAACTCAAAGTCTTTAGGAGAAGCAGGATGAGGGCTCCCTCTGGTGGCGATCTGGGAGAACAGCTTCCCTCACAGCTTCTTCTCCTGGAACAGCTTCTCCCAGGACGGCATGATGTACTCATAGATGATCTCAATCTGTCAGAAACACAGGTGTGTTAATCTCCTCCCCCGCCATGATCCACTAACCCCCCCCTCGCTGCTGAGCTCACCTGCTGAGATCTCTTCACTCCGTATCGGAACAGCGTCGCCTGGTGCTCGCTGTTGTGAAACAGGATGTCAAAGGTCACCTCTCGGCCCATCATGTCCTCGATGGCCGGCTTCACCACGGAGTGGAAGTCTCTGGGGGAGTGTGTGCCGTCCAGCATGTTGCTGACCTGCAGAAACACACGGCTCAGCTTTTTTTGAGGGGGTGCAGATGTCTTAACTTTTTATTCTCACTCTCTTGTTGAAGACATCCTTAAAACTACATAAATAAATAATATAAAACATCTTTGGATTTAAACGCACTCAGGTGGAGCCTGGTTACGGTTTCAGACCAGAACAGAATAGTCTTTTCCTCCTGAGTGGATCAGTAACGTTGCAGAAATGCTTGCATCCGCCTGCAGCCATACTGGATTTCCCACAATCCAGTTCGAATCCACTAATATGATACAACTCAAAGACAGTAAATTAACTTAAAATCTACTAAAATCAGTTAAATGAAATATAAATTATACAACTATCCTAACCAAAGACTAACTATCCCCTGGACAGTTAGAGGTGTTACCTTGTATTTCGTCCCCAGCATCTCTAGAGGGTCCAGTTTGATCTCTGACCTCAGAGCTCGGCCGTACAGCGGGATCTTTGTGTCAGCATCTGGTGGACAAAAAAAAAACAATAAAAACCAAAACTGTTAAGACTAATTTGTCCCCTAAAGGGCTGCTAATCCTCCCGCAGCAGTGTGTCGCTGTGAGCTTGATTTGTTGATTTATGCCCAATATTGAAGCGTGGTCTGCGGTGTTATTCCACGCAGCAACGCAAGAGGGACGATCAGGAATTAGCTGTAGTACCACTAGGTACCCGTGAGGAAGTGGGGACAAGTTTGTGCAAAAACGGAGGGACATGAGGGCCAAAAAGAGCGGGGTTCCAGGTGGGGTCCCAGCGTTCTCGCGCACCTCGCTCTGCTAGCTGGTCCATCTTCACCAGTCGTTTTCCACAATGGCGGTCATACTGTCTGCGGTCACCTACATTTGGGAGAGGTGCAGCAGAGTGTCTGCGGAAGGGGCGGGGGAACATTTGCGTTCACTGCAGCGCACGGGCAGATGGCCTTGTTTTTGAGCATAAATCAGCCTTAACTCTGCTTATCCTGAGCGGTGCGCTGCCTGTATGGTGCTGGTTGTTCTCTGAGGCTTTCAGGCCAGCTTCAGTTGGATGTAAACACTCAGGTTTTTACTAATCAGCTCCCTTCTAAAGGCTGGTATTCATTTTCAGGGACTTCAGATTACAAATACAAGCCATATTTGGTCTATCAACATAAAATGCATCCAAAACGACATCCCATTACGTGGTTTTAAACTTATTTTATATGAAAAAAAGGTCAAAGTACTTCCTGCAGGAAACACTGGAGCAGCTCAACACTAGACTGTTTTCCCCATTTTAACAAACCTTTGTTGTTGCTGTGGTGGGAAAATGTAGATTTCTCTTGTTTCACATATTTAGTTAAGCTATTTATCCAGTGAAAAATGTTTTAACTCTGTTTCACCTGCAAGGCCAGATAATGTCTGAGTGAGAAGTGTTTCGCATACGAATTTTTATTCCATAAGCCAAATTCTTAATAATTGTTGTTGTTTACCCAAAGTGTCTTTCATTTGTTTTGACTCTGACAAAACCTTCACAGCTTTTTCCTCATTAGAAATAAGGGAGACAAACTGTCTAATTCAGAACAGGGCTGATTACCAAGCAATAAGATCTGTTTATTAATGAAATACTTTTTCCCCACTACATTGCTTTTATTTCTAGCATTTTGAGCTCAGAAAGAAAATATACGTTAATTTTTGATGCCAAGCAGAATATTTCCAGTTTTTATTACAAAAATAGAAGAAAATCTGTATCGTCAGAACATTTCCTTTCTTCTAAGAACATCATCAGTGATTTATCTGAAGACTAACATTTCTCATTTAGACATTTCAGCTGTTTTCTTAAAAAAGAAGAGAGAAAATCCAAGATATTTCTGGATGTTGAAGACAATGACTGACCTCTGCTTGTCAGGTGAGCCACATAGGGAACACCGTCCCTCTCCCCAAAGTATATTCCAAAGTGGGAAAAGTATTTGTTCCTGGGATATTCCACGATGTCTCCTGGGTAAAGCTTCGGACGGGAATTGGTCTGCAGTGGGGGAAAAAAAAAAGTGCAGTAAATTCAGCTGAAACACATTTTATTACATTTTCTACAATCATTCATCGAGATGTTTTCTCTTCCTAATGGGGTCTTATTTACCAATGATGAAACAGACCCTGTTGGTCAATAGGGTTGTGGGCGGAGCCTGCTAAAACGGGTTCTTCTGAACCTGTCAAAGCATATAAAGCTGCTAACAGATAGTTTTTCCTTCTTCCATTTAAACAACTCGGGATACCCTAGATGATGTAAAGCTTTGATCAGCTTCTGACCAACAGCAGAAGAAGTCTGATTATGCAAAGTGAATAAGTGAGTCTACTGCGGTGGGCTGAAATGCCGCACAGTGAAGAAGAAGTCATTATTCATTGAGTGAAACAAGATGATGATTCAAACAAATGGATTACTGTTTTTAAATGCACTAAGGGGTAAAGTGCGTCACGTCTGCAGACATGTCTTTTGGTCTGATGAAACTAAAACTGAATTGTTTGGACATAATGGTGAAACTTTGTTTAAACAGTAACGCACTCAATGGCTGCATCATGCTGTGGGGTTGTTTTTCTGCCTTTCTGTCTCTCTAAAAACATTAAGAAGAACTAATGAAGCAAATGGTAAAGACACCAAGAAGGACTTTAAGGGTTGACATCAGTTAATGGTTGTATTATGTTTCCGGAGCGGCCATCACACGTTAAGATCTTAGCGCTATGCTAATGTTAGCGATCAGGGTCAGTAATTTATTGGGACCTAACAGGTGGAGTCCCAAAGGAAAGGTTTTAAAGTTTAAGATAAACACTGAGATGGATAATAGAGGGAGAGAATAGAATATCCTTTAATGAAGTTCAAGAGTTTATCATATAAGGTTTTTATGTCTGAATCATAAAACAATTGCTCGCATTCTTCGTCTCATGGATGTGTGTACCGAACTAGAAGCATATTTATGAAATAATTTGCCTTAACATTTTATTTTTATTGTGTGATTAATGGAAAAGAGACACATCCGGCTAAATCAGAGTAAACAATCTTAGCAGCATTCTACGAACATGAAGTAGTACCATTAAAACATGGAGGCTAAGAAAGTGTTCAGTAAGCAGTGAACTGAATATCATCCTGTTCTGTTCACACGATGAATCAAGATGGATCGATTAAAAAAAGTCCTTCCAAGCCAAAGTCTAACGATCAGCTTCAGCTGAGGATGAGGCTTAAATCCCCAACATTGTCTAAAATCAAACAATATGGCGACGAGGACCTGAATTACTGCTGGTAAATGAGTCAACACTCCCCATTTCCAGCTAATTATGACCTAAATTAACTTCACTCCTAGTGGTACAGTGGTACTAGCTTCACTAGTTGCACTGTTTCACTCCTAGCGTTACAGCTTCACTTATGGTAATTCTTCACTCCTAGTGGTTCGGCTCCATTCCTTGTAGTACCGCTACACTTGTCACTGATTCACTACTAGTTGTACTGTCATTGCACGAAGGGAACGAAAATTGTGGTAAGAGCAGGTACCAGGACTGGTAGCAGGGATACAGGAAACATTCAGGCCAGTGTTTTAGAAAACAGCTCTTAAATCCCCAACATTATCTAACATCAAACACTATGTTGATGAGGACCTGAATAACTGCTGGTAAATGAGTCAACATTTCCAGCTAATTATGACCTAAATTAACTCCGTTTTAGAAAACTTGTTTGAAGAAAGCAGAAATGTTTCATCCTAATAACAGCCTCCATGATTAACAATGATGGACTCAGAAAGAGAAATAAAGTGAAAATGGACCCAAACAGAGTCCTGAGCAGCAGCTCCTTCATCAGGTGAAGCTTTCTTACCGTGCCCATGTCTGTCGATGTTCTCCGCAGCTTCGTCCTCCTGATCTAAAAGAAACCCCACCGCAGTCACACAGGAACCCCTGCTGCTTTACATACCAAACTCACCCATGTGATGAATGTGTGCAGAAGTCTGCTATGGTCCACTGAGCGCTCTCAAATTACACCTCCAGGAGAAGAATAGCCTGATCCTCCTCTGGTCGCCTCTTTAGAGAAAACTTCCAGGCTCCACTTGGCTTCTGGATCCCTTTGGTGGTTCTAACCGGATTCCTTCTCCATGGAAAACCTTAGATCTCCTTCAGGGTCTCCATCCCGGGACCTTTGGGTGTGTTAGCAGGTGTTTCCTAAACAGATCATCTGAAAGAGGAACTAGCTTCAGGCCGTTTGGTTTGGGTTTTTTCATAGAGATAACAAGGAAAGTGCAAGAAGATAAACCAGAACAGCTACCACAATCTTTCTTTGTTCAATTGATCCTTAAAAAACGACATTAAAGAGAAAAAAGTTTAGTTAAGCTGCATTTTCAACTAAATAAAAGAAAAGAACTCAAAATTTTTTAATGGGTCAGGCTCGGTTCTATTAGCAAGAAACAGAAGACAAGTTTCAGCCACACCCAAATATATGACCACTTTGTTATGAAATGAGAAAAAATCTTGTTCCAGCTTGTGGTTTCCCCACCCAGCCTTCCAGATACGACGGGAACTTCTGCAGCGCCAGCCGGGTCGTCCAAATCTAAGTCTGGTGACTTGGTTTTGAAGGGAAGAAAACATCCTTTTCTTAAGGAAAAACTTTAGCTCAACTTTAACTTTACTTTTTCCCCTTAATTTCTCAGATTTGACCTCATCCTAGAGAGTGGGAAGTCTTTTTTTTCTCCCATTTTGTCGAGATAAACTAGACGTTTCGTGGTTTATCTCCAGCAAAAGCATAAAACAGCTGAGGCTCTGCAGAGAGGATGACATCAGCTTCCTGCAGCTAAATAAACAGGAGCTCTGATCAGCGAGAAGATTTAAAAACAGAAGCAACAGGAAGCCGGTGCAGAGGTGCTACCTCTGCTGTACCACAACCGCAGCTGCATTCTGGACAATTTGGAGGCAAGGTGTGAGCAAAGAACTGATGAAAGATGAGGTCAGAGACACCAGCTGGAAATGAGCTAGACGGGAAACACCTACGTGCAGAACAAACAGATCGTGTTCACTTTAAAAGGAAACCTAAAGCTGAGCCAAAAAGAAAAAAAAAAAAATCAGTTCAACTACGCTGACTGGGTTCTTCATCCTCATCTTCATCGCCAAACGCTAAAGTTCTGCAATCAGACCTGTTGTACAGACGTTGACCTCTCACCTGGTTCTAATCGCAGCCAGGGCTAACGTCTGCAGAAGGACCGCTGATGCTGATTCATTTGATCTGTGTTTATCTGAGTGTGTTCATTATTATTCCCCCAATAAAGTAAATAAAGTAAGAATTTATTATTATCTATGTGAAATGCAGCTCCAGATGAGCTGAGTGTGTGGTGATGTCATCAGTACGCTTCTGTTCCATTTGACCCAGATTTCCTCCTGTTCTCCCCGAATCTAGACTTTCTAGACTGTACTCCTGTTCTTGTCAACTGAGAAACGGCCATATTAGATACATCTGCAATTAACAACCATTATGAAGACTTCCATAGGACTTCACAATTGAAATTCTCCAGAGCTGAATACATCGGGTAAAAGTGAAAAAAAAGGGTTATTTAAACTTTCCGGTTCATGAAATTCAACATTATAACATCTAGAATCCCTATATATATAAAATCCAGATTGGTTTTCGGAGTGAAAATTGAAAACAAAAAGATAAATACGAGAAGAGGAGTGTAGAGAGACAGGGCCTGTGGTGTGGTTGGTAAGCCCATGGCCCTCAATTCAGAAGCCCATGGGTTCAAATCCCACTGCTGTCCTTTTCTAACTGTAGAAGAAACAAAAAGATAAATACGCCTGTAGAGAGGTCTAACTGTCCAAAAATGTGGCATTGATGTTAAAACGTTCACTCTAAAACTAGAAGTCATGTGTTCAAAATTCACTGTTCTCCTTTTCTAACAACTGTAGAAGAAGAAACAAAACGATAAATGCGCCCGGAGAAAAGTCCAAATGTCCACAATTGTGGCATTGATGTTAAAGCCTTGACTTTAAAACTAGAAGATCATGGGTTCAAATCCCACTGCTGTCTTTTTCCAACAAAAAGAAGAAACAAAAAGATAAATGCGCCCGGAGAAAAGTTGAAACGTCCACAAGTGTGGCCTGGATGTTAAAGCATTGACTCTAATACTAGAAGATCATGGGTTCAAATCCCACTGCTGTCTTTTTCCAACAACCGTAGAAGTAGAAACAAAAAGATAAATGCGCCCGGAGAAAAGTCCAAAGTGTGACAGGTGTCATAGCAGAGTGGGATTGTCTGCGACCGTAAGGCGCCAGTGGTGCAGAGTCTGAGTTCAATTCCATCTGTGGTTGACGTAGCCTGGAACTACCCACTGCGGTGGGTCGGGGAAGGGGCTGTGTCCCCTCCCTGTTTCCATGACAATAACTGGAGGGGGTTATACATCAGGAGACAATGTCTGACTAGAAATTTTAATGACAGTCAAAAACATTTCTAAGGTTGTTTCTAAAATACTAACAGTAGTCTTCTTTGACAAACTTGAAATTGACCACTTGCATTATACTACATTACTTATGTTGAGACCAATAAATACTTATGTTGAGACCAATAATTAGTTACATTAATTAAGAATTCATTAAGTTTCTTAATTAAGATTTCTTTCAGTATTGTTTTATTTGTACTCAAGTTGTCAAAAGTAGAACATTTTCTACAACATTAAGAACAGATTTAACTTATCTTTATTACTTGATTTCATTGCACTACTGTTGTTGGTGTTTTAGTTACATGAGTTTTACATGTTACATGTTTAACTCATGTTACATGAGTTAAATCAAAGATTATGTTTCTAAAATACAGTAATGACCATATACAAGTTAAAGTATTGTTCTACTTTTTACAACTTGAGTACAAATAAAACAATACTGAAAGAAATCTTAATTAAGTTTCTTAATTCTTAATTAATGTAACTTATTATTGGTCTCAACATAAGTAATGTAGTATAATGCAAGTGGTCAATTTCAAGTTTGTCAAAAAAGACTACTGTTAGTATTTTAGAAACAACCTTAGAAATGTTTTTGAATGTCATTAAAATTTCTAGTCAGACATTGTCTCCTGATGTATAACCCCCTCCAGTTATTGTCATGGAAACAGGGAGGGGACACTGCCCCCTCCCCGACCCACCGCAGTGGGTAGTTCCAGGCTACGTCAACCACAGATGGAATTGAACTCAGACTCTGCACCACTGGCGCCTTACGGTCGCAGACAATCCCACTCTGCTATGACACCTGTCACACTTTGGACTTTTCTCCGGGCGCATTTATCTTTTTCTTCCTTCTACAGTTGGAAAAAGATAATAGTGGAATTTGAACCCATGAGCTTCTAGTTTTAGAGTCAAGGCTTTAACATCCATGCCACACTTGTGGACATTTAGACTTTTCTCCGGGCGCACTTATCTTTTTGTTTCTACTTCTACAGTTGTTGGAAAAAGACAGCAGTGGGATTTGAACCCATGATCTTCTAGTTTTAGAGCCAATGCTTTAACATCCAGGCCACACTTGTGGACATTTAGACTTTTCTTCGGGCGCATTTATCTTTTTGTTTTTGTTTCTTCTTCTACAGTTGTTAGAAAAATATTAAGTTCACTTCTGAGGGATTTGAACTCATGAGCTTCTAGTTTCAGAGCCGATGCTTTAACAATCACACCACAGACCCTGTCACACTTTAACCTATTCTCGTGGTGGTTTTATCTTTTCGATGAAAACTTGCATTATACTACCACATTACTTGTTAACAGATGTAACCCATCTTTATTACATTGATGCATATACAACAAACAAGTGTTATACTTTTGACAGCTTGAACAGCTTTATCTGGACTGGAAAGTTCTTGCCAGAACAATGGGACCATTTTTATTGGATGAACAAACTTTTCCTTTAAAGAACACAATAATAAACTAAGATCAAAGGAGAAATAACACATTTAAAGCACTTGGATTATTACATCAATGTTGATAAATAACATGATTTTAAAATAAAAAGTTAATAATTTAAGGAATAAAGTTCAGAATATATGAAGTAAAATGTTTTGGTATTTAGTTCAGTCACTTATTGTTTAATTCAGATCAGTTTATTTCCATTTGGACAGAAACAACATAATAAAATACAGTAGATCTTTCTTTCTTTTTTATTCAGGCTTTGACACATCACAGGTCATTCAGAACATCACAATCAAATGCAGTCGATAAACTGCAAACATCCTTGATCTGTCATTAGCGTCACTAATTAGCAGGAAACGAGACTGTGCATAAGAGAAGCAAGAGTAAAAAATAAAAGTATAAAGCTGCTGATCTCGAATCAGAGTGAAAATGGAGAGTTCAGATTAAAAAAAAAAATAGTGCAGAAATTCACTCTGTTTAAGGCACCTGAGTTTCTCACACATTCATCATACTGCATATTTTAAACTGTGCAACCATCTCTGAGGCCCGTTTTTGACAGGATTAACTAGAAAATCATGTTTCTGTGTGCAGAGGTTAAAGTTCTGAGGAGGAGGACCGGAGTTCTCTCAGATGAGCATACCCCGAGTTTATCCCTTCAGTTTTGAACGAAAAATAGAAAAAACGAAAGGGATAAACTAACGAGATAAACTAACGACATAAACTAAAGGGATAAACTAACGAGAAAAACTTACGGGATAAACTAACAAGATAAACTAACGAGATTAACTAACGAGATAAACTAAAAGGATAAACTAACGGGATAAACTAACGGGATAAACTAAAGGGATAAACTACAGGGATAAACTAACGAGATAAACTAAAGGGATAAACTAACGGGATAAACTAAAGGGATAAACTAAAAGGATAAACTAATGAGATAAACTAAAGGGATAAACTAACGACATAAACTAACGTGATAAACTAACGTGATAAACTAACGGGATAAACTAAAAGGATAAACTAAAGGGATAAACTAAAAGGATAAACTAACGAGATAAACTAAAAGGATAAACTAACGAGATAAACTAAAGGGATAAACTAAAGGGATAAACTAAAAGGATAAACTAACAAGATAAACTAAAAGGATAAACTAACGAGATAAACTAAAGGGATAAATTAACATGATAAACTAACGAGATAAACTAAAGGGATAAATGAGATAAACTCAAGGGATAAACTAATGAGATACACTAAAGGGATAAATTAACATGATAAACTAACGAGATAAACTAAAGGGATAAACTAACGGGATAAACTAAAGGGATAAACTACAGGGATAAACTAACGAGATAAACTAAAGGGATAAACTAACGTGTTAAACTAACGGGATAAACTAAAGGGATAAACTAAAAGGATAAACTAATGAGATAAACTAAAGGGATAAACTAAAAGGATAAACTAACGAGATAAACTAAAGGGATAAATTAACATGATAAACTAACGAGATAAACTAAAGGGATAAACTAACGGGATAAACTAAAGGGATAAACTAACGGGATAAACTAAAGGGATAAACTAACGGGATAAACTAAAGGGATAAACTAAAGGGATAAACTAAAAGGATAAACTAAAGGGATAAACTAAAGGGATAAATTAACATGATAAACTAACGAGATAAACTAACGAGATAAACTAAAGGGATAAACTAACGGGATAAACTAAAGGGATAAACTAAAGGGATAAACTAAAGGGATAAACTAACGGGATAAACTAAAGGGATAAACTAACGAGATAAATTAACATGATAAACTAACGAGATAAACTAAAGGGATAAACTAACATGATAAACTAACGGGATAAACTAAAGGGATAAACTAAAGGGATAAACTAAAGGGATAAACTAACGAGATAAACTAAAGGGATAAACTAAAGGGATAAATTAACGAGATATACTAACGACATAAACTAACGAGATAAAGGAATTAAGTATTGTCTATGGGTATACTGGTCTGACAGAACAGCGGCAGCGTCTTAAGGCGTTTTCCTGGAGCCGTCTCTAGGATCTAAAGATAAATCAGATGCCGGTTTAACGGTTTAAACTGTGAATCCTGATTGTCTCCGTTATATTGTAGGGTCAGATGTCTCCTTCTAGGGCTCGTCCCGCTGCGGCCCCGGGCTCTGGGGGGCCGGCTTGTCCCAGCTGTCCGTGCGGTGTCCGTGCTTCCTCTGGTGGCGTTTGTAGTTGTCCCAGTGGCCCGTGGTGTAGCCACACTCGGCGCAGGCGTACGGTTTCTCCCCCGTGTGCCTCAGAGCGTGCCTCTTCAGGTTCATGCTCTGGTTGCAGCGGTAGCCGCACACGCCGCAGCGGAAGGGCTTGGCCCCCGAGTGGATGCGCTGGTGGCGCCGCAGGTTGGCCAGGTTGCCGCAGGCGTAGCTGCACGACGGGCACTGGTAGGGCTTCTCGCCGGTGTGCACGCGCATGTGGCGCTTGAGGTTGTCAGGGTGGGAGGAGGTGTAGGAGCAGTGGGGGCAGCGGTGGGGCTTCTCCTCACAGTGGGTGTGGGAGTGGCGGCTCAGGTGGTTGGGGTAGTGGGACAGGAAGGAGCAGTGGGGGCAGCAGTAGAGCTTGGAGCCCCTCCGCCCACGCCTGGGGGGCCCGTCTTTGCAGCGACGGCACACCTGAAAGAGGAGGAGCGGGAACTTTGGCTGTTTGCTGTTGCTATGGATACAAGAGATTAAAGATCTTGCTCTCACCTGTCCCCCCTCCCCCTCCGCCTCCCCTCCATCTTTCTCCCCGTCCAGGTCAGCCTCCTCCAGGGTGAGGCCACACAGCCGGCAGCACAGGGGGAAGAGGAGCACCGGGAGGGGCCCCGAGGGAGCGCCCAGGCCCCCCAGGGTCCGCAGGTAGGAGGAGTCCTGGGACACCCTGAGGGTGAGCTCTGAGGAGCACAGAGAGAGAAAGCCGTTCAGGATGAGGCGTTCCCCTCAGCATCCATCAGGTCAGCAGAGGTTCACGTTCAGCTCCACCAACCAACCATTTCCTCTTCCTCTTTCTCTGCTTTCTGCTCCGTCAGAGATATGAGAAGCTCCGCAACATGGAGGCGCAGCTCAGACTCCTGTTCTTTCTAAATTACCTCCGACCGCAGCGAACACAACGACAGGAGCTATTGGAGCAATTTACCTTTTACAGGTGTAACAGTCAAATACTTCCAGGACAAGACCTTATTACCTTTGTAACAAAAAAACAAAAGTGCTTCTATATTAAAGAAGCGTGAAAGAGTTTTAGATATATGTTATATTTATTTACGTTACGTAAGTTAAGAAGTTATTTACGTTAAATCTAATGAGATCAGATTATTTTATCAGAACTAAAAACGTCGGTTTCTCCATCTGAGCGCCACTTTACCTCCTTCACTTCCACCTTTCGTCCTCCTCCCCCATTTCTTCTCCTTCTCCTGCGTGTGCATGCGCTGGTGCCTCCGCAGGTTGCCCAGGGAACTGCAGGCGTAGCTGCACTGCGGGCAGCGGTAGGGTTTCTCCCCGGTGTGGGTGCGCAGGTGGCGCTGCAGGTTGACCAGCTGGGCGGATGCGTAGGAGCAGACGGGGCAGCGGTACGGCTTCTGGCCGTCGTGGATCCTCATGTGGCGCTTCAGGTGGTTGGAGTAGCGCGAGGCGAAGGTGCACAGAGAGCAGGAGAACAGCTTGGAGGGGACGCCGTCTTTACTGACGGGTTTCTTCTTCCTGGTGGAGGGATGAGAGGGGTCCTCCTGAGGGGAGGGGGTGCAGGCAGAGTTCTGCTGCTTCTCCTCGCAGCTGAGACAGTAGAGCTCCGCCCCCAGGTCCAAGCCCACACCTGGAGAAGGAACAGCGAAGGATGGTTGAGAGGGAAGTCTAGAGCGATGCATAGGGGAAACCAGAAAGGTTGGTTACCGAGGCCCAGTCCGGCCCCCAGAGGAGTGTCCCCCAGCAGCAGGCCGCAGCCTTTACAGGACAGCAAGGCGGGGAAGGCGGCGGCCGTAGGAGCCGAGGGCTCGTCGTCCTCCGCGCTCAGAGAGAACACCGTCACTCCTTCAAGCACAAACATCGTCAGCTGTGAACCGACAGACCTGAGCCCGTCTGCAGGGGGCGCCACCCACCTCCGTCTCTGTCCAGCCCCGCCATCTCTGACGACCCGAACTCCAGCTCTCCGTTCAGCAGGAAGTCGCTCTCCAGGACCGGGCAGCTGGGCTCGCACGGCGCCGCCCCATCCACCGACTCGGCTGCGAACAGGAAGGAGACGAACCAGGAATTATCAGAGGAGACGTTTCTAGAAGACGTTCCGCAGTAGCTACCAGATCTGCTCGGTTCTGCTTCTGCAAAACATTGTAAAACATTGCGGTCGCCCAGACAACGATAATAACATCCCACAGCGTCCGTTAGCGTGTCTAATGATCGATTAAGTTTTACCTGATCGATAACAAAACTGAAAAAATCTGTTTATTGTGAACAAAGTAACAATTAGAACCTGATATATAGAGCTGGGGAGCTCTGCGGCTAGCTGTAGCTAACAGGTTAGCCTCTTTTAGCTCGCTCAGTTAGCCATATTAAGCTACACTACTTTTAAATTCATGTCAACAACAAACGTTTGTTTTCTACAAGTAGAATAACGGTTTTCTTTGTCTAAAATCTCTATGAAAGTAATTTTTAAGAACGTCTTTTGTCCTCCTCCATATGATGGCGTGATAAGAAGGGGCGGGGCCCCGAGCAGATCTGGTACTGACACTGGTTACGGATGGAGGGATTTCCACTTAGAACGGTTTATAAAGAAAAAAAACAAAGGAGAAGCTGAGAGGAAGAGCAGGAGAGGAGGGAGGAAATGAGATTAGTTCAGAGGAGGAAGAGGGTGATCCTGCTGCAGCGAAGCATGGAGGGAAAAACAGGATCTAAGGGCCAAGAGTCAGAGAAGCCAGCAGCTGTAAGGAAATACGAAAAATAAACGTTAAACTACCTCGGCGGGCGTGTATCCATTTAGTCGTGTACAAAAAAACGATTTAGTTACTTTCTGGTGTTTTTTGAAACATATGGCAATCTGACATTACATTTTAGTTTTTTTATACCTGACTAAAGGGACACACGTCCGTCAAGGTAGTTTAAAGTTTATTTTTCGTACAAAACTAAAGAAATAAATGCAAATCTGACGTCTTGAGGAGGCGTATTGACTAAAGGTATGCTGGGCTGACGGACAACGGCTCTATTAAAGAGGATCCATGAAATCAGGTTCCTCCGTTTCTACTGGACAGACTGCATCCTTCACCAGGAGGAAACCATGGGGAGCAAGGAGAAACCAGGAGGAAACCATGAGGAGCAAGGAGAAACCAGGAGGAAACCATGAGGAGCAAGGAGAAACCAGGAGGAAACCATGAGGAGCAAGGAGAAACCAGGAGGAAACCCTGAGGAGCAAGGAGAAACCAGGAGGAAACCATGAGGAGCAAGGAGAGACCAGGAGGAGCAAGGAGAAACCAGGAGGACACCATGAGGAGCAAGGAGAGACCAGGAGGAAACCATGAGGAGCAAGGAGAAACCAGGAGGAAACCATGAGGAGCAAGGAGAAACCAGGAGGAAACCATGAGGAGCAAGGAGAAACCAGGAGGAAACCAGGAGGAGCAAGGAGAAACCAGGAGGAAACCATGGGGAGCAAGGAGAAACCAGGAGGAAACCATGGGGAGCAAGGAGAAACCAGGAGGAAACCATGAGGAGCAAGGAGAAACCAGGAGGAAACCATGGGGAGCAAGGAGAAACCAGGAGGAAACCATGAGGAGCAAGGAGAAACCAGGAGGAAACCATGAGGAGCAAGGAGAAACCAGGAGGAAACCAGGAGGAGCAAGGAGAGACCAGGAGGAAACCATGAGGAGCAAGGAGAAACCAGGAGGAAACCATGGGGAGCAAGGAGAAACCAGGAGGAAACCAGGAGGAGCAAGGAGAAACCAGGAGGAAACCATGAGGAGCAAGGAGAAACCAGGAGGAAACCATGGGGAGCAAGGAGAAACCAGGAGGAAACCAGGAGGAGCAAGGAGAGACCAGGAGGAAACCATGAGGAGCAAGGAGAAACCAGGAGAAAACCAGGAGGAGCAAGGAGAGACCAGGAGGAAACCATGGGGAGCAAGGAGAAACCAGGAGGAAACCATGAGGAGCAAGGAGAGACCAGGAGGAAACCATGGGGAGCAAGGAGAAACCAGGAGGAAACCATGAGGAGCAAGGAGAAACCAGGAGGAAACCATGGGGAGCAAGGAGAAACCAGGAGGAAACCAGGAGGAGCAAGGAGAAACCAGGAGGAAACCATGGGGAGCAAGGAGAAACCAGGAGGAAACCATGGGGAGCAAGGAGAAACCAGGAGGAAACCATGAGGAGCAAGGAGAAACCAGGAGGAAACCATGGGGAGCAAGGAGAAACCAGGAGGAAACCAGGAGGAGCAAGGAGAAACCAGGAGGAAACCATGGGGAGCAAGGAGAAACCAGGAGGAAACCAGGAGGAGCAAGGAGAGACCAGGAGGAAACCATGAGGAGCAAGGAGAAACCAGGAGGAAACCATGGGGAGCAAGGAGAAACCAGGAGGAAACCATGGGGAGCAAGGAGAAACCAGGAGGAAACCATGGGGAGCAAGGAGAAACCAGGAGGAAACCAGGAGGAGCAAGGAGAAACCAGGAGGAAACCATGGGGAGCAAGGAGAAACCAGGAGGAAACCAGGAGGAGCAAGGAGAGACCAGGAGGAAACCAGGAGGAGCAAGGAGAGACCAGGAGGAAACCATGGGGAGCAAGGAGAAACCAGGAGGAAACCATGAGGAGCAAGGAGAAACCAGGAGGAAACCATGAGGAGCAAGGAGAAACCAGGAGGAAACCATGAGGAGCAAGGAGAAACCAGGAGAAAACCAGGAGGAGCAAGGAGAAACCAGGAGGAAACCATGAGGAGCAAGGAGAAACCAGGAGGAAACCATGAGGAGCAAGGAGAAACCAGGAGGAAACCATGGGGAGCAAGGAGAAACCAGGAGGAAACCATGAGGAGCAAGGAGAAACCAGGAGGAAACCATGAGGAGCAAGGAGAAACCAGGAGGAAACCATGAGGAGCAAGGAGAGACCAGGAGGAAACCATGGGGAGCAAGGAGAAACCAGGAGGAAACCATGAGGAGCAAGGAGAAACCAGGAGGAAACCATGGGGAGCAAGGAGAAACCAGGAGGAAACCAGGAGGAGCAAGGAGAAACCAGGAGGAAACCATGGGGAGCAAGGAGAAACCAGGAGGAAACCAGGAGGAGCAAGGAGAGACCAGGAGGAAACCATGAGGAGCAAGGAGAGACCAGGAGGAAACCATGGGGAGCAAGGAGAAACCAGGAGGAAACCATGAGGAGCAAGGAGAAACCAGGAGGAAACCATGAGGAGCAAGGAGAAACCAGGAGGAAACCATGAGGAGCAAGGAGAAACCAGGAGAAAACCAGGAGGAGCAAGGAGAAACCAGGAGGAAACCATGAGGAGCAAGGAGAAACCAGGAGGAAACCATGAGGAGCAAGGAGAAACCAGGAGGAAACATGAGGAGCAAGGAGAAACCAGGAGGAAACCATGAGGAGCAAGGAGAAACCAGGAGGAAACCATGAGGAGCAAGGAGAAACCAGGAGGAAACCAGGAGGAGCAAGGAGAAACCAGGAGGAAAACCATGAGGAGCAAGGAGAGACCAGGAGGAAACCCTGAGGAGCAAGGAGAAACCAGGAGGAAACCATGAGGAGCAAGGAGAAACCAGGAGGAAACCATGGGGAGCAAGGAGAAACCAGGAGGAAACCATGAGGAGCAAGGAGAAACCAGGAGGAAACCAGGAGGAGCAAGGAGAAACCAGGAGGAAACCATGAGGAGCAAGGAGAGACCAGGAGGAAACCCTGAGGAGCAAGGAGAAACCAGGAGGAAACCATGAGGAGCAAGGAGAGACCAGGAGGAAACCACGAGGAGCAAGGAGAAACCAGGAGGAAACCAGGAGGAGCAAGGAGAGACCAGGAGGAAACCATGAGGAGCAAGGAGAAACCAGGAGGAAACCCTGAGGAGCACGGAGAAACCAGGAGGAAACCATGAGGAGCAAGGAGAGACCAGGAGGAAACCATGGGGAGCAAGGAGAAACCAGGAGGAAACCATGAGGAGCAAGGAGAAACCAGGAGAAAACCATGAGGAGCAAGGAGAAACCAGGAGGAAACCATGAGGAGCAAGGAGAGACCAGGAGGAAACCATGAGGAGCAAGGAGAAACCAGGAGGAAACCATGAGGAGCAAGGAGAGACCAGGAGGAAACCATGAGGAGCAAGGAGAAACCAGGAGGAAACCAGGAGGAGCAAGGAGAAACCAGGAGGAAACCATGAGGAGCAAGGAGAAACCAGGAGGAAACCAGGAGGAGCAAGGAGAGACCAGGAGGAAACCATGAGGAGCAAGGAGAGACCAGGAGGAGCAAGGAGAAACCAGGAGGAAACCATGAGGAGCAAGGAGAGACCAGGAGGAAACCATGAGGAGCAAGGAGAAACCAGGAGGAAACCATGAGGAGCAAGGAGAAACCAGGAGGAAACCATGAGGAGCAAGGAGAGACCAGGAGGAAACCATGAGGAGCAAGGAGAAACCAGGAGGAAACCATGAGGAGCAAGGAGAAACCAGGAGGAAACCATGAGGAGCAAGGAGAAACCAGGAGGAAACCAGGAGGAGCAAGGAGAGACCAGGAGGAAACCATGAGGAGCAAGGAGAAACCAGGAGGAAACCAGGAGGAGCAAGGAGAAACCAGGAGGAAACCATGAGGAGCAAGGAGAGACCAGGAGGAAACCATGAGGAGCAAGGAGAAACCAGGAGGAAACCATGAGGAGCAAGGAGAAACCAGGAGGAAACCATGAGGAGCAAGGAGAGACCAGGAGGACACCATGAGGAGCAAGGAGAAACCAGGAGGAAACCATGAGGAGCAAGGAGAAACCAGGAGGAAACCATGAGGAGCAAGGAGAAACCAGGAGGAAACCATGAGGAGCAAGGAGAAACCAGGAGGAAACCATGGGGAGCAAGGAGAAACCAGGAGGAAACCATGAGGAGCAAGGAGAGACCAGGAGGAAACCATGAGGAGCAAGGAGAGACCAGGAGGAAACCATGAGGAGCAAGGAGAAACCAGGAGGAAACCAGGAGGAGCAAGGAGAAACCAGGAGGAAACCATGGGGAGCAAGGAGAAACCAGGAGGAAACCATGGGGAGCAAGGAGAAACCAGGAGGAAACCATGAGGAGCAAGGAGAGACCAGGAGGAAACCATGAGGAGCAAGGAGAAACCAGGAGGAAACCAGGAGGAGCAAGGAGAAACCAGGAGGAAACCATGGGGAGCAAGGAGAAACCAGGAGGAAACCATGAGGAGCAAGGAGAAACCAGGAGGAAACCATGAGGAGCAAGGAGAAACCAGGAGGAAACCATGAGGAGCAAGGAGAAACCAGGAGGAAACCATGAGGAGCAAGGAGAGACCAGGAGGAAACCATGAGGAGCAAGGAGAAACCAGGAGGAAACCATGAGGAGCAAGGAGAAACCAGGAGAAAACCAGGAGGAGCAAGGAGAAACCAGGAGGAAACCATGAGGAGCAAGGAGAAACCAGGAGGAAACCATGAGGAGCAAGGAGAAACCAGGAGAAAACCAGGAGGAGCAAGGAGAGACCAGGAGGAAACCATGAGGAGCAAGGAGAAACCAGGAGGAAACCATGAGGAGCAAGGAGAAACCAGGAGGAAACCATGAGGAGCAAGGAGAAACCAGGAGGAAACCATGGGGAGCAAGGAGAAACCAGGAGGAAACCAGGAGGAGCAAGGAGAGACCAGGAGGAAACCATGGGGAGCAAGGAGAAACCAGGAGGAAACCATGAGGAGCAAGGAGAAACCAGGAGGAAACCATGAGGAGCAAGGAGAAACCAGGAGAAAACCAGGAGGAGCAAGGAGAAACCAGGAGGAAACCATGAGGAGCAAGGAGAGACCAGGAGGAAACCATGAGGAGCAAGGAGAGACCAGGAGGAAACCATGGGGAGCAAGGAGAAACCAGGAGGAAACCATGAGGAGCAAGGAGAAACCAGGAGGAAACCATGGGGAGCAAGGAGAAACCAGGAGGAAACCAGGAGGAGCAAGGAGAAACCAGGAGGAAACCATGGGGAGCAAGGAGAAACCAGGAGGAAACCAGGAGGAGCAAGGAGAGACCAGGAGGAAACCATGGGGAGCAAGGAGAAACCAGGAGGAAACCATGAGGAGCAAGGAGAAACCAGGAGGAAACCATGAGGAGCAAGGAGAGACCAGGAGGAAACCATGGGGAGCAAGGAGAAACCAGGAGGAAACCAGGAGGAGCAAGGAGAAACCAGGAGGAAACCATGAGGAGCAAGGAGAAACCAGGAGGAAACCATGGGGAGCAAGGAGAAACCAGGAGGAAACCATGGGGAGCAAGGAGAAACCAGGAGGAAACCATGAGGAGCAAGGAGAAACCAGGAGGAAACCAGGAGGAGCAAGGAGAAACCAGGAGGAGCAAGGAGAGACCAGGAGGAAACCATGAGGAGCAAGGAGAAACCAGGAGGAAACCATGAGGAGCAAGGAGAAACCAGGAGGAAACCATGAGGAGCAAGGAGAAACCAGGAGGAAACCATGAGGAGCAAGGAGAAACCAGGAGGAAACCAGGAGGAGCAAGGAGAAACCAGGAGAAAACCATGAGGAGCAAGGAGAAACCAGGAGGAAACCATGAGGAGCAAGGAGAAACCAGGAGGAAACCATGAGGAGCAAGGAGAAACCAGGAGAAAACCAGGAGGAGCAAGGAGAAACCAGGAGGAAACCACGAGGAGCAAGGAGAAACCAGGAGGAAACCACGAGGAGCAAGGAGAAACCAGGAGGAAACCATGAGGAGCAAGGAGAAACCAGGAGGAAACCACGAGGAGCAAGGAGAAACCAGGAGGAAACCATGAGGAGCAAGGAGAAACCAGGAGGAAACCACGAGGAGCAAGGAGAAACCAGGAGGAAACCACGAGGAGCAAGGAGAAACCAGGAGGAAACCATGAGGAGCAAGGAGAAACCAGGAGGAAACCATGAGGAGCAAGGAGAAACCAGGAGGAAACCATGAGGAGCAAGGAGAGACCAGGAGGAAACCATGGGGAGCAAGGAGAAACCAGGAGGAAACCATGAGGAGCAAGGAGAAACCAGGAGGAAACCATGAGGAGCAAGGAGAAACCAGGAGGAAACCATGAGGAGCAAGGAGAAACCAGGAGGAAACCAGGAGGAGCAAGGAGAAACCAGGAGGAAACCAGGAGGAGCAAGGAGAAACCAGGAGGAAACCATGAGGAGCAAGGAGAAACCAGGAGAAAACCAGGAGGAGCAAGGAGAAACCAGGAGGAAACCATGAGGAGCAAGGAGAAACCAGGAGGAAACCATGAGGAGCAAGGAGAAACCAGGAGGAAACCATGAGGAGCAAGGAGAAACCAGGAGGAAACCATGGGGAGCAAGGAGAAACCAGGAGGAAACCATGAGGAGCAAGGAGAAACCAGGAGGAAACCAGGAGGAGCAAGGAGAAACCAGGAGAAAACCAGGAGGAGCAAGGAGAGACCAGGAGGAAACCATGGGGAGCAAGGAGAAACCAGGAGGAAACCATGAGGAGCAAGGAGAAACCAGGAGGAAACCATGGGGAGCAAGGAGAAACCAGGAGGAAACCATGAGGAGCAAGGAGAAACCAGGAGGAAACCAGGAGGAGCAAGGAGAAACCAGGAGGAAACCATGAGGAGCAAGGAGAGACCAGGAGGAAACCATGAGGAGCAAGGAGAGACCAGGAGGAAACCAGGAGGAGCAAGGAGAGACCAGGAGGAAACCACGAGGAGCAAGGAGAAACCAGGAGAAAACCAGGAGGAGCAAGGAGAAACCAGGAGAAAACCAGGAGGAGCAAGGAGAAACCAGGAGGAAACCATGAGGAGCAAGGAGAAACCAGGAGGAAACCATGAGGAGCAAGGAGAGACCAGGAGGAAACCATGGGGAGCAAGGAGAAACCAGGAGGAAACCAGGAGGAGCAAGGAGAAACCAGGAGGAAACCATGGGGAGCAAGGAGAAACCAGGAGGAAACCATGAGGAGCAAGGAGAAACCAGGAGGAAACCATGAGGAGCAAGGAGAAACCAGGAGGAAACCATGAGGAGCAAGGAGAGACCAGGAGGAAACCATGAGGAGCAAGGAGAAACCAGGAGGAAACCAGGAGGAGCAAGGAGAAACCAGGAGGAAACCATGAGGAGCAAGGAGAAACCAGGAGGAAACCATGAGGAGCAAGGAGAAACCAGGAGGAAACCATGGGGAGCAAGGAGAAACCAGGAGGAAACCATGAGGAGCAAGGAGAAACCAGGAGGAAACCACGAGGAGCAAGGAGAAACCAGGAGGAAACCACGAGGAGCAAGGAGAAACCAGGAGGAAACCATGAGGAGCAAGGAGAAACCAGGAGGAAACCAGGAGGAGCAAGGAGAAACCAGGAGGAAACCATGAGGAGCAAGGAGAGACCAGGAGGAAACCATGAGGAGCAAGGAGAGACCAGGAGGAAACCATGAGGAGCAAGGAGAAACCAGGAGGAAACTATGAACAGCATATATTTTTTTAAATATTTTTTCCCTTTAAACTTGGAGATATATCTTATTGCATGCTGCATATCCCAGTAAATCTGTTTCGCCTTTAAATCTGCAGCTCTGTTTCTCTCTGCTGTTCAAAGAGATTCATTAACCTCTTTACTAATATAATGATGCCAGAAACTAAATTTCAAGATCCATAGAAGCTCTGCAGTCTGATTCCGTCTGTTCAATAAGAAAACTTGTTCATTTCAACCTGTAACTGGGAGTCATGGTCCTCTGAGACGCTTTTTTTAACTAATAAACAAGAAAACAACATTTGAACTGTTTCCTCAATCTTCTTGCATTATATATCTAACTTGTATAAACTTTTCAATTGTTGCCATTTTAGCTGAAAAAGCTCCGTATGTCTGACAAACGGATTTTTCGGTGGCATGTCTAATTTTTTTTACTTTTACTTAAACATCAAAGTATCCGCTGGTTAATATTCAGTGAGTGTTGCTGTGTCTCTCATCTAACAGCCTAGCTCTGCTCTACGCAGCGAAATTCGACCGCTAATCAGATGACTCAAAGCGACATGAGCGCAAGGACCGAAAACGCTCTAAAAACAGATCGCTGCATCCGGCCTCTGTTACCTTTAGCTAAATAAAGGAGCAGAAAAGGGGGGAAAAATGGAGATTATTGGTGGGACATGTCCACACCAGTCCTTCAGGAAGTTACGCCTGTCATTCAATATCAATTTATATTTTTTTTCTGTTTCAACTTTTATTTTTTCAGCTTCAAATTTGTAAGTTTACAAAAATGTTGAGCCCTTTTTGACTCCATAGCAGGAAGGATGAGGGGTGGGAGGTCAGGAAGTGGAGACAGGAAGCAGAGAGGAGGAGGAGATAAGGCGGCCTGAGGAAGAGGAGCAGATCCTCCAGTTTAACCACAGCTGATCCAGTCTGAAACCTCCAGTTTGGCTTAAAGACAAATCCAGCCTAATCTGAGGTAATCCCAGAAGTACTTCCTCATTCTGCGGGGAGGGAGCAGACAGAGAGCCGCAGGTAGACTCACCTTTCAGCGGCTGCGGGTGGGACTGCTTCCTCCGCGGCATGCTGGAGCCTCTCAGCCCGGATCCTGCGCTCCTCCGGTGGGCTGGGCAGCGCGCGGTCAGCCGGGAGGCTCCGACCCGTCCGTCAGCCAGGCAGGCAGGCAGGCAGCTAACTGCATGTCATCATCCTCCTCATCTTCATCAGCTCCTTCCTCTTCCTCTTCCTCCAACGGACAGCAGCAGCGGCCAGCTCCGACTACCTCCTGGGAAAACACCACCGGAAAACAGCTTAAATAAAACTTTAAAATGTATTAAAATTATTACTAAATAAAGGTTATTAATGATTAACTGGAGTTTCACAAATAACAACGCGATACACAAATTTTTAACTTTTATTTTTCTGGACTTAAGCTGCCACTGTCGTTGTTTTTCAGCAAGTAGACGGAGCCATTCGGGTTTAACCTCAGTTATTTCACCTCTAGGAAAATAAAGACTTCATTTAAAGTTCGGAGTAAAGTGAAAACTTAAAGCCAGGTCTGTCAGGCTGATGGCAAACATACCTGTGATCAAATCCAAGAGCAGGCAGAGGGACAAACATGACGCTAAAACTTTAAATCCATAGTTTGCTGCTGTCAGACTGCTGACACCGGCTTCTGCGAGCCACGTGACCTCAGTCGGCAGCAGGGGATTGTGGGAGATGTGGTCCCAAACGGGTCGATGAAACATGAGCTGAAATAGTTCTGAGACGAAAAAAGAACCAAGACTACGGTAGAGGATTAGGGCCACTGAAAAAATAAAAAATAAAGGTTCATTTCAGTTTAATATGGGGGAAAAAAGTCAGAATTATGACTTTAATCTCAGAATTTTGACTTTTTTTTCAGAATTCTGACTTTAATATCAGAATTCCGATTTTTTTTCTACGAATTTGACTTTAATCTCAGATTTCTGACTTTAATCTCTGAATTTTGACTTTTTCCTCAGAATTCCGACTTTAATCTCAGAATTCTGACTTTTTTCTCAGAATTCTGTAATCTCAGAATTCTGACTTTTTTCTCAGAATTCTGACTTTAATCTCAGAATTTTGACTTTTTTCCTCAGAATTCTGTAATCTCAGAAATTTGACTTTTTTCCTCAGGATTCTGTAATCTCAGAATTTTGACCTTTTTCCTCAGAATTCTGTAATCTCAGAAATTTGACTTTTTTCCTCAGAATTCTGTAATCTCAGAATTTTGACTTTTTTTCTCAGAATTCTGACTTTAATCTCAGAATTAATTCTGCCAGCTAACAAACATGTTAGCATCCAGCCGTAGCCATGTCTGTTTTAGAGTCTAACTCTCTTGTTTTAACCACCTTCTGCTCCTCCATTAATCAAATATCATCACCAGGGAACCTCAGGGACGGAAAAAGTCGCCTAATTCCATAATTTTCCACCAATGTGTTCCTGTTTCTCCCAAAAAAACTCACATCTTTGTCAGTGAAGCTGAGTGGCCATCCATATTAAGATCTAAAATTCTGAGATTAAAGTAAAATTCCCCCGTCCCTCAGTGAGGTCTAGAAGCATCTATCTATATCCAGCCATTCAGCAAAGATGATGCTACATGGCTCTACATCTTATTTGGATTTTGACCAATTAAATGACCCTAGGCCCTTGAACAATTTAATACCTATTGTATATTAAGATGGAAATTAGTTAGCAAATTTAATAACAGTATAAAAGCTAAGCAAAAAACTTAAAAAGCTAAATAAAAATTCAGTAAAGTGAAACAGTTGTAGCTTGTAAGAGGCTAACTTACGAGCACAAATAAATAAGTGTGGAAATAGATGATGAAACTCTGTAGTACCCAAGAGCCTGAAGAGCTTTGTAGAAGTAAAGTTTACAAAATAAAGATTCAAAAACATAAAAATAAAAAAACTCATGACTTCTATGTGATAAAGAAAACTGCAAGATTAGATTTTAAACAACATTTTATTTCCAGCTGATTTTACACTAAAATTTGGTTAAAAGGGATTTCCATATATTTTGGTTATTACAAACATGAAGGTATATGATGTAATAATAATAAAAAATTACATAATGTGAGAGGCTGTAACAGTGGTAGAGTTAGATGACATGTTAACTGTTTCTGTCCAGACTGGCCTTTTGTAAGTTTAAACATTTTGACCTTTTTCTGACTCAATATGGAGTCAAAAAGAGGTCAAAATCTTTGTAAACAAAAGGAAAACAAGAATGATATTTAATGTCACATTTTTATTAATTTTACAGCAATATCCCTCCAGCGCTGCTGCAAGCTGTCAATCATGTTTCCCCGCCCACTCCTGTCAGATTAGGGTCAAAATCTGAAGGTGAAAAAAACGGATTTAAAAGTGTAAAAAAAAAAAAAAAAACATGGAACTGAAAAAGGAATTTAAAACTTAAAAAAAAACTGAAAGAAAAGGATTTGAATCTGAAAACATAAAATCTAAAACCGCAATAAAGAAATAAAAAGAAAAAGTGTAATTAAAATACTTAACTGAATTAGTTTTTTCAAGCTGAGGGGACGAATTTAAATTTTCTTTTTTTTTTTAAGTTTGCTTTTTCAGCTTCTCAGATTATAAGGGAAACGTTTTAGATTCAATATCAACTTATATTTATTCTGGTTCAACTTTAATTTGTACAGTTTCAACTTTTATGTTTTCAGTTCCAAGTTGCCAAACATTTTGACCCCTTTCTGACTCCGTAGACCTTCCATCATAAGGGGACAGAAGGTCACACTGCACCCCCGTGTCACAGGTCTCTGTTTTCGTACACTGTGTGGCCGAATCGCAGAAACTTCGTCTTTTCCGTTTTGGTCTTCTGCTGGTGGACGCCGCGCTGCTCCTTTCTTCAACAGTAACACTTTTCCTTTTGCCATTAGCGCCGGTACTTCCAGGAGCTTCAGAAGCCTTAAACAAACAGACATTTCTTTAAAAATATATTTTTAAGCCATATCCATAAACTATTTTTATAAAAAATTAGGCTAGAGATTGTTAAGTTGCAACATTACGAGAATAGTCATAAAATTATGAGATAAATGTCATAAAATTACAAAAATAAAATCGCAACGAGAAATCTCATAAAATTAAGAGAATATTATCTTAACATTACGAGAACAAAGTCGTGATACTACGAGAATTAAGTCGCAATGAGAATAGTCCTAAAATTACGAGGACAAAGTCGTAACATTACGAGAATTAAGTCTCAATCGGAATAGTCATAAAATGCGAGAATAAAGTTGTAATATTATGAGTATGAAGTTGCAACGAGAATGGTTACAAAATTACGAGAAAAAAGTCGTAATATTACGAGAATTAAGTCGCAATTAGAATAGTCCTAAAATGACGAGAATATAGTCGTAACATTACAAGAATTAAGTCTCAATCGGAATAGTCATAGAATTACGAGAATAAAGTCACAACGAGAAATCTCATAAAATTAAGAGAATATTGTCTTAACATTACGAGAACAAAGTCGTAATATTACGAGAATTAAGTCGCAATAAGAATAGTCCTAAAATTACGAGGACAAAGTCGTAACATTACGAGAATTAAGTCTCAATCGGAATAGTCATAGAATTACGAGAATAAAGTCACAACGAGAAATCTCATAAAATTAAGAGAATATTGTCTTAACATTACGAGAACAAAGTCGTAATATTACGAGAATTAAGTCGCAATGAGAATAGTCCTAAAATTACGAGGACAAAGTCGTAACATTACGAGAATTAAGTCGCAATGAGAATAGTCCTAAAATTACGAGGACAAAGTTGTAACATCACGAGAATTAAGTCTCAATCGGAATAGTCATAAAATTACGAGAATAAAGTTGTAATATTACGGGTATAAAGTCGCAACGAGAATAGTTACAAAATTACGAAAATAAAGTCGTAAAATTACAAGAATTAAGATGCAACGGGAATCAGTCATAACAATACGAGAATAAAGTTGTAACATTACAAGCATAAAGTCATAATATTATGTGAATAAAGTCGTAAAATGTTTAGAAACAAGTTTTATTTTATAACAACTCTTCCCAGAATCCCTTTCTTCCCTAAAATGAGGACAGTGGAGCATCATGTGAAGTTCTACTTTAGCATCGGTTTGACAAATCAGGAAATCTTTTAGCAGCAGCATCAAACTGGGCAGGATGTCAAAGTGGACTCTGGTTGCTGATTGGTGGAGCTGGTCAGCCGTCATCTACTGGACGGAGCTCCAAGATTTCATTCTGAAACCGGTTGTTGTTTGATGACTTTATTCTCATAATAAAATTGTAGCCTGGCTCTAATACTCTGTGAACTTGCGATTGCTTAGAATAACTTGAATAATAAAACTAGCTACTTACCGTGTTATGTTGTCGGGCTAACTGCCTACGATTCATTGACAAAGGCCGTTTCTTTTTTCCTGTTGTGTAACAGAAGAGCGTGGGAACGGCAGTGGGTGTGAGTCTCCTTCGTTGATTTGCCAGCGGGCTTTCCTCCCCATAGACTCCAGCTACAACAGGAAATAAAATAGTTAGGCTTACAGCTCATATTCATGTACAAAATCAATTCACACACATTTTAATAAAATAACACTAATTCATTCATTTATAAAAATCTTTATTTAATAAATATTTAGTTTATTATTTTATTCCAAAATTAAACATTTAGTTTGTTAATATTTAGCTCAAAACTAAATATTTAGTTTGTTAAATAAATATCAATTTTTTTTTAATTAATATTTACCTTCAAACTAAATATTGATTCCTTTTTTAGATAAATATTTAGCTACAAACTAAATATTTCCCACATTGTTTGGTATATGCAAAGGATGTGGGAGAAATTGAGACATACATATTTATTTATATAAATATATATATGTTAGGATAATTATCATTGAGATATTACAGGTGCTGGTCATAAAATTAGAATATCATGAAAAAGTAGATTGATTTCAGTAATTCCATTTAAAAAGTGAAACTTGTATATTATATTCATACATTACATACAAACTCATATATTTCAGATGTTCATTTTGTTTAATTTTGATGATTACAAATGACAACAAATGAAAATCTCAAATTCATCATATCAGAAAATTAGAATATTACTGAAGACCAATAAAAACAAAGGATTTATAGAAATGTTGGCCAACTGAAAAGTATGAACATGAAAAGTATGAGCATGTACAGCACTCAGTATTTAGTTGGGCCTCCTTTGGCCTGTATTACTGCAGCAATGCGGCGTGGCATGGAGTCGATCAGTCTGTGGCACTGCTCAGGTGTTATGATAGCCCAGGTTGCTCTAATAGTGGCTTTTAGCTCTTCTGAATTGTTGGGTCTGGTGTATTGCATCTTCTTCTTCACAATACCCCATAGATTTTCTATGGGGTTAAGGTCAGGAGAGTTTGCTGGCCAATTAAGAACAGGGATACCATGGTCCTTCAACCAGGTACTGGTAGCTTTGGCACTGTGTGCAGGTGCCAAGTCCTGTTGGAAAATGAAATCTGCATCTCCAAAAAGTTGGTCAGCTGCAGGAAGCATGAAGTGCTCTAAAACTTCCTGGTATGTGGCTGCGTTGACCCTGGACCTCAGAAAACACAATGGACCAACACCAGCAGATGACATGGCACCCCAAACCATCACTGACTGTGGAAACTTTACACTGGACTTCAAGCAACGTGGATGAAGTGCCTCTCTTCTTTTCCTCCAGACTCTGGGACCTTGATTTCCAAAGGAAATGCAAAATTTACTTTCATCAGAGAACATGACTTTGGACCACTCACCAGCAGTCCAGTCCTGTTTCTCTTTAGCCCAGGCAAGACGCTTCTGACGCTGTCTGTGGTTCAAGAGTGGCTTTACACAAGGAATGCGACAGCAGAAACCCATGTCTTTCATACGTCTGTGTGTGGTGGTTCTTGAAGCACTCACTCCAGCTGCAGTCCACTCTTTGTGAATCTCCCCCACATTTTTGAATGGGTTTTGTTTCACAATCCTCTCCAGGGTGCGGTTATCTCTCTTGCTTGTACACTTTTTTCGACCACATCTTTTCCTTCCCTTCGCCTCTCTATTAATGTGCTTGGACACTGAGCTCTGTGAACAGCCAGCCTCTTTAGCGATGACCTTTTGTGTCTTGCCCTCCTTGTGCAAGGTGTCGATGGTCGTCTTTTGGACAACTGTCAAGTCAGCAGTCTTCCCCATGATTGTGTAGCCTATAGAACTAGACTGAAAGACCATTTAAAGGCTTTTGCAGGTGGTTTGAGTTAATTAGCTGATTAGAGTGTGGCACCAGGGGCCATCAATTTTGAACCTTTTCACAATATTCTAATTTTCTGATATGATGAATTTGAGATTTTCATTTGTTGTCATTTGTAATCATCAAAATTAAACAAAATAAACATCTGAAATATATGAGTTTGTATGTAATGTATGAATATAATATACAAGTTTCACTTTTTAAATGGAATTACTGAAATCAATCTACTTTTTCATGATATTCTAATTTTATGACCAGCACCTGTAGATCTGAAAACATTTCCCTCCAAGGGATTAATAAAATAAATCTGATTCCAATTTTGGCAGAATTCAAATGAGCAATTTTAATTTAGATTAATTCCAAGATTCCAGGAAGCTTTTTCAAATCCAAATGTCAGAAATAGTTCCAGGTTTTATTTTTATTGTTTTTAATAAATTTTCTTCTTCTAAATTCAAGTTATATTTGAAATCTCTTAAATGTATCAAATCATATGACCGCCTGACTGAAATACTGATGGGATTGCCCACTGATACACAGCAATCCCAACATGAACCCCCTTGTTGCCATGGTAATAACTGTTTCATTTACTTATTTAGTTATTTATTTTGTTCCTTATCAATGTTGCCTTTTATTTCTATTTTGAAATCTGCCTCTACTCTGCCTCCCACAGACTTATAATGTTGCTATTGCCTTACTTGTTTGTACCCCTGTTTAAATAAAGTTCATACAAAAAAAAAAAAAAAACAGGCAGCAGAGCTGCAGCAGCGCTTTGTTGTTCATTACAAGCATGTTACATCAAATTACTGGTAGGAACATGGACTCTATGGTTCCCATGGAAACCTGTGTCCATGCGGTATCGACCAAAAGAAAAACCTACCGAATATCCTCGCTCTCATGTCCTCTTGAAAACATTCTTTTTCGAAATGTTGGCTACAAATGACGTGTTTTTTCTCCGGCCAGAAGTCCGATGGTAAATCCTCCCTCTTCAGGTTGGCAATCCAACTTCGAACCCGTGGTGGGTCATGAACCGGAAACATGAAATAACTGATGTTTTTATCACTTTTACCCGATGTGTTACAGCATCCAACGGCCATGCACGTGGGCATTGTCAGTTTCACTATAGCTCTGGTGAATTTCAATGGTGAAGTCCTCTGGAAGTCTTCAATAATTGTTGTTGATTGCAGATGTGTCTAGTAGTTCCCATTGATTTAGCTTGGAAAGCGGGGAGAATGGCGCTAGGCTAACCGCACCGTGACGCCACTGCCGGAAGACATTTCTTCTTCTTCCCCTTCTTCTCGTACTAGTATGGCAGGCCGTTTTAACATTTATTAGAAGCGCTGGCCTTTCTAGTTTTCAATTTGTTGATCTCTAAAATTAGATTCTTCCTTCTCAAAACTACATTCCAACTAGGCAGAAATGTACATATAGATATCCTTAATTACATTTTTGTCAGAAAAAAGGAAATTTCAGGATGCCAAAAATATAATTGTACTAGTAGGAATAAACTTTTAAATACCTAGACATCTTTACAAATTTTAGGTGGTTATTTTCACATTTATTAGATTGACCGAATATACATCACAGATGTCTCAAATGCGTTTCTTCCTAGTCAAATTAACATTTTAGATAGCTAGTATAACATTCTTCCTGAAATATACATGTTATATATGAATGTTTGTTTTAGATAGGGAGAATGTTGTTTTAGATATCTAACTATTAATTTTAACTAGGAAGAAATGCATGTGACACTACAATGGCCTGCCATACTGTAGTTTTCCATGGTGGTTGGCAGTAGGCAAACTGGTCAAAGGGTTGCGCATGCGCGAACAGAATAACTTCTGGGTAGCTTCGTTTTTTTTTTTTTATTATTATTCTTTTATCTTTTTCTGGCGGGGGGGTCATTTAGAATATTTTTGTATTTCTATTTATAAATATTGCATATTGTAAAAATGAACAAAAAAGACATACACTTAAACAGCCTTTCGAACGTCACTGTCTGCTCTGAGCAGGGCCGATGGTGACGTCACACAATACAATGAAGAGAATGTAAAACGTTTCCATTTTCTTGCAGAAAAGTCTTCACTACTTTCTATACGATGTAGTTTAGCATTATTTTAGGTTTTAAAGTATATAAATAAGTATTTTTAGTACCGTTATTACATAGTTTTTCTGCGATCCGGAAACTGATAAGGAGTTAAACAGGGAAACAGGAAACAAAATAAATAATAATAAAAAACATAAAAAAAGATAATAAAAAATAAATAAAAAAAAACCCAGAAAAAAATTATGATAAAAAAGATAATAAAAAATAAATAGAATAATAAAATAATAATAATAAAATTAAATAATATTTTGCCGAACTTTATATTTTAACCCAACATAATGAAATACATAATAGAAATCGTCTTTATAATTTCTAATTTATCATTAAGCTATCACTGCCAGTTTCTGACGGTCCTACTCGTCTTCCTATCATACTTTCAACCCTTTCCCAGTTTAAAACCCTTACCTCAAGGTACCTTTCTGCAGCTTTCACTTTTATTTATGATTTTTTGATTTTCTTTGTCGTCTGAGCACTACAATTGATCCCCTCTACCATCAAAATCCTTATTTATTTTTTTTACAACCAATGAATCTCCTCAGATTTTGGAACACTCCTCCAAAGGTTTTGAACTTATTTACTCTGCTGTTAATTTAGGTCTTTCTGACTGGGATGGGATTATTTTTGCAGCGTTAGCATAACTTTTGACTGGATGATCTAGTGAACTGTAAACTGCCTTGAGATGACATGTGTTGTGAATTGGCGCTATAGAAATAAACTGAATTGAATGGAACTTCTTCCCAGCTCTAATTTCACTTTTCATACCTCATCAGATGTTTTGCTCACTTCACAGCCTCGATATGCAGCAGTATGTTCTCCACCACAGTTATATTATTTATCTTTAAGTTCTTTCTCTCACTTTCTACATTCATGCTCTCCAGCACACCTTCCACATTGTTGTTTTCCCTTACATACAGGTGCAATTTGATCACATTTTTGCCATTTGAACAGGGGAGAACTTAGGAAATTTGGGGCCCTATAGGCAAAGACAGGCAGGGGGCCCTCTGAGACAGATAGAGAAATTTTAATAGAATAGACATACATTATTTGTGCTACATTTTTTGCCACTCTTCTTGCCCCCTTTCTTCCAAGCACTAAGCTCACTTAGCTGATTGCTCCTTCCTGTGTTTCCAAAAAGGCCAAAGTAAATAACCCAGTCCTTCTTTTCACTGTAGACAAGCCATGATCTGCTTATCTGTTCTCCATTTTTCATTTGGATGAAATAATAGCTGCATGAATCATGACAGCAGACAAGATAGAGGAGAGCAGGAGGCGGGGTTACCAATCTACTCGCTCTGGAGAGCAGAGTTCGCTGCTTTTAGATGTTGTCTCCAAAGTCTCCAGTAGCAGAAAAAAGTCTCTAGATTTGGCGCTAGGAGCTTTTTAGAAATCAAAGTGCTAGAGGGGTCTGAAAAGTGGCTAAATATAGCGACTAAAGCGCTAAGTTGGCAACACTGATCTACGCATCGTTTGTTTTCGAATGGTTTGCTGCTGAAGATGTGCACAAGAGATGAGATCTCACAGGAAAGCCTGAGTCGAACAAATGAGACTACCCTGAAACTGAAATAAAAGTTTAATTAATTTGATTCTTTTTTTGTCTGATTGTGTTAAAATTTCTTCAAGGTAATGTTTTGTTTGAATTTGGTGCTAGACAGACAAAACTAAAACGAGTTGAAAGTCAAGTTACTGAAAAATACTAAAGAAGATTGGCGGAGCTCCACAGGGTTCTGTCCTCAGTCCTCTACTTTTTAAGATTCATTTTTATTTATGCTGTGATCACAAGTTAAACATGGCCTCAAACTCATCAATTCTCTGTCTCGTATTTCCTTTGCGAATCTTCTTGTAGGACACCGTTTTATATTTGGAACGGTCGCTGCTTTTCTTCTCATCGTTGTCCTCATCAGCCTCATTGTTCGTCTTCAGGGAGTTTTGATCTACGTCTTTGTTTCCTTTGCCATTTGTGACTTCCTGTCTTCTTTCCTCCATGGACTCCTGAACGTTGCTTTCCATCAGTCTGACCTTTTCTCTTCGTACAGCAGCCCAGTACCTGCAGTTCAGGAAACATAAATACCTTCTGTGACTTGTTTTGAACATATTGAAGCCAGCTCGTAATGACCTTCTTTAACTGAAGGTGTCGCCCTTTCACTCAGGAATAAAACTTCAGAATTTCAGGTAAAATGTAGATAAAGAGCATTTACCTTCAGATGAAATGTCTGTGATGTTTCAGCCCGACGTCTCCTGCCTCTGATGGAGCTTTGCTTCCAGTAACTGGCTGTTGGGTTTAATGAAGCCTGTTTTGGCAGGAAGTCCGTGTCCTCCCAGTCTTTGTTGCTGCTCGCTGGTCTGAGATAAACGTTCCCACAGTGGTGGGGTCTGGCAGACACTCTGGTACAGTCTGGCCCCTCTATTTTCTGGGGTCTACTTCCCACTTTTCTGTTCTAATTCATGACCTTGTTTTCAAATGTATTCATATTCTCTACATGATTTCATTTATTCCTTATTTTCTTTTTCGATCTAGTCTCTTTTCTTCAACCCCTTCCCCTTGTTCATGATAATCTCTTCCTCCTGACTCATCTCTTACTCCTATTTCCTATTTTTCTGGGTAACTGTGCCACATTTTCCCCTAAGTTTTTCCGTGGTTCTTCCTTCACCTGCGAAGATGGTCACCTTTCTTCCTCCTCCTCCTCCTCATCATCATCCTCTCTTCCTCATACCTTTCTCTTTCCTCCTTTCCTGGCCTGACCCTGGATTCTTGCTTCCCTGAGCAAAGCGGACCTTTGCCAATTGAATGAGTATTTTTACTCTTAGATAGATAGATAATATGCACTTAAAATAAGACAATGCAATTGTGTTTTCTTATTTTAAGTGTAAATTATCTTGTTCCATTGGCAAAACGTCTCTTTTATCTCCTCGATTCAAGAAAAATGCACTTTTTTAAAAGAAAAAATTACTAATCTAGACTTCCATTTTTTCCAGTGTGAAACAGATTATAATAAAATATGTCTCCGGACCTTTACTGGTTCTTGATTTTATTTATTGTGAACTCACTTATTTTTAATTGGTTACCCCTGCTTTATAGTCTGCTGTTGTTTTAATGAACAATTATTACATATTGCAGATTCTATTAAACCTACCAAAGTACATGTTTCATCTGATATGAGGGTGGAGTCAATAAATACTTTTCTGTCGTTAGAAACTTTCATTGCTGCTGAAAACACCCGAATTTGAACTATTCTATTCTATTCTATTCAGCTTCACAATCAGGGATAGATCTCAGTTGGATTTAAGTTTTTGCGTTTAAAGACAAACATGCTTTAATTCTCACACATAATCGGCACCAGATCTGCTGTTCATCCTGAAAACACTCAGTGAGCTTCAAACACATTTAATTCCACCCCTTTGAATCTGATTAGATAATTCCACACTCAGATCTGAAATATTAGGTCCTCAGCAGCCACTAGATGGCGGTGTTGTCTTAGAAAATCAGTTGAGTGGTTCCCTGAACTGAAGTCAGACCATTGGAATTATGGACTATTCAGAGAAATTAATGTATGTTTTAAGCAGTTTGATTTATATATATTAAAAAGATTTAACATGAGAGACACCAGCTGTTTGTTAAGTGCCTGTCCTCTCTGTGGTGATGTTATTGTCATGAAAGGATTGATCATTCATGCAAACTACAGAAGAAAAGTGAACTAAGCCTTAATTTCTGATTAAGCTCCTTTCTGTAAACTGGACTATTGTTCAGTCCTTTTATGTAAACCGGAGAAACAATTCTTCACGTTTTTTGAAGATTTGTCTTTTTTATGTAATAGAACTACAAACTTCTAGTGTTTTATTGAGGTTTTCTTGAAGGAGAAAGAAAAAAACTTTGGTTTTAAGTTATAAAATAGTTTTCTGCAGTCTTTTTGGTTTAGAGACAACTTTTTCACTTTAGTTTGGAAAAGTATAATTTGTCTGTAATAAAAAAATGCAAGAAAATGTTTTTGAGAACATTTATTAAAATTACAGCAGTAAAAACTAAAGAAAACCTTTTATCAGTAGTTTCATCTTATCGTAGTAAATTATCCACTTTTTTCACTCTGGTGCAACAAAAAAGAAAACGCTTTATCTAATAATAATATGGATGAAATTGTTTTATAATATACACTATATTGCCAAAAGTATTTGCTCACCTGCCTTGACTCACATATGAGCTTAAGTGACATCCCGTTCCTAATCCATAGGGTTCAATATGACGTCGGTCCACCCTTTGCAGCTAGAACAGCTTCAACTCTTCTGGGAAGGCTGTCCACAAGGTTTAGGAGTGTGTTTATGGGAATTTTTGACCATTCTTCCAGAAGCGCATTTGTGAGGTCGCACACTGATGTTGGACGAGAAGGCCTGGCTCTCAGTCTCCGCTCTAATTCATCCCAAAGGTGTTCTATCGGGTTGAGGTCAGGACTCTGTGCAGGCCAGTCAAGTTCATCCACACCAGACTCTGTCATCCATGTCTTTATGGACCTTGCTTTGTGCACTGGTGCACAGTCATGTTGGAAGAGGAAGGGGCCAGCTCCAAACTGTTCCCACAAAGTTGGGAGCATGGAATTGTCCAAAATGTCTTGGTATGCTGAAGCATTCAGAGTTCCTTTCACTGGAACTAAGGGGCCAAGCCCAGCTCCTGAAAAACAACCTCACACCATAATCCCCCCTCCACCAAACTTTACACTTGGCACAATGCAGTCAGACAAGTACCGTTCTCCTGGCAACCGCCAAACCCAGACCCGTCCATCAGATTGCCAGATGGAGAAGCGCGATTCGTCACTCCAGAGAACGCGTCTCCACTGCTCTAGAGTCCAGTGGCGGCGTGCTTTACACCACCGCATCCGACGCTTTGCATTGCACTTGGTGATGTATGGCTTGGATGCAGCTGCTCGACCATGGAAACCCATTCCATGAAGCTCTCTGCGCACTGTTCTTGAGCTAATCTGAAGGCCACATGAAGTTTGGAGGTCTGTAGTGATTGACTCTGCAGAAAGTTGGCGACCTCTTCGCACTATGCGCGTCAGCATCCGCTGACCCCGCTCCGTCAGTTTACGTGGCCTACCACTTCGTGGCTGAGTTGCTGTCGTTCCCAAACACTTCCATTTTCTTATAATACAGCTGACAGTTGACTGTGGAATATTTAGGAGCGAGGAAATTTCACGACTGGATTTGTTGCACAGGTGGCATCCTATCACAGTTCCACGCTGGAATTCACTGAGCTCCTGAGAGCGACCCATTCTTTCACAAATGTTTGTAAAAACAGTCTGCATGCCTAGGTGCTTGAATTTATACACCTGTGGCCATGGAAGTGATTGGAACACCTGATTCCAATAATTTGGATGGGTGAGCAAATACTTTTGGCAATATAGTGTAGATAAATTCATCTTTAATAATCTATCCTTCTTTAATCCAGACTTTCTTTAAATTATATTTTTCTTTGCTTCAAAATTACAATTACAGTAGAGGAAAATAAAGCCTATCTTGAGATACCTAAATGTGGCCAGTAGATGGCGACAGTGCAGACATTTAAAACATTCAAACTTTTTAAACCAAAGAGAGAAAACGAGTCCAATACCTTTGAATTATTCCAGAGCATCCTTCTATTGGTGACAGAAACGCCAAACAGTTTATTTTGTCACAAAGTTTTGAAATTAAATCTCTTATTCTTGATCTCCTAACACTCTGCGCTGGGACTTTGCGTCCTGCTGTGCCTTCCATGCTGCCAGGACCTCGTCGTCCTCAGCCTCCGCTGCAGCCCGAGCCCTGATCCTTTGTCTAGTTTGAGCGATGAATGTTGCAACATCATCTTCCTCATCTTCGCTACCCTCCTCTTGCCTTCGTCTTCTTCCTTCCGTCTCGCTGCTGGCGTATCGTGAATGATGGACGAATCTCCTGTTGGATAAAAAGCTCTGTGTTCCCTCTTCGCTCTCCTCATAAGCTCCATAAGATCGGCCTCCTCGGCTGTAGCTGTGGGATTGGGTTAACCCGTTGCAGGAGTAGCCTGTATCTTCCCTTGATTGATTTTCTTGGAACCTGGACTGATATCTGGATATTGAGCCATATGTCTCCTCCTCGTCTTCTTCAACAGAACATGAGCCTCTGTGACTCGAGAAGTCAAATTCGGAAGCAGAGGCTTCGAGATCATCGTACGGATCCTGAGACGAATCAGCTTCTGCAGCGGATGATAATGTCTTTGGGGGAGGTCTTACACTTTTCAGCCAGTCGTCAACACTTGTATTCCTGTCTTTTTCTAAAGCTGGGTTTAGATTAAGGCAGCCAGAAAGGCCAAAACTTCTTTTTGGTTTCTCTTTTTTCATTGTTTCTTCAAGAAACTCCTCCTCCTTCCTCTTTCTTTCCTGTTCCTCGTCTTCGTCTTCCTTTGCTTTCTTTTTCTTGTACAGAGTGCTGCGTCTGTTGTCCTCCAGGATCTTTTTCTTCTCGTAGGTTTCCATTTTATCCCTCATTTCAGACTTAATCTCCTTATCAATGGCGTCCAGTTTTCCCAGGTTGACTTGGTCTTGAAAGAGGCTGAAAAGAGGAACGCTGGTGGTGGTGATCTTGTTTTTCTTGGAGCCAAGAGTGGAGCCTAAGTCCGTTCCCAGAGTTGAGCGTCGTCCAGTCAGGCCAGAGATGCTACTCGACCCATCGCCTGTGAGGACAGAAGTTGCTCTGCCCCGATCCTTTGAAAGAGTGCTAGAGTACGACGCTCCGCTGATCAAAGATGCCTTGTCATCCTCCACGGCACGGCCTGCCAGCATGCTAGCCGCTCCGCCAAAGCTAAGCTCAGATCCAGCCCTTGACGGAGGAGGCAGACTTATCTCGCTTTGCTTCTGCTTGATTGTTTCAGTCACAACATTAGCAATCCAGTTCTGTATGCTAGCGAGATTTACCATCGGCTCCCCTCCGGGCCCTTGGACAGTCGGAACAGGGAGGATTGGTGGTACCGCTTGAACGGCGGACTGAGTGGACCTTGTACTTCGAGGCTGCGAAACAGAGGATATGACGGACGATCTGCCACTCAGCATGGACATATTGTCATCACTGGCAGCGTTCTGTGGTCCTGTGACCCCCGCGCCAGCCCAGAAAGCAGACAGAGGTATGGTACCGTCACTGACGCAGCTTTCTGCCTCCCAACCACAAACCGACTGACTTTCTTCCAAAGTTTTCTTGGAACGCTCCAGAATCTCCTCGCGTCTTTGCCGTCGTTTAATGGTGGCAGAGTCCTCACCCCGGCTAAGCTCCAGAATTTCCTCTGTGTTTTCCTCCCCGAGACGTTTCTGCTGCCGCAGCTTCCACGCTTGGTACGCTGTCAGGTTGACGTCC